TATTTCCTGTTCCTGAATGGAGATTAAAATACGTTTAAACGTTTCAGATGTAGATGTGCAGAAAACAGAATCTAATTTCGATTTTGAATTGAAGATTGAAAGGTTTAAAATATGCTTTTAAAAAATAAATGATTTACTGTGTACAATAGCTTCGTTATCAGAAATGTATTATATTGAACGTATTAAAGTTAGATGCTAAAATATTGTGTAATTATTTATTGAGCAGGAATAAAATGAATTTAATACTTAACACTTAAGATGAACATAAAAGTGGGGTAACTAGAATCTAGAGTATGGTCTGTACAGTTCTGAGAATTATCTGATGTAATTTAGGAATAATTCTTCTTCACTTGTAGTTCATGTTATATGAGATTTTTACTTCCTTGAAAACAATTATCATGAAAATGTTTCACACGTAATGTCGACTTTCTGTATAGTAAACAAAAAAATGAAATGGTTCAAATGTAATTTTAAGCTGGAAAATAAACAAAGTACATATCTTCTAGAATCTCGAAATCAAGCATTGACTAGTGCTATCAGTAAAATTTTTATTGGAAATCATTTGATTACAACGTTACCGATTTTATATTTTAAGGGGAAATATCGAAACTTCATCACCATTTTTGGATATACTTACCCGTGGATGGCTGTGTTGTAGAGGCTGACGTTAATGTACTAGGCGAGGAAGTGCTTGGTACAGTAGAAACTGAAATTAATGTATATTTTAGAATTAAGATTTATGCTCAGCTTTCTCTTGTATTATAGACTTAAATGAAGAATTGTGTTAAGTAAGTTCATTTTACACCAATGATAAGCGCAATAGAAGCTTTACTCGATTTAAGGATGTTCCCTGGTCAGATAGGAAAATATTCAATAGTATTTAACTTTTTCTCAAAAATGGTTTTCTGGGATTCTCACGGGCAACAAAGAATATTAAAACTTTAAAAACCATATGTTAGTGTGCTTTTTTCTGAGCAAGAGGCCTCTAAAGTGTCAATATTTGACAAATGTGGGCGTGGCACTTTCTCATTGAAACCCATGTTAAAAATCAGGTTTTCACCCCAAAACACACTTTTGAATATTTAACTTTTTCTTAAACTCACAGAAACACTTAGTTATGCTATGTACTTCACATTTTGAAAAGAAAAATTAGGGGTTGGTGTTCATCGTTTTCAACTTCGTCCAGGGAACATCCTTAAGGATATGGTTTGGAATTGTACCACTGTACTTGTTGGATTTTCGGTTTTAATTATCCATTACTTCACTGGATATAGTTATAAGATTTTCTTTTAAAAATGATGGGATCTTCTATTTAAGTATAAAACTCAGGCATGCTTTATGTTTATAAAATATTTGTACCCTGGGATGTTGATGGTACAGTCGTTGCTCCGGGTGTTGTTTGTATTTTCAAGCAAGCAGTTGGTCTCAAATCTCCAATTTCCATGGGCATATCATTTGGTTTTGAAGTGAAGATCACAATGATTTCAACCCCTTCAGTATTCTCAAGATTTACAATTGCAGAATCAACATCAACAGTTGTTTTGGGTGTCTAAAAGAAACCAAATAAATTACATAATTACAATACTTTGTTTTTGAAATAATCTTAAACCATCTTGACAAAAATAAAAATGAAATCATATTTAGCATTCTTTAAATTAATTACAAGGAAAAGCATGTATTCCACACTCGGATATCTATTATATTTTAGTTTCAGGGAGTTTCAAAAACGTCACGCATTCATACCTGTGTCACTATTTCACCATTTTCATCCTTGATAATGACAGTAACTGATGCAACATTTTCCATGCCTGTTAATTCCACTTTGGTAATTGGAACAGACACGTCAGTTTTCAGTTTTGTTGATATGTTTAACTCTTTAGGTTCAGTCGATGGTTTAAATTGTGCTTGGAGTTTTGTGTTTGGATCATTATCTTTCAAAGCATCCAGGTTTGGTTGTACTCCACTGAAGTCATCTTGGTTATTCAATACTTTGGTATTTTCCTCATCAATCTTCTGTGCATCATCCATGCCAATTGATTCTATGCATTGTACTGCAGTTGTGATGGCAGTACCTTGTGTTGTAACAACAGTATTCCCTGTTCCTGAAAGGAGATTTGAACGATTTTTTAAACGTTACACATGCATATATGGAGAAAACAGAATCTAACAGCGATATTGAATGAAAATGGAACTTTTTAAAATCTGCTTTTATAAGATAAATGCTTTCCTGTGTATAATAGTCTGTTATAATAAATGTAGTATATTGAACATGTTACAGTTAGATGCTCAAATATGTTTTCATTATTTATTTGACAGGACTAAAATGAAATGAACAGTTACGGTTACTGGTTTGAGATCAAAATGATTTTATAAACATTACGCATGCAGATATGCAGAAAACAAAAAAAGAGCGATTTTGAATTAAAAATTGAGATTGAGAAAAAAGATTAGAGCAGTAAGTAAAATTTATTGAATAAACGTTCTCATCCAAAGTAACCAACTCCACTCGAAATAAGATATAAGTTTGGCAACTGTTTCCCCCATAGACCTTCGTGTTAAAGCCCCCCTCATCCTATTTTTGAATTTCTATTTTCATTACCTGCAACGGAATAATTGATAATAAAAGAGATACAATTTGACTTTATTTCCTATACCCCAATTTTTCAAATAACAATAGGTCGGAAATTGATGACAAATTTGATGCAGTTTTGAAAATGGTCATTGTAATGTTAACCAATGGGAAATGATGGGTTCGGGGCAAATCGGATTTCAGCATCTCTATTCAAGGTGTCACTACTGTAATTCACTGAGAAATAAAATTCAAGTTCAGGGGTACATATCGCCATTTTCGAGCGAATTTGCCCATACAACCACTATATTTCTGCGTTCCCCTATATATAACCTTCATCTTGACTATATTTAACATGTTTGCGTCTTGATTTTTAAATATCACTACGACAGCATAGGGACTCATTTTTAGGTAAAATCCCCGGTTCACCGATGAAAATTAACGAATAAAGTAGTTCCAGTTTACGTGACTATACTATTGCGATTTTTTATGGTACATTTAGAAAGTACTTGTCATCAGCTTTACATACAGGGTGACAAAAAAACCACTTAAATCTTAATAACTCGTCAATTATGCATATTGAGCTTAGTTATTTGGTACATGTATAGTCAACTGAATGTATGACAAGATGTCAAAGCTTTAGCATTTTAGCTCAATTAGTCTTCAAATGAGGCACGATTAGATAATGTGCTCCAAATGTGCACCACGACGTTGGATGCAGAGCTGGATTCCTCTCGCAAAAATGACTGATTAATCGATCACCAAAGTGAGCCGGAAGCCATTGTATGGACTCATTTGAGGTGTGGGGTGTGGCACCATCTTGTCAGAACCATTGCTGGTCCCTTCTCAAGTCACGTCGTCTACCCAGCGCTCTCCAAAACTTTTTAACGTTAGGGATGTAACGTTCTGAGTTGACTGTTGAGTTGTCTTGAGTTCTGACAGACGTCTCTCTCCCTGAATAGGTTGGTTTGCCATCACTTTTCTTCTTTGATGATTTTACAGTTCCTTCTGAATCAAACTTCTGTACAAGCCTAAAGATCTGTGACTTGCAAGGGGCTCTTCTTGCCCTGTGATCTCTCATATAGGCAGTTTGTGTCTCTTTATAGGATTTTGTCTCGATATACTTTCTCACAATATAAGTATTTTCTTCTGTCGTCCATGGCATGATTAATATCTAAGCTACAGTACTCATTATTGTGTCATTTTGTCATGCATTCAGTCTAGTTTCCACCCTGAAGAAATGAAGAATGTAGGGATAATACTTTCCGAGAAATTTGATGATTTATGGGTTCCCGTTTTTTTGTCACCCTGTCACATACCTCATTAGTATGAGTATTAAAAAACACTGTCCTACCCGGAAGTGCTATTTACCGTAGTGACACCTTAATATCAAAAGGGGGAAATTTGACTTAGATAATTTTGCTTGTTTTTGCATTTTTAAAATAGTTAAGTTATTTCATGTTCAAAACAGCTGCATTTTCAAATTTTAACATGCATGTTTTCTTAAAAACATATTTGGGGAAATGGGTGAGGGCTTACTCTGAAAACTGGTCAAAAAGACCTAAAAAGTGGGTCGCCAACTTCAAAGATGTCAAGCCAAAATTTTAGACGCAAAATCTCTGAGATTTTTCATTTTCCAAATCATCATTGCAATGCCTTTCAAATATTATACAGGTTTTATTGAAATGCATGATGTTCAATACAAATATTTGGAGTCAAATGTGGTTCCCATGTTCAAAATTTGCCATTTTTCTCCTATTTACGCCAGTCAAGCCTCAATGTATTGCGACAGCAATTTACAAATTAATCTTGATTACTCTTCCTGTTGGTATACCTGACATTTACAAGCAGTTTTTAGGCAATCCTAGAATGGGGAAGTTTGTGATTGTTCCATGAGGTCATCATGATTTTCATGTTTACCTATTGAGGTATTTGATGTTATTATTAAGTACTTATATATACAAAGGAATTATGAAATAAAATATATATCATGGAGTCTTGTCTTCACTTGTCTTGAGTCTTCACTTCTTTTACTCCTCTTTGAGATTTCCTAGGCAAATAAATATGTGTTTCATAATACGACAGTAGTACTAACCTGGTGAACTTGCAGATGTAATTGTTGTTTCACCAGTTCCTGATGTTGGACCTGCTGTAGTTGTTTCACCTGTTCCAGATGTTGTTCCTGCTGTAGTTGTTTCACCTGTTCCAGATGTTGTTCCTGCTGTAGTTGTTTCACCTGTTGCAGATGTTGTTCCTGCAGTAGTTGTTTCACCTGTTGCAGATGTTGTTCCTGCAGTAGTTGTTTCACCTATTCCAGATGTTGTTCCTGTTGTAGTTGTTTCACCTATTGCAGATGTTGTTCCTGCAGTAGTTGTTTCACCTGTTCCAGATGTTGTTCCTGCTGTAGTTGTTTCACCTGTTCCAGATGTTGTACCTGGTGCAGATGTTGTACCTGGCTGTTTAGTTGTTGTATCTGTTGCGGGTGTCATAGTTGGTTGTATAGTTGTACCTGGCATTGAAAATAAGGCATATTTTGAATATGTGAAACCATCTTTTTGTTTATGGAACTTCCTGCTTCATACTGATTTGAAAGATCTTCACACAAAAAATTATTGTTCTGATGTTGATTCTTTGTGGCTAAGAACAAAGTAAAGAACAAAGTATAAAATGAGAAATTACCAGGAAAGCTTGTGGTTGATTCAGTTTGTATAGTAGTTGTCTCATATCCAGTTTCACACACTCCACAGCATCTTCCTTCAATGTACGTCAGTTTCTCTCCCTGGTATATCATAGTATGGATGTTATGTATACATCAATTGGTAAAATAGTGTTTTGTGATTTTTCAGTAACCGTTAAAGTCTAACCGGTATAGGGAAGAATCATAATCCATGAATATAAGTATAATAAGTGTTATTGGACGGTTGTCATAGTGACCACAATCAATTATGTTGGTTAACAAGTACTCACATCTACATGATAGTATTATATTGATAGACAAAATTCTTCAAAATCAAATCATATTTTATTCTGTTTAACTGTAGAATAACATTTCTTTGATATTGTCTACATTAATAAACAAATAATTAAATTACAATAACAATACACAATGCACGATATGTTCACTCACCTCTTTACACATAACATTGCAGGTTTTTGTGTATTCTACTAATGTTAAATTAGATGCGCATCGTATTATTTCACATGGATTGTTTTCCTTTGCTACTTCAGTGTTGACCTGAAAAGAATCACGTAGTATCATTAATATCTTGAGGAATTTGACACATAATGGTAAAACCGTCATATTCAATATCTTATTATTATTCAATACCAATATCTTATTATTGAGTGTAGTATTCACCATTTTATGATGAACAGTTGTACTTGATCAAGAAAGACTCTAGTCAAGTCACATATTGGTTGAGACCAGTTCATCAAAAAGGTTCCTGTTTAACCAGATGTTAAATGGTACCTTGAGAGTATTTGAGGAAATTATATTAATGAATTGGAATATAATAAATGTAGAGGCTGTATGTGAAATTATATGAGACAATAATAGTATATCATAAATTCACCTTGAGGCTGTATAGGGAAGGAATGATGCATCGGTATATTATAAAGTTTACCTTGAAACAGTATGGAAAAGCAATGATGCATAGGTATATTATAGATTTTTACCTTGATACAGTATGGGAAAGGCTATGATGCAAAGGTATATTATAAATTTTACCTTGAGACTCTATGGGGAAGGATATGATCCATAGGTATGTTATAAATCTACCTTGAAACTGCATGGGGAAGGATGTGATGCATCGGTATATTATAAATTTTACCTTGAAACAGTATGGGAAACGATATGATGCATCGGTATATTATACATTTTACCTTGAAACAGTATGGGAAACGATATGATGCCTAGGTATGTTATAAATTTTACCTCGAGGCTGTATGTGGAATTATATTGACACATTGGTATATTAGTAGGCCCTGCTGTTGTTGGACTTGAGGTGGGTGCTGATGTAGTCCTCGTTGTTCCTATTGTTGTTGAGGTTTGTGTTGTTGAATCTACAAGCATTGATCATGTTTGTTTGGCCCATATTTCTATTTTTTATTCATTTCATAGTTGCTTTGGTGCTCGTTTATAGGATTACATTTCAAATTAAAACTTCATTTTTGGAACCAGTGGAAAATACATTTTTGCAAATTTTCCATCAACGGCGGCTTTTAAACCATGAAATACGGCGCCGCATCTTATTTTGTGATAAGGATCCAGACGATATGATAGATGTACCAAGTAATAAAAACACTGTCAAAAAGACTCCCAATGATATAAAAATGTTGAAGTTGAGTGGATATAACAGAATAATTTGGGGTGGGGAACTTGAGAACCATCCTTTAACTATGGGTGATATCATGACAATTTGTATCATGCAAGATCATCCAAGGACATTGAAATCTACTCTATCGCTACGCTCGCTCAGGAAAATATCATATCAATTCGTAGATAATGATTATATCCCTAATTAATACGGGATATTCTCTATATAACACTATTAATAGTACTATTTCTATCCTGTTCGATCAATTTTGATGGTGCACTTAAAACAAGGTCATTTCAAGTTAAACCCCCATTTTCAAATTATACTCCATCTATATTTGTATCATTTCTATATCTAAAGCCCTCGTGTATTTATCATGATATATCTTTAGCAATCCTTTAGGTTATTGAAACGAAATAGAAACTTTCAGACAATACACTCTTAAAAATTATTACTTGGATGTCCTTATATTGAGAAATTGTACTACTCATTTTAAGTCAAAAATTACTTAAATAATCTTGAACTACTGAATAAGTTTTAAGTAATTTTTAAGTAATTCATGTATGGTGAATTTACTAATGCAAGGAGAGAAATTGAAATACTTGCTGTAGTAATTGTAATACTCATTTACATAATTAAGCAATTAAAAAACTCAAAATGACAATATAAGTTAAACCTAAGTAAAATGAAGTAAAACTAAGTATTTAACTTTAAGTAATTTTCATACTTGGGAAATACTTGGGAAATACTCAAGTAATTCATTTTAAGAGTGTATATACACGTGAACAAGAAATCAAAAATTTTACCTTGGTTAGTTGTTACTCGTGTGGTCATAAGAGGGAAACCTAAAATAAGATGTGAGAAGCAAGGTCAAGTGCATATCTAAAATTAATCTTGTGGATATATTAAGGATCTGGAATGAGGTCAGCTCTCACAAGCCGTCTTTTTAATCATTTCAAATAGAGTTAAGTGTCATTCGTGTTGCTTTTGTAATGAAATGCAGTTGATGTGAAAGTTTTAAATTGAATTATATTAGACACATACAATATAGATGATAACTGATAAATTGAGACTACGTATGAACAAAATGCCACATTGGTGCAATTAATATAAATGATAATATGACACTGAATGTAGCGTTTTAACAGACATATTGTTACAAGTACAATTGGTAGCTCCAGAATAGATGTTTGGCATAACTCTGTTTTCGCATTCACAGATTGTGGAGAAAATGTGGTTAGAATATTACTAAAATTGCAAGCAACAATTACTCAAAAGAATTCAAGTCAATTCAATTTTAATTCAGATTCAAAAATTCAAGAAAATATAACATTTCTTCAGAATTATTATTGTTAATAGCAATTCTTTTTAGATCTATCAGAATTTTTTGAAACCACAACTGTCCTCAAACACAATAAAACGACCCAAAAGTATTTTCAAAAATACAATTCCAACCTTTCATGTAGGATTCTAGAAAATATGGTACCTGTGCTGAATGTTGGTGGAATCGTTGTAAATGTGGTTGTTGGCGTCTCAGTTGGGACGCAGTCTGCCATCTCCTGGCAGGCTATCCGTCCACGAACACATTGACTGAAAAAAGATTGAACTCCTATTTTCATTTGGAAGTATTTAAGAAAGATGAGCACGCGTACATTGAGCAGCGTAGAAGAGAGAATGTTACCCCCCAGTAAATATTTTCAACGATTCTGAGGGCGCTTTTAATAGATCAGCTATAGAAATATATGTAATTAATATGTATATGCGTAAAGTGTGGTATCATTAATTCCAAACTCTTCCAAAGTCTTGTGAGGGACCCATATGAAAAACGATGGTGTGACATGTCAGTGACTCACCAAATGTTACATTCGTTGCCACTGTGCCAGGTGGAAGATGGCTCCTTTACAACACCATATTCATCAATGCATGGACATTCCTCGGCGAGAGTGCACTCTCCTGTGAACAAAGTAAAGACGGGGATAAAAAACAGATCTAGGAAATCATCATTCTGGTACTTTTATCGCACCGTTGTAAAACTTGTTTGGATTATAGCAGAACAACGTATTGTAGTTTCTAGCTTTTGGAGAACCAAACTTGCGTATAAAGGACAACATTTACATGTATATAGCATAACAAGAAAAAACTTATTTTTGCCAATAACCCAATCCTACTCCTCATTCAACCGAACGAAATTCGTAGGAATATAGAAAAGTCATTAGTCCATTTGTCCATCTTTTCATTCATTCGAACGATAACTCAAATAGCAATAAACGGATTTGATTCTACATCATCTACATCTACAGATAAAATAAAGCAGATATATAGTTTAACAGAGAATGGCGATGGCCACTGGAGAGCTATACCAGAGTATATGTATGGAAAATTAGGTAAAAAGTTTAGTATTCTCAACAGCAATATAAGTGCTGATCAGTTGAAAGGTATCGCTCATTTGAGCATTTTCTATAAAAAATTATTATTTACATGGCTTGAGAATAGCAATTATACAGATGAATCTATAATATGGAATAACAGAAATATTGTATTAAGTAGATATCCCTTGTACTTTCACAAGTGGATAGAAAAGGGTTTAATCTACATATCAGATGTTGTTGTGAATGGACACTTAAAACCATATGAGGTAATTTCTGAATTAATAGGAAAAAATGCTGAAACTTTAATGCAATATAACATTTTAAGAGCTTGTTTAAACCAAGAGAAAATTCATATGTATGGTAATATAAAACCCAGTGAAACACTAGTATTTCGAGGAATAGAAATTGAAAAATTAACATCACAGAAAACCAGGAATAAGCTTGTAAAAGAAAGGCAGTGTGATGTACAATTTAATGGTTTGACTATTGGTTCAGACATTTGGAATCAGCTATTTAAATGTACGTCAGACACTGGTCTTTTAAGTATCCAATGGAAAATTGTCCATGGTATATATCCACATGGTGGTTTATTAAAAAAATATAACATAGAACAATCTGATTTATGTAAACTATGTAACGAAGTTGATAATATTGAACACTTTTTTATACATTGTAATGCAATTAAAAATATTTGGAAAGATGTAGCTTTGAATGATAAGGAAAAAATAGGGATGGGAATATTAGATAAAAAGTTATTATACAAGTCACTTGTAATAAAGAAAACTATACATGACTTTAAGTTTTCAAAGAATGAGAGAAAAAATATATCTGTAATGTTTGAATATGAAAAATATGTTAGAAACATTGTTGATTGAGAAAATGTATTTAAAGTTTTTGAAATATTTCATTTTGAAATATTGATTTGTATGCTAATGAATGATAGAAATAAATTTTAAAAAAAAATAAGAAAAAAGTTTAACAGTGATAGAATTTGAATAGAATACAATTACCTTAACATTTCAAAAAGTGTATAGGCTCGTGCCTGATGGTTGTGGGACCTCTGCTCGAGAAGAAATTTTCAATATGGCCGTTCTTTAACACGACCATCATTTTTTATGAAAATGTAATCTTAGTGAAATAATACTACTTGATGGATTTGGTTATATATGCTTCTTTATGCTTTTTTAGAACCAATCGATTGTAGCTCAAATTTGCTATGGGGGAAGTTGAGATGAAAAAATGAGATGAACGGACCACGGTTGCAAATCCAAATCATGTGAAGAAGTGAAGATCCAGATTATTAAGAGTTTTGACAGAAGTGTGCATTTTGCTAGTTCATATAACAAGTGGACTAGACGAAAGGAATGTGCAAATAAACCTTACCATTATAATCCTGTACATATCCAGGGGCACAATAACATCCTTCCAAACATCGTGTGCCATTGTACTGAACGTCCTGTTGAGCCAACTCAAGACATGATGTCGGCTCGCCAGTCCCACAATCCAAGAAAGTCATATCTCCGGGACACATTTGAGCTGCAAAGTAGAGAGTACACGGTTTACTCTAGATTATATCATTATGTTATATTCCTAACTGATATGCATAACAAGTCGATCACAGGCTGAAAGACAGATCTCACAAATTATTTTTTAACTAAGATGCTTCGTTACATCAAACGATGTGACGGGGCCCTCTTATTTCCCCAACAAATTTAAACCATTGTCCGCTGTATATTGGTGACAATTTTTATATAACCTCTTGACTTTTTCATCCAGTAAATGTGTAGAATTTTAAATAATTACTTTTAAAGGATTTAACACTAACAAATTTAAACCCTTGTCCGCTGTATATTGGTGACAATTTTTATATAACTTCTTGACTATAAACATTTTCATCTAGTAAATGTGTAGAATTTTAAATAATTATTTTTAAAGGATTTAAATAAAATGGCTTATGTATCATATAAGATTCGACTTCGGGGGTAACTTACGACAAAACATTGTTGTTCTGTATTGAATGGTGATTCCGTTTTCTTGACAGGCCTTTTCATATGCAGATGCAACGTTACATGGACACTCGCAATCACCGCCCCTATCGCAGCCACAACTATCGTACATGCAGTCCATGACAAATTGTGTTTTGGGTACCTTAAATCACAATGCCACAAATCACAATGAAGCACCATGAATCTTTACATTAGAACAACTAAATGTTCGAATAGTAGTAAATAAATTGGGCATGTTCAAGGACCAGGTTATATAACCATTTACTGATTTAGAAATATTTATCAAAGAACTCCATCATAAATTTGGGATTTTCAACATTCGCTAAAATAACAAAATTCTAAAACAGTTAAAAGTGTAAAAGTTAATTCTCTGACGTTTAAAACATGTTAACAGAAGCAATCTACAGAGCATCTCTTAATACAGCTAGATAAATACTCTGTGTATTTCTGCAACTATATTCACTTACCGTTGAATGGCAAGGTGCAAAAGGACCATCATCAGCATCTAATGCAGAACAAATTGCCTGAGCCCAATATTTTTTGGGACTTCCTTCACAAGGGTCCTCAACTGGCGCTTCCAAGGCACAGTCCGATTTAGCTAAGGAATGCGCAAAGGTCTGTATGTTGTCCGCAATTGCGTTGTTTTGCATCGTCAGCTCATCTGTTGAGTCGTTATTGTAGTTACCACACAAACCAAACATACCAGTGGTCACTATGCCTTTGTTTGCGTAAACATACAGATTGACACCGGTGTGGATGTCATAGTGAATCTCAAAATCTGCAACAGAATAGTGAACTGATTAAACTTGTTCTTATAATAGTGTTCTTATTGTACAATATACAATTAAATAGTGGATCTTATACAATAAAACCAGTGAATTTTACATGATAGAATAAAATACTGTACTCAGTTGTACGTTTTACATTATATGTATAATTCAGTGCATTGCATGTCATGTTGGGCTATGTTAATGTTAATATTTTGCTACTCAATGACATTATATTATCATTATGACAATAGTGCTCACTGCAAAATAAGACATATACAAGCATAATATAGGCTGTGATAACATGTATATGATGTAGGATGTGATAACGTGCATATGATGTAGACTGTGATAACATGTATATGATATAGGCTGTAATAACATGTATATAATGTAGGCTGTAATAACGTGTATATGATGTTGACTATGATAACATGTATATGATGTAGACTGTGATAACATGTTTATGATGTAGACTGTGATAACATGTATATGATGTTGACTGTGATAACATGTATATATGATGTAGACTGTGATAACATGTATATGATGTAGACAGAGATAACATGTATATGATATAGGCTGTAATAATGTGTATATGATGTAGACTGTGATAACATGTATATGATGTAGACAGAGATAACATGTATATGATATAGGCTGTAATAACGTGTATATGATGTAGACTGTGATAACATGTATATGATGTTGACTATGATAACATGTATATGATGTAGACTGTGATAACATGTTTATGATGTAGACTGTGGTAACATGTATATGATATAGGCTGTAATAACGTGTATATGATGTTGACTGTGATAACATGTATACGATGTATACTGATAACATGTAAATAAAACCAGTGAATTTTACATGATAGAATAAAATACTGTACTCAGTTGTACGTTTTACATTATATGTATAATTCAGTGCATTGCATGTCATGTTGGGCTATGTTAATGTTAATATTTTGCTACTCAATGACATTATATTATCATTATGACAATAGTGCTCACTGCAAAATAAGACATATACAAGCATAATATAGGCTGTGATAACATGTATATGATGTAGGATGTGATAACGTGCATATGATGTAGACAGAGATAACATGTATATGATGTTGACTATGATAACATGTATATGATGTAGACTGTGATAACATGTTTATGATGTAGACTGTGGTAACATGTATATGATATAGGCTGTAATAATGTGTATATGATGTAGACTGTGATAACATGTATATGATGTAGACAGAGATAACATGTATATGATATAGGCTGTAATAACGTGTATATGATGTAGACTGTGATAACATGTATATGATGTTGACTATGATAACATGTATATGATGTAGACTGTGATAACATGTTTATGATGTAGACTGTGGTAACATGTATATGATATAGGCTGTAATAACGTGTATATGATGTTGACTGTGATAACATTGATATAGGCTATGATAAAGATTACTGGGAAATATTGTTACCTAGCAGCATAATAATAAGGAAGTTGCCCTGTTCTCTTAAAGTAAATATTGCACCACTCGAGTCTGAGGCAACTGGGTCCATTCCTCTGATCAAATGAAGCATTTCCTCTCCTTTATAGTTGATAATGATACTATTCGTGCACGTTACACCTGCAGTCCCGCAAGCATAAGAAGACAACACTATCTCCACATCACCTTTGAAAGTAACAAAATACACATTACATATTATAGCTCACTATGCAATATGAACCATTTGAAGTGGAGGGGGGGGGGCTTTTACTCCAATAACATTCGTCTCTACCCCACCATGTAGGGACTTCGAGCAACGAACTAAAAACGTATTCCTAAATTTGACTTTGCTATATGTAAGATGTTTTGTGCCTTTGTACTTACCTGATTTGAGTAGTGTGTAGTCACAGTCTCCCTCGAAAGTATAAGACAGTCCATCAAACGTTTTGAAATGAGATAATCCGTAAATGGAACAGACATCTAAAATAATGATCATGAGATACGGTTATTATAGTGTACAGTTCATCGAATTTGTATTTCTGTACTCTGTGGATTTCTCGAGCATTCTCAAAAAATGAAATTTTACATTTGATTTTAATTATGATGTGTAATAGATAGATTTTGGAAACCCAAATATTGATTGATTCGAACCACGAATCATTTAAAGCATTTGATAACCTTCTCCTACTACGAGTGCATGATAACGGTATTGAAACAGATGGAAGCAATGAACCGAGCAGACTTACCGGGACATTCGTGGCTGCCACATTCCCAACGGCCACCATGTGTACATGTGCTGAAATAAAGTAATTTCAAACGTTTAACATTCGTTTTATATAATTATCTATTCCTAACACCCCTTTGTGCATTTTGCTCGAATACTGATTTTATTTGAAGATCAAGTGAGACGCACTTCTTTTACAGGTTTTATAAAAAAATGCAATCGGGGTAAGTGAACTAAATAATTGCTCATCCATATGGCACTCTTTCTAAAAACTTTCTAAAAAAGATTATTGCCAAATACCTCAAAATGAAACAATTGTGAAAAATATTTTAGGATAAGAAAACAAACATTATATAGAATGTATGGGTTCGACGTTCTATCGGCAGTTCATTCCGATGGTACAACATGATACATCCATACAAAGCAATTGTCTTACCATTCCTGGAACAAGCCATGTTCCCTCGTTTGACCTACAGAATATGTAGTGTCTTCAAATACACAAGGACACTCATCTGTGTTGATACATTCACCATTATACCGCACCATACCTAAAAGAAAAATCGAGACGTGACATTCAAAATTTAATAGATTTAATTCAAAAATTGATCTTTTCTTTCAAGGAACATCATGTTAAAGTTTTAAAATTACAATCCACGAGTCAACAAGGTGATTTAGTTTTACGCCAATGAAGTTTTACACTTACACAAATATTCAACGAATCAAGAAATATATCAAGCCAGTATATGTCAGATTCATTTTCCAATTGCATATGCAAGTATTTAACCCTAAATACGCCATACGATCTACATTATTTATCATATCTAAATAGCGTTTTTTAAAGAAAATAACTGACCAGTTTTGCAAACACACGCGGCGTACATGCTTTGATCGTGTGTGTTACATATGGTATGTAAAGTACCACATGACCTATCTTTCTCACAGATTGATGTGTAGTTCTTCCAGTATTCATTAGGCCCACATGTGTTTTCGTCTGAAACAATAATGTGTGCTCTTATTGTATGATACTACAGAATATGTACAGCAGCAGTTAGATCAACTCGTTTAGATTCCATGTTAATGAAATTTGAAATTTGAAAAATTATTTATACTATCACAGAGGTCACACAACAAAGATGTTGAAAAATGACAATATTACAATCGACTTCTTTACCTTTTTCATACTACTCACCTGTACACACAATGTCTGTACAGGACCACTGTCCCTCATTACATGTGCTAAAATACATCATAATATAAATATAACATGATATCATGCAATATGATAATGTAAAAACCTTCATCGTTACTTTAAATTGTAAGTTTTCCAAACTTTTGAATTTTGTAACAAAAACAATTTGCCTAACTGACCACAATGGGGATGCTTTGGCCATGTAGCTTTAGCCTTAGCCAGATTCCAGGATTTAGGATGTAGTATTTATTTGGAACATATTGAGACCTTGTAAATACATAATATTTTAATGTAGGATTTACCATTGGTTACATTCATCCTGCCTGACGGCCCCCTCATCATACGGAACGTCCCTGAAGTAGCATGGGCATTCAGATTTTGGTATACACATTCCACTTTCATCATTATAGACTTCACCCTAGGAAGAAAGCAACATTTTGAACGAAACTGTTTTAGAGCTCTGTGAACAACGTTTCTATGGGTAACTTTTCGGGGTGTCATCATTATTTTAATTTTCATTAAAAATAAATTTAAACGGAGGCGAACGTACTTCTTGACACCAACACCCCTCAATACATCCTGGGTTGGTATTTTGGCAATTTGTTGGTTGAACGTTTCTGCACGTCAGATCACAGCTGCTAAGGCAGGAGTTATAGACCATACCCTCACTGCAAGTCATTTCTGTAAGTCGCAAAATAAGTCAGTTGTTATATAAGATACATAACCACACAATTCATTGCCAGTCGATGAACCAAAAAATCTTTCCTTATATTTAAATATGATTTTAAGATATTTTCAATAATATCTGATTGTTATGTTGCATTTACTTGTTGTTTACTAGATATTCATATTTTAGACAGCATATTTATCAGTGCAATAAATAAAATGAAAATAAATAAAAACGTTTGTGGTGGTGACATAAAAACTATGACCAATTATGTGGTTGCGTCTCACAAAAAAAATTTCCAAAGAGTACTTAGTTTCGTATGCAGTATTTTCTATGAAAATTGCTAAAAACAAACAAAGACAAACCAGATGTTCTCCATCAATTAATATTGACATGCTATTATATTGTTTTTTATTTAACATTAAAAAGCAGTTCACGTCGTATAAGTAGTTTTAGCACAAGGTCCATTTACAAATTGACCACTGGAAGGGTAAAGACCAAAGATGAAATCGACATCAAAAGAATTTTTCAAAATAGAGTGCTAACTCACCGCATCCCAATGCCTCTCTCCAATTGCCCATGTCAACATTGTGTCTGGTACATTCGGATGCATAGGTGGCATACGCCATGCATAGTAACGATTTTTCTTTACTTGGATCTTCTGAATGCGAACAGACGTCCTGCTTACACTTGGCAACATAGCTGATGGGGTTTATATGGCCATGGCATGTCATCATGAGTTCGGCTAAATAAAAAATGAATCATTCTTTCATCCAATCGTGATCTTAGGTATATTACAGAAAACATGGGGATAAATCCTACTGACAAAAAATTCTGGTGTAAATATGATTTTCTCTGTTTCACAAAGGTGTGACATGGTGACACACACATGCGACCCATAACTCTATTTTTTATTAAAGAGTCGAGGTTGAAAATTTTACGCCTAAATACCTGTTGATATTTTGTCACACTGGCTAGCCTTATTGTGATCATATTGAGAAGAGCATGGGTTTGAAGGAATGTTGGTTGCACCACTGCATCCTCCCGCCCATGTATCCGCAAGTTTTGCGAAATTGGTTTCGGTTTCACCTATTTGTGTTTTCAGATCATCTTTGATATTGTTATTGAAATTGCCACAAAGACCTTCCACCTTTAACAAAAGATATAGACATTTTGAATCTACTTTTGTAGCTAATTATAGCACATAACCTGAAACATATGTAATGCCTAGGTCACATTTGCTCCGATTCATCGGACGCCATTCGGACGCCGGCCGATTGTAGTATTTTGTTCAAAACTGATTTCAACTTGCTTCAAATTGACCAAACTTCTTTTTTTTAAATCATGTACAAGTTCTCAGGAGTTCACATCTGACCTCATATTTGAGATCTGACCTTCAATTTTGAACAAGATACTCAATCGGCCGGGCGCCGGTCGATCGATCGGGGCAAATGTGACCTAGGCATAACGACCCTGTTTTGTTGGGATTCTCTTGGCAGAAGGGTTGGTGAATCACTCGAAAACTTCGTTATTTCTATATCAACATCTTTCACTGCGCTCATTCGTGCGAGATATTTATATCAACTGGTGGATAAAAAGATATCGCTCAAAATCATAGAATATCATAAACTTATGTTTCATCATTTTATTAATGGACTATATTATTATTTCGATAGGACACTCTTGCGTCACTAATATGTTTTACCTGTTGTTTGTAGGACTCGTCCAATGTCATCGTAATTTTCTCTCCATCTGACAATACTTCGAGTATTTGTTTATTAGTGGATGGATCAGTCACTGCGAAACGCAAATGCCTGTCGGAGTTTTTATAAATCCAAACATTGTTGGCACCATATGGTAGATTGGTATCACCCCCATCGACGCTTACATCGGTCCAGGTTTGTGTATGTTTAAGCCTGAAAGAAATTTCAAATTATTTCCATCCCCAGTCAAGACGATAATTGTGACTTACATTCTATATGCTTTCAATATTGCACAACGCTGGAGTAAACCCTCTAGAAATCATGCATCGAAAATCAAAACACTTCGATCAGAGAACCATTGAAAACTTCTTTTAAAAATATCTTTCAAGGAAATATTTTTAACTTCAATGGTGATTTTAAAACAATGGAATAAATTTTAAGTCCGATATTTATTATTTGGCTAATATCATATTATACACGTATAACTATGTGCTCGTAGTTTTGTAAGTATATATGTTTATTATCAATTTTTACTTACGTAAATTTCCTATATTTATTGTTTGCCACATCATCCACGTCTATATACACAACTTTGTCGCATATTCCGCCGACACAATTGTCTGAGACTTCAATGTTGAAGTACAGCTTGTGCACATTTTCATATATGTTTCTGTCGATGTTACTTGTGCTAAACATCTTGTAGGTGCACTGTGAATTTTGTTCAAACGATATATCCTGATTGTCGAAGGTCAGTACCTGGTAAAATGGGCCACCGTAGATGATGCAACGTGTATCAGGAACATTTTTGCAATCAAAGATACCACCACTTTTACAAACGCTGAAAATCAACACTTAGTTTGTGATAGTTGCTCCTTGTATTTGATGCTATTACTATTAATTGATCATGCATACATACTGTACATAATATTACAAAATATGTAAAAGTACCCTAATAAATATTGTAATTATTTCATACTCGAGTAAATACTTGAGATGGACGTAACCAGGGTGGTGAGGGGGGGGGGTGCGACAAAAAAGAAAGGGGCATTTTTGTAAAATTTGTTGAAAAACATTTACAATTATAGTTTGGAATGCTTAGAATGAACCATTTACACTGTACATTGAAAAATTCCGGTCGGAATTGTGGGGCTCGCTTCGCTCGCATTGATGCAAACCCGAAAATCGCACCCCTTGACAATTGCTGGGACAAGTTGATCGAATTTCAATAATGCCTTTGCTACATATACGTACCAGGTTTGTATGTCAGAGTTCATAATCATTCCAATATCGTATTTCTGGCCGTCATTTACACAAGTACACTCATCTGGTCCTACACATATTCCGTCTGCCCTCATTAGCGTACCTATATATCAGTAATTATTAAACAATGTATCAGTATCAAGCATAGTAGCAAATGCATGAGATGTATCGAGTCAATGCGTAACAGTAATTATTAAACAATGTATCAGTATCAAGCATAGTAGCAAATACATGAGATGTATCGAGTCAATGCGTAACTTATGGCCATCAGATGAAGCTACGAAAGAAGAATATGCCATGTATTTAAGAATACACTGCACGAACCATTGAAACTTCATTTTCAGGTTCATATAAAACGTCTGAATGAAGATATTTTTTGTTGATTTTGCCAAAATAACGAGATGGTCAGATAAATCATTTCAAAAAGTTTAAATTCGCGTTAGTAATTTAACGCGAATTTAAACTTTTTAAAATGATTAAAAAATGAGTTCAAATGTTTTTTTGTTTTTTATTTATATCTATTTTACAGATCTGATGTTGAATATTTATCAATCTATTTTATTTTCATCAGAGAAACAATGAATTGGTTAAATATTAAAGATGGGGAAGTGAACAGGACAGCCAACTTGAAATTGTGAAATTGATGAATTCTAAAACAGAATCTAAAAATCACTCGCTATTATTGGTTGTAATTTTAAGAATGCATATAATACTGTGTTCTGATTGACTGAAAGTTGCAATTGATATAAACGTATGCATGGCTATGTGTACTAAATACTACTCATAAAATTCCAAACAGTAAGTTTGTTATGTTTAATCAAAAATTAAATTTCAATTGCCCATCCTGTATCACAATGTACATATCCAAAGCCACCAAACACAGCTCTCATAATTTGGTCGACTCCTACAACACTTACCAGCAGGACAAAAACAGCCATCATTTGAACATGTTTGAGTGCAGAACTGGGAAGTTTCCTGTTCGCCACATCTCTGTGGTGAGCAACTGGGACTGCATCTTTGGTATTCTTTGCCTGAATCGGCCTCACAGAGACTGTTCACTGGAAACAGTACGTCAGGTTGAATGTAATTTGGTAGGGGGAAGGTTTCCAGATCCGATTTACAGCTTTATATTTTGGTTACATCATTTTGGGGATAATTTCAGTAATTTAGCCCATAAGGAGTTGTTCCAAGTTAGAGCCCATGGAATCATGAAATATTACCCTGTGCGTAGATTATAATTATAAATTAAGACGAAGCTCTCTTTTAAAAAACGTCGAACGAATGCAAAGCGTAATGAAATATTAAAAATTGGTATAAAAATCGTATATAACACATTCTTAAGCTTGCTCATAGAAATACGTTTTTACAAAATTGGCCATTCTGCCATGACACAAATAATAGTTTTATAGTGACCATATAAATTATTTGAATGCAATATATGTTTACTCACTTGTATTAGTACATTGCATTGTTTCGAGATAGTCACTGTCTACGTTTTCTACCAACTTAGTAATATAGGGGGCCATGAAACAGCCCATATTGTAGCAGAATGACGCGTCGCGATTTGTCAAGCAAATATTCATATCTTCTTCACAATCAGCAATGATAGCAGGAATGTTCACATCATCTAACTTATCCAAAGAAACTTTACTCAGATCGTTGGCGTATAGTACAACATTTTCTTCCTAAAGGTACAGAACAGCATTTAAAGAATATTATCACACCATTGTATTTGTATTTGATACCTTGAAATGATCACTTAGGACATTGGATACTGATCGAATTTCGCTTGATCTGTATAGGCCAAATAAATTGATTAGATGTACTACGTTTGCGGGAAATTGATTGACTTGGTATTTAGTCAATTATTCTTCGATTGGCTACTTTTATATCATTAACCTACCACGATTGTTGGATTGACAAGAGGTGACAATTCTCTCGTATCAGATGGGTCATTAAACAAATCCCCACCGATACACGCGCCACTAGGAGCTGGTAAAAATCCCCGTTGCTGTATACGCCCTTCGATCTTGATGTACCCAGTACTCTTCTGGCAATAGATTTTAAAATCTGAAAATAAAAATATCTGGTCAGCGTGGAAATTTAAACATTGAGAATTTTAATCGACTAAGTGTTTATTTGTAAATATTTTTTCAACTCGTATCATTCAGAGTTTTATTGAACTGTACATTTTGATAAAACATGGTCAAATTGGCCGTTATTTACAAATTCGTTTCAAAGATCCTATTCCAACAAATCTGTACGGAGACAATTTTGGTTCGATATGGTCATTCCATTCATTTATCAAAAAACATTGATAAGCAGAAATTGTAAAGATTAAAAGGGGTGATTAAAAGATGAACTATTTAGTGTTTTTCAAAATTTGTGAATTTTTCAGTTTTCACTAAAAAATAAAATCCTATATTTTAATGCGAAACGCCAGATTTCAATTAGCTTATACTATAACGTACGCCTAAACCTAGGCATAAACATAATTGATATAAATATGAGCGAAATCCACATTTGCAGAAGAATTGTTTTTACACTTGTTAAATATGCGTTTTACTTTGATATTAAAATAGAAAGCAAGTAAATCATTGCATTTTAACATTCTGACCAGACGAAATAGAATAATGACTAATATTTTATTAACATGTATACTACCTCCTATGCCATTTATGACGTGGTAGAAACCGTCATCAGAAACACTTATATCATCGTCAGGGCGACTGAATGGGATACTCTGTTGGAATTTATCATCTCCAAACCCTGTATATAACCCATCTGAACTCAGGGTGATAAATCCTAAACCCGAGTAGTCAGTTATCTGAAAAAGTGAGTAGCAAATGATTCGTAAAACGCTGACAATGATCTCACTGAATACGCTTTGGGTAAGTCGAACAACAAGTTGAACAACATCAAAAAGGGGGCTATATACCAATAAATCACGTGAGAGATCCAGAAGAAGTTATTAGACTAATCCTTTAATTTATAATACTGGATTGGATCAGTATTTCACTGGACGTGAGCATTTCGTAATTTCGACCCACGGGATTACTGTCCCACTCTAAATTTACTTTTCCAGGGACCTAATTACAATTAATTTCCGTATACCTTTAAATAACAATATACTCAATCAGCCGAGTATACAGTACACATGTGAGAACTAATCCACAGACGACCATAATTCTACACGTTCACGTGCAAGTTAAATAATTGTATCTTAAACTCCCTATTTTCGTATTTACTGACCTCTAACGAGAACGTAGTGTCTTTGCAGTTCGGGTCTACACCATCGCAGCCAGAGCTGGGATTGAGGAAGATTTGGCGTGGGTCATTGCCGTCGTAATAATCGAGCAACAAAATACGATTGCGCCCTATTTCCTTCCGTTCTCCATTTCTGAGCATGCGCTTTAACCCATAGACTGAACAATCAATAGGCGTTTCGGTTAAATCATCACTGAAAAATATTGAGACATTACGTCCTTTAGCTCGGAAACGTCCAATAAACTTAACCTTTTTCCTTTTTTTCTTTTTTTTATTGCATCTTTCTTACACAAAACATTATACATAATATACATACAGATAAAATCCATATACATTGAATATTTAATATTATTATATCACTGTCATATTCCTCACTCTCTTATTGGTCTATGTCCTACACGTGGCTAAAAAATAACTAGCGATATTCAACGGAAGTCACGTGACTTCCGGTGAATATCAAATGATATTCAACGGTCATGACTTATACCTGCGTGGTTGACTTAGTATGTATGTAGTGAAATTTTCATTTTATATATCCCATAATAACCAAAACGGCAGACGGTAAGCAAAGGTTTCCAAATATTTCTGCAGAAGAAATTCATAGAATCCACAGGAATATTCATTCAGAAAACACAATAAAGACAACAAAAAGATCAGTGACGATCTTTCAAGATTGGATATCTAGCAATGACGATGTGATTGATTTGGAAAACGTATCAAAATCAACATTGAATGAAAAATTGAACCAGTTTTATTTGGAGGCGCGATCAATTGAGGGAGAACACCATAAATACTGTTAACATATGACTTATTTAATTATAGAAGATGTTATGACAGTGATATAATAAAACAAATATTTAATTCTATTTTCGGTGAATACCTTTGACACTTTCACAAGATGATATTCCACTAGCCCTTCGGGCTTCGTGGAATATCACTTGTGAAAGATGCACAGGTATTCACCTCAATAGAATTAAATATTTGTATTTATTATTACATATTTATATTTAACAATTATACGTTTTACGCTTTTCAGACCATCTCCATTCAGAGTATTTAATTTAACTTAATTAAAAGGGTACCATTTGAAAATACAATACATGCAATACGGTTATCTTTCAATCGTATTGGGCTGACAATATTTTAATATAAAAGGGTATAAAGTAAAACAAAAATGTCAATGCTGTTGGTTTAATCTATCTATAACCCATCTCCAAGTCTCGCCGAAACTTTCCAGTGTGCCATTTAAGTTTGCAACATTTCGTTCGTCATTGATTTTGTATTTTATGATTTCTTTTATTTGTATAAATGTTATTTTAGTATTAACGAGTCTTGATTTATGTATTAAGCTTTTTATATACACGCAAAAATTAATTGCTTTTGAAGTGTGGTCGTGTTCTTGATCTAATTTCCCGACAATTATGTCTTTAATTGTGAGATCAATATTGAAGAATTTTTTGAAGTCATCCCAAATCTTGGCAGAGTTTGGGCACTCTATGAAGAAGTGTATCGTATCATCTATTTTATCGTTTTTGCAAAAGTCGCATAAATTTGAATTTTTTATTTTCTTTCGAGTTAAAAATTGATTATTTGGTGTAACGTTTAAAACAAGTTTGTATTGAAGGCATTGTATTCTCGGTTTTCGAACCGTCTTAAAAGGTAATGTAAAAATGTGTTTCCAATCTTCTTCTGTAAAGTTGAATTTTGAATTTAAATATTTTTTCCCGTTGGGTTCTTTAAATAAATTATCTACGAGAATCCAATATATGGTTTTAGTTTTTATAGATTTGACGTTTATTGTCGTGTTTTTGATTTGAAGCTCTTCCTCTTTAAGTGCCTTGTTGCTTCGATTGTTTTTAATGTGTTGTTTCCAGGAGTGTGGAATTGCATGAATTAAGCCATAGAAAGTAACGAAAGGTGTATTAATATCATATTTTAAAGAGAAATCTTCGAAACCTAAGAATTCATTATTGTTAAAGAGATATTTTATTTGAAGGATTCCTTTACTTATCCAGCTTGCATAATTTAAGGTTTTGTCGTTAATTTTTATGAACTCATTATTCCAGATATACTTTTTAAAGCAAGTTCTTTATTATAGGGCTCTTTATTATGTAATAATTTCCAGGTTTCCATGATATTATAGTAGAAAGGGGGTAACTTGGCTCACTTGTCATCGGGAAATTTTGAATGAAATATTGTCTCCGAGTCTAGATTAGGAAAAAAGCTGTAGAAATATTGCTTCCATTTGCTAGGCTTCTTCTGGTATAATCTTTTTACCCATTGTATTTGTAAAGCTTTTATTTGCGTTTCAAAATGTAAGCTCTTGATTCCCCCTTTTTCGATTTTTCCTATGGTTGTTAAATTGCTTATTAATGCAGGTTTTCTGTTCCATAAAAAGTTATTAATGAGATTTTGAACATTATTAATGATGTGTTTTGGTACAAGTATGGTTGATGCTAGATATGTTAGTTTTGAAATCCCTAGAGCTTTGATCAACACGTTTTTTCCTATTAAGCTAAGGTTCCTCCATTCCCATATTTTAAATAAGTTTTCTATAGATTTAATCTTAGGAGAGAAGTTAAGGTCATTCCATTCGTTTATATTTTAACTAAACCATACTCCGAGGGTGTAAAAAATTTTATTATTGATTTTAATTTTTGAGACAAGACTTTTTGGTGCAATTTGTGGGGGTGTTGTTTTAAACATACCTAACCACCTTCCTTCTGTTTTCTGAAGGTTGGGCTTGAGGCCAGAAATTTCACTTAACCTACTACATACATTTGTTAGGATATAGTAATAATAGGATAAAATGTATATGAAATCGCAAACAATGTTTGAAAATGATTTGACTATGGCACATTTGTTTAAGTAATGATTAAAAAGGCGTATGTCCGAACGTCGAAGGTACGATTTTTCTTTTTTCTTTATTTCACGCGTTGTAGGCAGAATCCCCACGACTTTTTCTCACAAACGTGTATCAGCATCATACGAGCGTATGTTTTAGAAAATGTACATGTTTGCGAAAAATAGCTCAGAAGACAACAGAATCGTCGATTTAATTCCTCGCTTAAGTTACATAAACGGTTTGGGTTAAAAGTGCAGATCTTAACTGTTTTTCGAAAAACCGTTTATGTAACTTATGTGAGGAATTAAATCGATGATTCTGTTGTCTTCTGAACTATTTGTTCGCAAATATGTACATTTTCTTAAACATATGATACTGATACACGTTTGTATTGAAAATGTCGTGGGAATTCTGCCTACAACGTGTGAAATAAGCAAAAAAGAAAATCGTACCTTCGATGTTCCGACATTTTGTTACTAAAACGAACCGTTTCGGTAACCAGCGTAATCGATTGGATCACCAGTGAAGCTATAGCGTGTTGAAAAGATATTAATTGACATTAATTTAAAATAAATATGTCTTATATTTTCAGGCTTGGTTGGGGAAATACTATATTTAATCAAATTACTTACCCTTGTCCGATAAGTCCAGCCGGGAAGCTGGCCAAAAAGGCCAGCAATACAAGTGGCGAGGGCCACATCACCCGAACCGTTTTTGTTAAATTCTTTCGATATATAACTTTTTCTTGTTTCAAATTGAGAAAATAAGATATTTAAGTCGTTATCTGAGGATTTGCCGGAACGTCCCTCTCGTTGAAAAGTCCGTTGGAAAATCAGCAGTAGACAGATGCCTGTGGCATTTTAACAATTTTAAAGTCGATATACTTTCGATTTTGCGCATGTTTTTTAACAAAGGCTGGCTCTTGAGCAAGCAAAAACAGATGACTTTCTTTTCAGGAATTGCATTTTCAGCAGTATTAGAAATATCCTAACAACATAAAATTTTTCCTAATTATTTAAGAATCGAAAACAGATGTGGAAAATTCCTTTACATCGTACTAAGAAATTGACGCCCGCCATGTTGTTTATTAACGTCATAAATTATGTAAAATGATAACATATTAAATTTTTAGTAGTTATATCATTATTTACTGTTAATAGCATTCAGTATAACTTATTTTAATGTAACGAAGCATGCAATACATTGTACAAATGCGATATCTAGGATTTCCAAGTTCTGAATCTGTCGCTGGTAATTAGCGAGTATGCAAGAAAGTGAAATTGTTTCTTTTGTTCCAACCAACCAACCAACCAACCAACCAACCAACCAATTCAACCAACCAACAAGTTATGATCTTAGAATGGAACGTTATCTTATGTAACTCAATTTCAACGAATTATTTCAATCATTAGAATTTTATATCACAATATTCCTATCTAACTGTTTAGATACACTCCCCTCCATAAGTTTGGCAACCTTTTTTCCCCCATTGAACTACGTGTTAAAGCCTCTTTACCTTTGAATTTTTATTTACTTAACCTGCGATGAAAATACTTATAATGTTGATGGAAACGTAATTTGACTTTAATTCCAATACCTCCAAATTTTCTCAATTTTTTCCCTTAATTACAATAGGTCGAAAATTGATGATAAATTTGATGAATTTTTGAAAATCGAGATTCCCATGTTAACCAATGGGAAATGGTAGGTTTGCCGCAAGTCATATGACAGAATATCCATCCATCCGAGTCCTTGCAAAAAATACGAGTTAGGCAGGCAATTGAATTTGCTAACTTTATTTAACAAAAAATTGATATGTTTCTTCAGGTTCAACAAAGTTATAGGGCTTTAAAGTCAAAATTGTTTTTCAAAAAACCTCTCCCATTGAAATAACACAGGAGGCGGAAAATTATTTTCAAAAATGACTTTAAAGCGCTATACGTTAATATTCATCAAATAAACTAAACACTTAGTGTTCAAAAAAGTTAGACAATTCAATTTTCTATATAAAAATATTTTTTGCTGAATCTTTTACTGAAAAGATATCCTGATTTCTGATTTGCCCAGAACCCTCCATTTCCCATTGGATTACATGGGAATGACGATTTTCAAAAATTCATCAAATTTATCATCAATTTTCGACTTATTGTAGTCTAATTGAGGAAAAAAATTGAGAAAATTTGGAGGTATTGGAAATAAAGTCAAGTTACGTTTCCATCAATATTATAATTTTTTCTATCTCCGGTTAAGTAAATAAAAATTCAAACGTAAAGTGCTTTAACACGTAGTTCAAAGGGGGAAAAAGGTTGCCAAACTTATGGAGGGGAGTGTACAATCATGGCGTAAATGCCTAGCTTTTGGCGCCTAGGGTTACGAAATCTGCAAAATAGCAAAATGTATAGGAGCATAACGATAAGAGTGATAATTTATATGTTTATATTTTTTCTAAACATTATGCGATACACTTAAAAATTGTCTGTTTTGTAGTTCATACGTCTGCGTATTTATGATATAATCAGAATTTTTTTATTAAAAATATTTATTCTCTAAATTAAAATCAAATACATTTAACACTTGACACTTTTAATAAGTGTATCAGTGTGAAAACCTTAAAATAGTAATCTGAGTCACATGGAAAGTAGGCGTCTTAATCTAAGTTTCTTTTGATGAATGACACTTGATGAATATTTTTAATATACTGCACTGATTTTGATTTTCAATATTTTAACATCTGTTTTTGAATCATCTTCTAGAATGTCTACAATTGATTTTAAGTTCAAGTGTATTACAAAAACAAAATCAATTCAACAGATTTTTCAAACAAGAACAAGTGTTTTTGCTATCATTTGTCTGCCTTCTTCAAACATGTTTTGAAACATTTTGAATGAAAATGGCGAATGATGCCCTATTGAGTTTGGATTAACTTTGCAATATAGAGAACCATATGTTATATCAGTTATACAAGAAAAACAAAATAGGAATATACTTGATGCCCTTTAAAAGGAATCGGATATTGGAGCAACTTATCTAAAAGTCCCAATTAAAGCCAATGTGATTCATTTGTTCTTAAAGACAACCAAATACATACCTTGTTTTTGGAAAAAACGATTCTCTTTCAGCATTTACTCTGCTTTATGATTGCGTTCCTTATTCTGCAAATCTGAAAATTTATGATTACGTTCAGGACTTATCTTGCAATCCTAAATATTAACATTTACTTAGTTGCATGCATCTAAGATTATCTTAATATTATTATAAAATCTTTTGTAAGAATAATGTTTCTGCCCAACTCTGTTTGTTGTGTTATTTAATTAACTTGATTTGATTCATGGAATAACTCCTAAAGTTACTGCCAGAAAAACAAGATGATCACCCCAAAGTTATTCAGCTGTAGAACTTGGTGTATTTTAATATAAAAACCGTCAGGCTGCAGCTTTCGAGAGATATCACATTTTTATTACAACGTGTCCATGATATATTAGGCATATTCTCTTATTCAATAATATACAATATAGTTTTCAATCCGATAATATAAAAATATTACCAAAATTGATTTTAATGTTTCTCATGTTAACATTTTGACAAATCAGCAGCAACATTTGGAATTCAAATCTAGTCATGCGTAACTTTACAAATGGGAGGTGTGACATTGTACGTTGTTAACCCTTATGTCTGCTGGGGGGACTCGATTTTTTCGATGGTACTTTTTGCAAGTTTTCTTGAGCCTATTTTTCTACCTTGGGTCACAGGTATAAGACACCTTTGGCGTAAAAATCAAGGTGATTGCGGGTGGAGGGGTAAAGTTATGATATCCAGAAGTTGATATCAATAAAAATGAAATTCATAAAATATTGATAGTAACCTTGTTTCTTATGATGTAGAAAATGTGATCATTATTGCTCTGTTTGATCAATAATCATTTAACATATTGAATTCCCTTTCTATGATGCTTTATTTCGCGAATCGCGTTCTCTTCACGAATTTGAGAGGAAGACAGGTTGGTATGAATTATAATGATATCTCTGTTCAAATTTTAGATTTTTTTTATTCTCTCTTACCCCCAGATTTTCAATTTCATTAACTCGATTCATATATATTCCGTTGCTAATGTTGTTCAGTGCTAGACGAAATCATTGACCGAAATTATGTTATATAATACCAAGTCAAGCATTTGTCTATTTCTTACTAAGCTTACATGACTGATTGTTATTTTTAGTATAATCATGGGCTTTCAACTAGAAAGCCCATGGTATAATCTAAAAATATGAATGTTAAAGATGAAAACAATGAAGTTGAACTTGAAATTGTTGATTACTAGTATTCAATTAAATACGCGTTCCATAGTTTTCGCGATACCTGCCATCTTTGAAAGTGCATATAGCCTTTAGCCATGTTTGGTTCTGTAGAAAAGCGTTAACCTCGATTTTACCTTTGTTGACTGCTCATTCTGAAAAACCAATACTTTTCTGCAATTGACTCGTGATATGGTCTGAACAATAATATATCTAGTTATGACGTGCATGGACCTGGGGACAATTCGGGGAATACGGGGTAATCTCAGCTTTAAGCGTTAATATCTGCCTTATTTAAAAACCTAACTATGTGCATTATATATCATTTTGAAGTATTTTTTATTCGCATTTCACTGAAACTATTTTTCCATGGAAAGTGTGATAGGATCTACCATATTTTTGAAGTTAAATGTACTCCGACATCGTCAAATACGCTGTTAGGCGTAACATTTCAAGCTTACACGGTTCGTTGAAATCGGGATAACTTTTGAAATACTGATCAGAATTTTACTAAAATTTCACATTTTATTCATTGAAACATGTGCTTTTATGACGTCACAATTGCCTAGCGGATACATTTCAAATCGTCTTATATGAACGCTTTTAAGATTTTCAAAATTGTGTAAGGTTTTGAAGGCGAAGGAGACAAGCAATAAGTTTACCTTTAATTAACCTTCTAATTTAGGTCTGATTTCAAAAAAAATTTAACTGCACAATATTGTCATGGCGAAATTTACAAAACAATAACCGATTTCTTTATTTTTCAAATACGAAGAGAATAAGAGTTGCTTTTAGAGACTTGAAAAAATGTAACGCATCGATTTTTTACCACAAATCCCATACATATCAATTTTTACTAACGCCCCGAGTGGACTTCCTGACCGTTTTTCAAAAATCAAAAACATTTTAGAAATATTGTCCTCGAGATCTTGTTGCTCTGTTAATTTTACCAGGATTGAATAAGAATAAAGCATCTTATTTTTAGGTTGACTAAACTTGACAAAATGTAACGCTTGTCGTTTTTGACGTTATAATGCTGATTGCGCCCTATACTGCCCATTGTATTGTTTTGGTATTTTGACGCCATAATGTTACTCTAATTGTCCCCAGTTTCGTGCGACGTGTAAGTACAAACATTATATTTAAGCCAGACAAGTAATAAAAATCACATAGGGGGTGGGGGGAGGGGGGGGGGGGGGGGTCACGAATGACACCCGACTTAGTGTTATCATAAAAAAGAGTGCAGCTAATAGGGTTAAAACTTTTTTCTCAGCTTTGCTCCAATGCCAATCTTCTTGTTTCAACTCTCTGATGCTTCTTGAATGTCAGAGTTATTAAGATTTGTTTAGGTTACCTTTTTGGCTCACCTTGTAGCCTACATCAGTCATTTTCATTTCAAGATGTATATTATCCCGGGATATTTTTGATATCGAGATCATTTAGTACTAGGCCTAGTTATCCATTATTTCGGAAGGACGATCATTTATAATCTTAACACCAAGGGCCGATCCCATGGTCGATCACCGGTGCGTTGTTGCCCATCACCCCCCCCCCCCTCCAAAGCCCATAATCAGATTGAGAAATACAGTTGGTCCCTTTATATATAATAATTAATCATTTATGATCCATTTTTAAATTAATAAAATACAACAGGCTGTTATGGATAAATATTCTGGGTTATATTTCAAAATCTGTACGATGAAAATAAGTATATAATATGTGTGTCATGAGGTCAACTGAGGACAGATTTTGAGATAGGATGTGGGTGCGGCTAAATTCATCAAAACATATTAAAACGAAGGTCATACTATCCATCAATTGTTAATTTTAAAGGTCCATCGCATCTTCCAGTTTTAATAATGTAAGTATTTGTTTTGATATTGCTCTTACTTTAGACAAAATAGACAAAAATAGAATTAGAAAAAATATTCACTCTATTATCGCCCACTGAGAATCAACAACTTTATATTTTTTCTCACCTCACTGAGAGTCGAACTGTTCTCATTTCATTTTGCTGTTCAACCATAGATACCAGTACGATCGGTATAGTTTCAGTACCTCAATGACAATACCTCTCGAGATGAGACACCAATGTTTTTTTATTTTTCATTTCACTATTGTGCTTCCATTATCGAATCCTACGACCCCTTTAGATTGTGGTCTTGTCACTAACCATTGGTCAGTCAATGTTTCTACAATGTCGGAGAATGAGCACACTTAAATGACCTACCACGATACATTCCTTACTATTTTAGAATTATTTTTATGTACACTTTGCATTCGTTTGACTTCACTTCTTAAAAGAGAGCTTCGTCTTCACTCTTTCAAACTAAAATAAACCTGTGAACTACCGCGCCAATCAGTGTTTGTCGGCCAAATTTGACCGAAGTTCTATATATGGTCATTACCTCTGACGTCATCGTTGAGCCCGGAATTGACCAATGACATGCGCATATTTAATTAGAACGCATTTGGGGTATGTTTCTTCAAGCTCGCTGATTGGTGGAAGAAAGGTCAGCGCGTAGGTCAAAAGTGATTTATTACCCAAACTGTCACCAGTACCCGTCGTGGGGGTGGGGCTACTAAACTGTAATACGGTATCTACTAGGCAGAGTGTAGTTTAACTAGACTCTGCACGCAGGGTACTTTTTATGTAGTGAATCACCAATTGTATGGGTTTATCGGCAGAACGAAGAGATTTGCTTGTAATATTTAACTTATTTCAACCGTCAAATTCCTCCATTTAGTAGTACATCCTAGACCATGGGTGTAGGGCTTTATTTTGAGTTGGTACGCACACGCGGGGATGCCTGATTGTTTGGCCGAAGGCTGTGTATCGCTGGGGGGCTTGGGGTATGCTCCCCCACAAATTTTCAAGGACGTTATTTGATGGAATCTAAGCGTTTTTATCAACTTTAAATGTTGACAATGGTAAACATACAGATACGGTAGGAAGCATCAATAAAATCGCAAATAAATTAATACATTTTAACACATTTTTAATTTTTTCATTTGGTACGCCTGTGTATATTTTGTGTAATAGAGGCTACGCCCATGTAGACTATATCCTTTAGTCTGAAATTTTTTGGAAATTTGGAATGAAAATATTAAGACTATAGCCCACATAATTATGTTAAAATTTGGGATTGAAAATTATTTGTTTACATGGAAGTGCCATTCAAAATGGCCGATTGGGTAAATTAATTTGCATATTTGTTACTTCCCCTAGCTTTATTTCCATTTGTCAATATGCTGTGTTACTTATAAAGGGAATCCCCCTCCGACGAGCTTCCGCCATCTTGGAAAGTGCGTAATATTTCCGATTCAAAAATGAAAATCTCTTCGTCCTTTATAGTTATACCGTTGTCCTTTCAAGCCAAAAGCACATCTTTGATCTCTGAATGTTGTTATGGATCATGATGCAATATCAACCCATGTAGCTCAGTGGTAGCGAGTGTACCAATTTCACATTAGGTCTCTGATTTGATCCGCGGTTCAGGCAAGACTTAATTTGCTTGTTCAAGGGTAAAGTACTGCACTTCATGGTGTTTATTTGAGTGGTTCACAGCTCACAAAAGGCTGTGGGGTGTCCTTGTTTGTCTCTGTAATGAGTGCTAATAAAAGAACACAGGGCTCCTTCAAGGAGGGTCTTCCAGGTTAATTACGTAAATAACGACCATACATATTTTGGATATACCCAAGAGGCTTACCTTCATTAGTGGTAAAAAACACTAAACAATACAGTGGGTCACAAAAAACGCAACAAACAAAAACAAATTGTAAAACCACAAAACCAGTGATGATAACATCCATTTCATTTAATTTACCATGAAGCCATGTGTCTCCTCTTTCCAATGGTATGTCATTTGTTAATATCTGAAAATAGACCACTGAATAATCATTGTTTTTTCACACAAGGATGAAAAGGCATTTGTGCCAAGTTTTGAAATATCCTCAGTCAACTGATCATATTGTGCAATCAGGTAAATCATTATGTTATTGAGACTTTGGATTAAATTCTGGTCACAAGAGTCACATAAAACAAGTCAGATTTAGATTCAGTAAGAAAAAAGATTTAGGTTTAAGTGTTCATCAGTATCCTTTATGGTTCAGTTAATGTTACAAACATATGGAAAAAGAAGTGACATAAACAGTTAAGTCAGTAAAGTCACAATCATTGCCAGTGTCTGTCATTAGTCATGAAAGATTACTCATGAAAGATTACATTCCATGCACCTTTACATGGTCACCATTTCTCTACACACAAAGATTGGCTCATCTCTCCATGTCACGAATACCTCTTTGAATTATTTGTTTATTCTGGCAGAGGTGGTTTTACAATCTTTTTGCTTGTTGCGTTTTTTGGGACTCACTGTATATGGAAAATACATTCAAGTGTCAGATTCAAAATTTCATATATTTTGGTCTGGTTTGTTTGGGTAACACATGTGTGACCTCCTGTATTTTTTGATGCTTCTCTTATGGTATTTCAGAAAAATCATAATGGGACCAGACCCGTAATCAGCTTTGGCAAAGGCGATGCCATTTTGGGGGGGGGGGGATTCACCTGATGGTGATGGTGATGGTAATAGTATCATTAACTTTACTTAGGTTCATAAAGGGTAAAAAATTGAAGTGAGAATCTTTCACATTCATTGTCAAATCAGCAAAATTCATGACATTCAACTCGTTGACTAGAAAATTTTACCAAGGGTGAACATATCTGGAATGTGCCTCATTTGCAAATTTATTCAGTGTATCTAGAGCGTTTCGCTTTTTAACTTATACTGTTCTATCCAATAGAACAGTTCACTTGTTCGGTACACATACTAAGCCCCAGGTATTGATTGAACCCTTGATTTTTTCAAAATGAACGAACAGCAAATGAATGAATGGCAAAAATGCATCTTAAACATAAACTTAGTGGGAACTTCAAACAACTCCATTTAGAAGCTTATGGTATGAGGTTCCATATCCATCCGCCAAAAGGTATGACCCCTATATAGTCCATTTAAAAACCTGTAGTATTGTTCTAAATAACACCATAGTTGGCTTCTAGGGTACCTAGTATGCCACTATTTGGTATCAAAATAAAGAGGAGGAGTTCAACTTTCATTTGAATTACGAAAATAGCGATGTAGGTCAAAAATAGTTCCGACGTGAGCATGTTTACTACGCGTTTGCCCATCATCTCAGAATTGAGGAAATGGTAGCAAACGCGAGTTACAATAAATGGACGCTGATATCTCAAAAAGTAACCTGACTCCCTATAATTTGATGTAGATCAATCTAACCCCTATATGAACAGGTATATTTTGATATATAACACTATGGGGGGTAAGCGTTTTAAAGTTGATCACGAACGCCGTATGTGCAAAGTATTGATATGAATTTTCGAATTTGGTGTTGGATTACGGTACTCATACCTTATATTTGAGTCATGAGAGCTCTACTTAAAATTTTCGACAACAACCTTATCATTCTGGGGAGATCTTGGGTGCCCTTGAGTATTTTAGGATTCCTTTAATATGGTTGAATACCCAATTGTATGGGTTTATCGGTAGAATGAAGACATTTTCCTTTTTTCATTGAGAAAGATTGCACCTTTTTCTAGATGGTGGAAGGAAAGTCCCCATAATAACATCCAGGTCTGGAGCTGATTTTCGGTTGTTTCTAACATTGATTTCCATCAAGTGTTTCATGTACCATCAATCATCATTCTACAAATCTACAATGACTTCATTTCAGTCAACTTTTGACATAAAATTACTCCATCATCCAAAGATTTCTTCTGAAAACATGAATAAGAGAATGGTTATCTTTTTGAATTCCATTTTTATATGAATCATTGACTAATGAACATGTATATGCCAAGGCTGCGATAAAAAACTCATTAATTTATGAGGCTCTCATTTTTAAAATGTTTATTATTTTCAACAATTACATTTTGGAGGGCATACTCAAAGCCATAATGAAATTATACAATTTTGAGAGGTATCGATTTATTGATCTGACCAAACAGTAAAACTCAATTTTTGAAAAGTAAAACTCTCCAGTGAATATGTTGTTACAACTATATTGTAGGTCTGGTATCCATGACAACAGAAGCAGTAGCGATGACAGTGATCCAGAGGATGAGCTTGATGCATACCTTGGTCAGCTGGAGGATTTAACAATTGTGAGTATCATAGTCCAAGACATGTCTCAAATATAAATACAGTTATCTCCACAGGATTTTTTCTCGGGTGGGTGCAAAATTCTCATCTTCACAATTCAGTTCAAAATTTGTCAAAATATGCCAATTTTTCATGATTTTGCTCATTTTCAAGTGGGTGCAAATGGATTTTCATGTGGGTGCAAGCCTATTTTCAAAATCTCAGGTGGGTGCTGCGCCCACTTGCTTTAATGCTGTGGAGATCACTGAAATATATAGTAATTTGCTTGTCAGGTTCTAGTTCATGCATTTTTTGAAATTAATGAAGGATGCAGTTTTTTGTAAGATTCAAGTGAGAGTCATGTGATCTACACTTTGGGTTTATTTATAGCGGAAATGTGGTTTCCTTAGATACAATACATGAACATTATCTCTAGATTCCAGTAATAGTAAACCACCCTTGTAATTGATACTCTACTGTGTCATCATATGCTAATAATAAGCTGGTCTATATAAACTAGGAAGTTTTGTTTCATATTATTTTCATTTGGAAATAGGATTTTTGAGGAATCTCGTATATTTATAACCACAGGCCACACTATTTAAAGATTTATATTTAGAGAATTATAAGGATTATAATATTAAATATGCAACAGGTAATGTTGAATTTTTGATATTATTTAAAATGGTGAAAAAATCAGATTCCATGTAAAAATGTATTAATAATGTTATGTGAAACATGTTCTGTTTGTTTGTTTGTTTGTCTGTTTGTTTACCCTTGTACATATTCTTGATATTATATTCCAGGGCCTAGGTGATACGTCACCTGTGAAAAAAAGAGAGAAAACAAGAATAACAGAAAACTTAGCTGTTCAAAGTTTTAGATTCTCAGTAATAGGAGGCCCGGGATCAGGTATGTCTAGCTTTAGTCTCCTCGGTTTTACACCCATTTGAGAAAAAATCCTGTGGAGAACACTGCACTGTATATATATAATTTTAAGTAAAAATAAGATGAACTAATAAAATATGTTTGAAATTCTAAACATGTTTCTTTATTCTTCAGTAGATTTTTCATTATATTATTATATCATTATATATATCTCATACTTATATAGATATAGAGATACACCAGTTATGTAAGGTTGGTTTTAGATATAGGGTATATCCCTCTTCCCTTCGGTCCCTCGGAGAAATATAGAGATTATTCTATATGAGGTTCAGGATATTGGGATTATCCCGAGGCCAATATAATATATCTGCCCGAGGGCCGTAGGTCCCAATGGTAGATATATTATATTGGCCAAGGGATAATCCAAATATCCTGAACCGACTATAGGATGATCTGTTTATCCCATACCAATCACATTGTTCAATTGGCCAAAGTTCAGAAACTTTGGAACCAACCGTAGAATTATTTTTAAATATTCATGTCCAGTTTTGTATTCTTGTTTCTTTTCCTGTTCAAATCTTTGATAATTAACGGGGTATACTGCTCCTTCCCTTCTTTAAAGCATCAAACAGATCCGGCGATTGTCTGCGTTTTTCTCCATTGTCGTTTACAGTATGGGAACGTTACAAAAAAAGAACCAATACGGGAACAGCGATTATGATGTAGCGGGCAGATATACTAGCGGAACGTAAAGCTATATCTGCTCGCTGATGAAAATATAAGTTTTTACCAACCGGCTTTATGTACCCATACTTGGACGTGTTACAGGTACATAAAGCCGGTTTGAAAAAACTTATATTTTCATCAGCGGGCAGATATAGTATATCTGCCCACTATGTCATAATCGCGGCTCGCATATTTGTTCATAATTTGTAACGTTCGTGTAATGACTACGTAAACGACAATGGGGAAAACACAGACAATCGGGATCTGTTTGATGGTTTAAAAAGGGAAGGAGCATCCACTTAATCAATCAAAAATTCGAGAAAATAAATGTGGGAATATTTGAGAGAAGAGGAAAATCCACCCACGGTCAAGAAAACAAAACTGGACATGAATCTTCTGAAATATTTCCACGATTGAACAATGTGAACCAGATGACCAAGATTGGTATGGGATAAACATATTATCCTATAGTCGGTTCAGGATATTGGGATTATCCCGAGGCCAATATAATATATTTCCCTCGGGACCTGCGGCCCTCGGGCAAATATATTATATTCGCCTCAGGATAATCCCAATATCCTGAACATCATATAGGATAATCTCTATATAACCCTCAGGATATACGCTACAGTAAAACCTGTCTTAGTGAACACCTCTCTCTAGTGAACACCTGTCCCTAGTGGACACCCTTCCTACGCACATAGTCCACTGACTTCTGTATAAATTACCCTCTCTTTAGTGAACACCTTCCTACAGTAAACGTTTTTTCTTGGCAAAAAAATGTTCACTATACACAAGTTTTACTGTATATCCAAAACCTCCCAGTACATAACCCTTATATATCTATACTTACTTTATATTTTCAGGTGATGGAGATGTCACTGATTTAGATGATCTTCTTGGAGAACTCTGTGTGCTAGAAAACCAGCTGAGTACAACACAGCATCAGCTTAATAAAGACATTAATGAGCATGAAAATGTAACAAAGAATGCAACAAAAGACCATAGGTTGTCAGGAGAGGATGACCTCACTGCAGCCTTAGCTGAGCTAAGTGGTCAGTTGGACTCAAATGAATCCCAGTTTCAATCTTTGTTGGGTAGTGACTCAATTGAAGATGTATCAGATTCTCATACAGACATTACGGACATAGCTAGTGCAAAGCCAAAGGATATTAGGGTATCTGAGATATATGAGGAAGACTTTGAAGCCGCCTTGGCAGAAACTACAAATGTCACAAAGACAGGCACAACTAGTCAATCAACAAACTTTGCTGACAAAGACCATACTAGTCAATCAATCAAAAATACTGATGATGATTTCCCTACATGCAGTGTTAAAGTCTCACATGGGGACCAACCTTCTGGTCCATTCTTGCCACATGAACCTGACTCTGGATTTAATGAAGCAAGTTTTTCGTCAAATAGACAGAAAACACCAGATAAAGTTGTAAGTTTAACTTTGATTAACATTAGTCTCTGTTCATATCTTAATTGCTTTTACTACTATATTTTATTTTAATTCGGTCCTGCATTAGTTAATGTTGTTAGATTGGATTTATGAATTCATTTGTCTCAAGGTCTTTTTAGTTTACTAATTATAAAACATTCAACGTTTAAGAGGCCAAGGTACAGTCATAGTGATAGTCATTCTAATACATTATAAAGCAAATTTGAGTAGGAAGGTGTAAAACTCATAATTACATTTCAAGTAACTCATCCTTGCATTATTTTTTTATTAAAAGGAAGCCACTTTTGAAGAATTAGATAAATAATGTATCTAGGTGGGGCAAAAAGGAGGTTATTTGAAATGTAATGAATTATTATATGTTGTCTCTTATATATAAATGCCTATACCTACTCAACATGTTTTATAATATGCCTCTTCTTGTAATATGTGGAATATGAACTAAGATGCCTTGATTTATGACTCACTACATGCTATCATATGACAGTTCTTTCAATTCTGAATGCTGTAAACAAACTTGCTGCTGTGTGAAGACTTTAAAATAGAACCAGTACATTAGATCATTAGATAGTCATGTATGTCTTCATCATTCAAAGAATCAACGTCCTCGTTATTGTTTTCTATCTTATTTGTCAAATATAGTCAGTCTTTGCCCAGATCGTTTTCCATCAAAATAACACAAATTTTGAGAATATATGAGTCTATATTATTTATAGTGTTTCCAAATCAGATTATTTATGATGCCGTTGATGTTGAGAAGGATCAGTACGAGTGCAAAAAAATCTGAAACTCAAAAGAAGTTTTCATGTATTGACGATAACTCGAGAATGGAGGAAGTACAAAATAGTGACATTTTTCTTATATCAAAGACTCCTTTTAAAAATCTGCATGGATTATCATATTTCATTGCATCTTGATTTGTGCCTGTTGCATTTTGCCATGTAGGGTAACGTTTAAATGGCTCAACAAATAACTCTTAAGTGGCCATTCTATGTTCGCAGGGCTCCAAGATCTCTCTCACAACTATTGAAAAATATGATAATTGAGCAATGTATAATCTACACTATTGGTGGATAACCACCAGCGGATCTAGACGGGGGCGTGGGGGGCGCACACCCCCCCCCTAAAAAGTCGGAAAATTCGTGTTTTGCCTTATTGCTTTTTACAAAATTTGAATCTTTTTTTTAATTCACTCTCAGTTATCATCACATGCCCCCCCCTAACACAAAATCCTGGATCCGCCCCTGATTACTATAAACAAACCTTTTTTACTGAAAATATCAAGTTTGAAAAAATCTTTTACTTATAAAGCATAATGACCCCCAAAATAATTGAGATTAGATGCCTGTTATAGAATTTTGAAGTAATAGTTTTTACTGTATAAAAAAGGGAAATGTACAAATTCAGTGAGAACCAATGTCTTGGCCTGATATAAGCGTTCGCCATTTTTCATAAATTTTACATCATCTATAAAGTTTTCTAGTTCCTAGGAGACATTTTGAGAAATGTTTTAATAAACTCACAACTGTATAGTCAGCAAAACAGAAAGATTGCGAGTTTTGCATAAAGTCTTGTCACTGGCCTTCTGTCTCTGTCTTTTTCCTGACTCACTTTTCCAAGATCCAGTGCTTGAGTGAGAATGACAGAACACAGGGCTTGATGCAACACTTAATAAGAGCCATTTAGCAAACTTACACATTACACATTTTTGTTTAAAACTGCACTCTGCTTTATATTATATTGTTCGCTTCACTAACATGGCCATTGTAGACCAGTAGTAACAAGGTGCTTGCAAGGAAGGAAAGTTTAGAGGAATCTAGGACTAAGATATTACACAGAATGCAAAGCATGGAAGAATCCCTTGAGCAAGAAACTGAACTCAGTGAAGTGAGTATTATAGAACACATTTAGTGAGTGTGTAGACGTGAAAATGTATGGCTGGTGGTATAGGTACAGTTAAAATGTATACATATTGTTTGAGATTGTCACTGCATTCAAGTAAATACCGATTGATCCAGAAATTACTTAAAAGAGCTTAATTCAGAAAGTACCTTCCACTCAGTTGAAAATCATTTGTACTCATTATACAACTGTATGTCGTACTTGCCAATGAAAAAAAGAAAAACAGTGAACTTTTAAAAACTTCTTTTAAAGTTACTTTTACAGTTACTGTAGATATTATCAAAATGGTAGTTTTAGGGTTAATTTTTTAGGTTGCAAGTCTTGTATCACAGGATTTGACTTTTTCTTTGTTTTAAAAAATGAAACCATCTGAATGATGCCTTGTACGATGTACATAAGATAAAAGTATAACATATATGATTAGTAAACGACATTTAAGACACATTTAATTAAGATAAAACACACATAAGACTGATATTATAGGACACATAATTAAGACACACATTGGATAAAAATATGAAATTATTATAAAAGCATGTGATATGCATATTATAAGATACAACATAATTAAGAAGACACCCATAATTAAGATATGACACATATAAGATGAAGATATGGCACACATAATTAATGAAAACAATTTTGATTGAATTTCCACAATTTCAGGAGCAAAGAGCTGCCATTATGAAAGCAGAGAAAATACAGATTGCAATAGAGAAAATAAAGGAGGCAAACATTAGGAAGGTAAGATTGCAATGAGGCTAAAGTAAACTAAAAAACATGTAGTAAACAATTTAGTATGACAAATAAGTCAGTGATGTAACTCGTTTTTTCTAAATTACAAGTCTGCAAGTGGATTGTTCTTGCTCTTTATCAAGTGATTTCAAAACAGGCGATTTCTGGATCCACAATTTTATTATTTAGAGAAATTGACTTCACTCTGAATTTTTGGTAGCCTAGTAGTTAATTAATGAAGACCATGTTTATATTCATGTATTTATTCTTTATTGACTATAAATCCTCATAATGCAAAATAATATACTCTGACAGAACATGAATTTTCATTGTGCATTCCTTTTTTCTTAAAGGAATGAATGTAAAATGAATTTTCATTGTGCATTATTTTTGCCCTTATTCTTAAAGGAACGAATGTAAAATGAGACACTAAATGTTTTTGAAACAATATGCCAGAATAAACAAAAGACATGCACTAATGTGAATCTTTTCAGCTGTTTGCTAGGATCTTTACTATAGATGGCAGCAGCAAGAGTATTCTGGTAGATGAGAGTATGGAGGTTCATACAGTGATCTTACTGCTATTTGAGAAGAATCACCTTCAACCAAACATCAACTGGGCTGTGATAGAGAAGATACCACAGTTATATATGGGTAAAAACATGCTTTGAAATGTACAAAAATGAAGCCAAAAACATGCATTAAATAGATACATCAGACTTGCCAACTTCCCATTTTTTTACGGGAATCTCCCGTAAATTTTTTGTTTTTCCATAAAAAATACCAAACTCCCGTACCGTTTTCTCCCGTAAAAACTACCACAAACTCCCGTACCGTATTTCTACTAAAATCTCCCGTAATTTTTTTTAAAAATATGGCCGTAAAATCTCCCGTATTTTTGCTGAAATCTCCCGTAAAATCTCCCGTATTCTGGTATAACTCCCGTAAAATCCCGTATTCTTGGTATAACTCCCGTAAAATCTCCCGTTTTCTGGTATAACTCCCGTAAAATCTCCCGTATTCTTGGTATAACTCCCGTAAAATCTCCGTTTTTTGCTTTCGAAATCTACCGTATTTAAAAGGAATTTGACAAATTTGTGACCTTGATTATTGCAGGCATGCTTCTTTCTTTTACTCCAAGAAGGATTGGCTCCCATGGTTCACTATCGATACTTTCATAAATAACTTAAAAGTACTTCATTCCCATGATTCAAATTGCTTTTCTGCGATCAGTTCGGTATAAGTTTGCACACCAAATGTCCACAAACGGGGGCCAGTTCATATTCTGTCATACTTCTGTCGGGAGAATAGATTTTGTTTTTATATGGCGCTAAACAAAATATTCCCGCAATATAAGGCGCATTATGGGTAGGGACTGCTGTGAAATAATGAACGTAAGTGACATTTATCTTAGATTATAAGTTCTAATTGATTTATTAACTGCGCATGCGTCATAATAATTTTAACCAATTAAATCGCTGGATTTAATGCTCATGCGCGAAAAACCGAACCTAAAAATGGAACCTCACGCAGATTATAAAAGTAAAGTAAAAACTTTCAAAAGATGCCGTAAAAACTCCTGTTTTTCCAGAAATATACCTTAAAAACTCCTGTTTTTTCAGAAATATACAGTAAAAACTCACGTTTTTTCAAAATCTACCGTAAAAACACCCGTTTTTTTCAGAAACCTACCGTAAAAACTCACGTTTTTTCCGAAATCTACCGTAAAAACTCCCGTTCTTTCAAAATCTACCGGAAAAACTCCCGTTTTTTCAAAATCTAAAGTAAAAACTACAGTTTTTTCAAAAATCTACCGTAAAAACTCCCGTTTTTTCAAAATCTACCGTAAAAACTCCAGTTTTTTCAGAAATCTACCGTAAAAACTCCCGTTTTTTCCGAAATCTACCGTAAAAACTCCAGTTTTTTCCGAAATCTACCGTAAAAACTCCTGTTTTTTCAGAATCTACCGTAAAAACTCCCGTTTTTTCAGAAATCGACCGTAAAAACTCCCGTTTTTTCAGAAATCGACCGTAAAAACTCCAGTTTTTTCAGAAATCTACCGTAAAAACTCCCGTTTTTTTTAAAAATCTACCGCAAAAAAACCTGTTTTTTCAAAGCCTACCATAAAAACCCCCGTTTTTTTCAGATCCTACCGCAAAAACTCTCGTTTTTTCTGAAATCTTCCGTAAAAAAGTCACGTTTTTTAAAATTTAGCGCGTAAAATACCTTTTTTAAAATATCTCCCGTAAAAACTCCCGTTTTTTCAAAATCTCCCGTAAAAACTCCCGTTTTTTTTTCAAAACTTACCGCAAAAACTCCCGTTTTTTTAAATCTCCCGTAAAAACTACCGTTTTTTTTAAAAATCTCCCGTAAAAACTCCCGCTTTTTTTCAAAAAACTACCAGATTTGTAAAAAAACTCCCGTAAAAGTACCGCAATTTTTTTTAAATCTCCCGAAAAATTTTCATTTTAGGTTGGCAAGTCTGTACATGTTGTTTATACTGCATTTTGATTAGCCATATTTGAGACTCTAAACATGTGCATTTTGAAAGATTGAGTAGTCTATCTGTAAATCTGCATACATTCAAACATAGATTAATTTTTGATTACTGTTATTTATCCATAGATTTATATCATATCTGCTCATGTCATATCATATAAATAAATAGACAACCTGCATGAGCCTTTATAAACTATTGAATTTTATTTCAAAATTATATTTATTTTTCAGAACGTGTATTAGAGGATGATGATAACCTGGTTGATTGTTTAGCCAACTGGGTGAAATCAGGCAAAAATCAATTGAATTTTGAGCGGCGTGATGATAAATATGATCTCTTCCAGAAACCAGAGGCATGTAGCTTTATTAAATGTTATCATCCCAGATGTAATATCAGCTTGTTGTAGAAGGCTCAGTAGAATGATTCTTGTAATCTGTAATTATAAACTTGAAGCTTGAAACCTGACCTCTTTCTCAAACCTTCCCAATTATATAAAGTATTTAACACAAGTGAGGTGTCCCTCTCCTTAATTAAAAAACAAAGTAAAATGCAAATTGTCTAAAATATATATCAAATGGTCATTGTGATTTTATTTCACATTTAATTGTAGAATTATCTTTGTGTTGGATCTTCATCACAATGTGGAACAAGGATGGCTGAGGAGAACAGGCAAGAACTCATTCAGGTAAGAAATTGCATCAAACATTTACACTGGCTCAACTTCAAGTGCAATATTTGATTTAGACATGATTCTTTGATCTTATATAGATTGTTTTCAGAAAATTAAGACAATACATTTTCTGATCTACACATCAGTTACAAAATCGATTTCACATTCAAGAATAAAAATACAGCTACTGTAGAAATCAATGAAGGATACATGTGAGATTGTTAAGATCCTATCATGATCAAAACAGAAAAATTATGTCAATGTGAGAAAGTAGTGTTACTGATTATGGAGATTTCAATGTTAATGTGAAATGACAAACTCATTTCATTTGTATAATTCTGATTTATTTAATTTTGACGTTTCAGGAGTTTTTCTCTACTGAGGGAACAGGGATGGGTGTACCTGAGATTGCTGGACTGGTTTGGTTGAAAGCTAGTGGCAAGAAGTCCTGGAAGGAAGTTTACTGTGTCTTGAGAGCATCTGGGTTATATTGCAACATGAAGGGAAAGGCTTCAAAGGTATGTGTATTGTAGTTAGACATACTTCATTTTCTTGCTTGTGCATTTCCAGTGAAACTGCTTTGAAATGACCGGACCAGGAATATTTCTATGTATGGAAATTAAGAACCAGTTTCTGGGCATTAGCTGGGTAAATTTTAAACTGCTTGGTGGAAGGATTTGAAATGTCAGGACCAGGGATATTTCTTGGTATTGAAATCAAGAACTGATGTTTTGGCATGCTGGGTAAATTTTAAGATAACCTTTTCCCATATTGTTTGTGGTGTGCCTTATTACATGATAAGTTCATTCATGGTATTGGGGTATATAAACATATGTTATTTCAAAAATGAATTATTCTAGAAAACAATGATATGAACACTTTTTGGAATTAAATGTTATTCATTTTATTTCACTTCACATATATATATATATATTATACACACATATTTTATAGAGTAACTGATTCAGTAAAATATATGATTTTTGGTGGTTAAATATATCCTAGTAAATATAATATTAGACTATATTTTACCATATTCACACTTACATTTAACATTACAATTTGTGGAATGATAACGAAAATTTTCTCCAATTCGATTCATTTATGTCTCTTCATTTACTTACTTATTGAAACCTCACTCTTTGTTATTTAACCTGAAATGCTGAAATCTGTAGTCTGCCTTTTTTCTATCAAACGACCTGGCTTTTTATCTTTCACTCCCCTTAAAGTTAAAATTCTAATTTCTTGTTGAAATGACCCATTTACATTTGATCCCTCCCCTTAGATCAGGTTCAATTTTTTCATGTTGTGTTGCAGTCTCCCAAAGATTTGGTTTGTCTGCAGCAGCTTGACTTCGTTGACATCTACTATGGTGTTGGATGGGTGAAAAAATACAAGGCCCCCACTGAGTACTGCTTTGCACTCAAGGTAATATAAAGTTTGATTTTGAATTAAGCTTCATGTTTGACGAGAACTTGTGAATGAACCTGTTGAATTTCAGGTTATGTCAATACGATAAATGAATAGATACTATATTAAATTTGTAAATTAAAATTGAATTTCAAAAAGTAGAATCACAGAAGTCATGTACAGACAGTACTAACGATATGACATGTTATCACTAAATCAAGTAAAACTTTTTTAGACTGAATTCACATATAATACATGATTTACAGATGAGTATAAATAATTTATGTTTCAGCACCCCAAGATTCAAAAGAAGGCAGATAAGTACATAAAATACATGTGTGTGGAAAACCAGGAAATGTTACAGCAGTGGATGACAGGAATTCGAATTGCAAAGGTACTGAAAGAATTCAAAGGAAAAAATGCAATAGAACTTTCCAATAAATCCTGCCACCTTTTGGTGGAGGAAGCTATGATATATTTTTGCAACAAAATTTCTGTGCCTCTAAAGGTGCAAATACATTGCTGGTCAAAGTATATATTTTATGAATTTTTTATTCCATGGGCAAGGGTTGTGTTTACATAATGCACATAAAATTAATCAAACTGTTCTCTTCTGACTCGCTCATTGATGATTTTAAAAGCAGATATACTCTTAGTTTCTTGAATGCACTCTTGACATATCTTTGTATTTCACTTTAGTAATGTGTTCATCACGGACATCTTTTATTTTATGTGAACTGAAGACTGAGAAATTGATTCAGATTTTGGCCTACAAAGTATTTTGGCTCTAATAAGATGTTGAAATTTGGGCATGAATATGGAGTATAGTAGAAGGTTGATTGAAAAGTCTAACATCATGAGGAAATGTGACCAAGCTGAATATAAATGAAATGGACTGTTTATCTGTCTTCCATATGGCAAATTGACCAGTATTTGTGTAATACTCATAGGAATGATAGATATAAGAAAGCTAATTGTGACACCAACCATAGATAACGTCATCTGAACTTCGACTCTTTGTGCAAAAACCTTTAGGGCACTTTTCCTTTCCTTTTTAATTTCAAGATTCACTCTCCGCTTCTCAAAAAGAATTTTCCGTTCCCTGTTATGCTTGATGACAGTCACAATAGTTAGAGTGTTGATCAAAATCATTGTTAACAATGGTAGTATATAAATGGATATAGTCAGAACAATGTGGTATGAACTATATATAACACCTGCCTCTGTGTCTGTAACAAGATAAGTACACTCATTACTACGAAGTTGAAGAATTTGATTTATAGTTATCATTATCGATAGGATTCCAATAAAAACTAATGATATAAAGAAATAAATTTTCCTAATTGAAGTACTGGCCAAAAAATGTCTATACCTTAATGGCAATTTAACAGCCATGTAGCGGTCAATTGATGTGATAAGTTTAAGAACAACTATGGCAGTACATGTGCTAGTTTTTATTGAGTTGAGCAGATGACAGAATCTACCCATAATTATTTTCTCACTTTGACTTTTGGAATCATGCTTGAATAATTCTTGTACTGTAAGTAGTATGAGTATGCCTAACAAATAAAGGCTCTGAGTGCCTACTGTAGAAATGATATATACTTGAGAAGGATGACGAGTTGCTTTAGTCATTATAGAGATGGTCAAGAAATTGCCAATTAACCCTATACATGCCATTCCTATGCTAGCAATAGATGCAATATCCAACTTTTTAGATAATATCAAATTCTCTTCATCCCAAATTTTGTTATCTTTAAAATGACATTCAGTCAATGAGTTTATTTGGTGATATGAATATCTCTTATCATTTACCTTATAAGGAAAACAGTTTTCTTCGACATCAAGGTCAGTAATATTTGTTTTGTTATATATTGTACATCCCATGGAAAATTTTAAATCCAGAGGACTTTCAACAGCTGAACCATACACACACACATATGTCTCATTTGGATTTCTTTTTGCCTTTTCTTTTATCACACCTCCATTTTGGTCTTCAGGTTTATCTTTTATATTAGTATGATCTACTTTAAAGAATGATTCATTTCCATAACAGTACTTTTCTGAATAAGGTGGGACAACCAAAGCACCTAATAATATAGATTTCTGTTGTACTCTCTGTCCAATACACTTGTACATTTCAGATTGAATGTTAAGCTCTGTTATTCGTTCATTGCTGGCTATTTTACATGGGATTTTCACCACTTTAGGTTGTTCATAGTAATCTTTTGGTGTTACCATGACAATTGCACATGCATTCATCCAAGTTGGTTCTGTTGTAACAGGTGCAATATCATGACTTGCATCCATAGTCTTAGGCTCGGTAGTCGTCACATTTAACTCATCCCAGAGTGCACGTGTCTGTCTTTTCTTTGCAAGATTTTCAGCAACAGGACCATCTTCGCTTGTTTTTCTTTTCAATGCAAATTTCTTAGCAACAGTGTCTTCCTTCATTGATGAGTATTTATCAACAGTGTCATCCTGGATTGTTTTTACCCAGATGTCCTTTTGGGAAATTTCAATCAGAGGATCATCCTGGATTAGTTTTTCCCATTTTTGCTTTGGTGCATGTTCAACAACACAGTCATCCTTGATTTCTTTTTCCCATTTGTTCATCGTTGAAGTTTCAGCAATAGAGCCATCCTGGATTACTTTTTCCCATTTGTCAATTGGCAAATTTGGATCCTGGGCATCTTGTTGCTTTTTACTCATTGCTGAGTGTTTATCGAATATGTCATCCAAAGTGTCATAATATACTGTGATTCTGTCCATAATTTCCAATGATTCCTCTGTTTTTCCACAAGTTAAAACAAAAAGTAGAATTGTAATATGGAAGTGGAAAATTTGGAAATGTGCCATGTTGGAAACCAACTGCATATGAATTCCAATGTGATGTTTCTGTCAGAATATATCATATCTTTAATACCCCCTTTTATTCCTAGATAACTGTATCTTATATTATTTCTGATATAATTACACTTACATAAAATTGTCATGCTTATATCATTATCTTGGCATGCTCATTGAGTAAAACTAATGACAAACACAGAGGCCTGACAAATTAATCTTTAAATTATTGAAAAAAAAATTATGAAAAAGGTTGTCCCTGCAAGTCAGTCTTGGTGTTGACAAATTCTTTAGATATTTGTGATATACATGTAGAATTTTTAGAATAGTTTTTTTAATATTTTGAAATATGATAAAAGGACAGAAGTGATTTTTTTAAAAAATGAAGGCATGACAATCTGATCTAAAACTTGAAACTTCTGAAACATGTTCATGTTTTAAATTAATTAAAGGTGCAACAATTAGTGCAGCGGGGTCATTCAATGATAATGGACCAGTGTCAAAATATATTAAAGTTTGGCTATTTCATCAAGACCAACATATATTTTCATTATCTCCAAAGAAACCCCTTGGATGAACATCATTTCAGCTGATATCCCTCTTGAAACATGTGGGATCTTCAAAATCTATAAGTGGGACTCCCTTTATAGAAGCTTTGAACTGAATTTACACTGCTTAACGCTGTTTATAGTTTATCCATACATTTTAAGAAAAAGGGTATGTCAAGATGTTAAGCCAAATGTTGCCATGATAGCTCAGAAAAAGTAAAAATTTTCTAGTTTTCTATCTACAGGCCTTGTTGCCTTGTTACAACAAACATTGTGATCCGTTAAGTGAAGTAATGAATGTAAGCATACATCAAAATGTTTTGTGGAGGATATTAAACAAATATTTAATTCTATTGAGGTGAATACCTGTGAATCTTTCACGAGTTATATTCCACGAAGTCCGAAGGGCTAGTGGAACATCATCTTGTGAAAGTGTCACAGGTATTCACCAAAAATATAATTAATAAATATTTGTTTTATTATTCACTGTTTTATTCCTCACTCATATTAATGGAGTAACAAACTATTGATGTCTAATTAACCTAACAATGTACTCCCGGGGATATTAAAATTAAGCTTACATTGGACTAAGTTGTGACTGGTGAATATCATTTGATATTAAACTGAAGGTACATGACCGTTGAATATCGCTTGTTATATTTTAGTCATGTGTAGGACATGGACCAATCAGAGAGTAAGGAATTAATGACAGTGATATTGTTATGGAATTATGAATTTGATATAATATAATCAGTATATCCTGTACATGTTCTTAAAATACAGTCATCAAATTAAGAATCTATTTACAAATTAAGAGTTTCATATTGACAAGCATTACATGATTACTATCACTAGTTCATCACAATACTTTGGAATATACATACTACTTAAGGTATTTTCTTCATAATGATTTTGTGTATTTGTGTTTCCACGACATCCTGTTTTTCAGATTATATGACTAGATTATTAAATATTTTCTGTTGCTTCCAGCATGGAAAGTTGCTCATGGAGAATCACAATAGAATGAAGGATGCCATTTTTACCTGGTACACTGAGGGGCCTCCTAATATCAACAGCACAAACCTAATGCCACAGACCATTCTACCCAAGATCAACACCCAGGATACTAAAAGAAAATCACGCATCAGAGATTCTGGGATCCATGAGCCACCACAGAAAGATCATGACACACCTAAAATACAGGGAGAAAGTAACAGATTGTCTGTGGCCTCATCAGTAAGTGGGTATACATCTAAATCTGACAGTAGCACAGATTCCGTGGTGCACACTGAACAGAGCAAAACTGGAACTTTGAGGTCCAAATCTCCTCAGATTTTAACTGATGAAAATAAATATGGAACTATCGGACGCTCCAAAAAGCTGACACCGAACATACCATTGAGTTCTGAGTTAGCAAAACGTGTCGAGAAACAAATTGGTAGTTCTTGTCCAAAAATCGATGACAATTTTACTGAGCTTCCACCCCCTACTCCTGAACATCCTGTCTCCAGTCCCAGACCCCCATCTCACACTCTAACAATAGGAGAGGAACTTAAGTTGAAGTCCAAGTCACCTAGTTCAAGAGGATCTCCCCCTTTAGCTAGAAAACCAGGAACATCTTTAACAGAAGGTTCCCCGAAATCATCACCCCTTCCACCAAGAAAACCTGGTTCAATTAAAGCAAAGAGGGTTTCAGGTGACAGTTCACTTCCTATGCCACCCCCGCCACCTGGTTCTGCTGGTCAGGTACCCCCTCTAGCTCCACCAGCTCCTCCTAGCGGGTCAGGTCCAGTCCCCCCTCCTCCACCTCCACCCCCTGTAGGACTTCCTCCCCCTAAAGTTCAACTAAAGACAAAAGGAAAGCAAGGGCCTCCACCCCCACCAAAACGCAGTGCTATGGTTGAAACAATCCAATCAAATCAATCATTTATGTCTGATCTACAGAAAGCATTAACGAAACGAGGGGCCCCTGCAAAGGAAAAATCTCCAACCGAACAATCATCTGCAGTGGAAAAAGATAAAAATCTTTTGAAAGTTCCTCCTCCTGTTAAGTCAAAACCTGCTTCTCCCCGCAATAGCAAACCTGGATCTTCCAGAAATAGCAGTCCTATCCCACCTGTAGAGGTAATTTCTGACCTTCCACCCCCTATGACTGACCTACCACCCCCTCCACCTCCAGAAATGGAACAATCCAATATGGCTTCCTCTGAAATGGATATGAATGATCTAGACCTCCCTCCTCCTCCCCCTGAGCTATTGACTGCTCCTCCACAATTGGAGCAAACCCCTACAAAAGCACCGAAACCCCCAGGGACAAAACCAAAACCTCCACCACCTAAGCGTAGCCAGCATACAGCTTTATCTGGAAAATAACTATGTGTTATTGTCTGCATGCATTGTTAACTCCTTCAGAAAATATAAGAAGTAGGGAGTGGGGAGACTGCTAATGATGTAGATGTAGAGAGGAATATAGAAGAGATGAATGGGGACATTGGTAGGAGGTGGACAGGGGGACCAATGAATATATGCGACTTGTTCGTCACAACATTTCTAATAATGACCTTTATATATTCTATATTGGAATATTGTCTGATATGTTATTATTATATGACATTTTATTGTGATATATCAAAATTACATTGTAGTATTTGAGTTCATGCTTCCGCACAGACAATGATAGTGTGTGTTATCCAGCACAATGATAGTGTGTGTTATATGATAGTGTGTGTTATACAGCACAATGGTAGTGTGTGTTATATGATAGTGTGTGTTTTACAGCACAATGATAGTGTGTTATACAGCACAACAATAGTGTGTTATACAGCACAACAATAGTGTGTTATAAAGCACAATGATAGTGTGTGTTATACATGGCTGACTGCTTATTTAGTGACACATATTACTTTAACATATGAAAATACTTTATATTATACTAAATATTTTACAAGTTATATTTTGATGTGATATCTCAGTGCGTCATTGTTTTGCAACTAATGAAATGCTGTTTTTGCTAATTAAAGTGGAAGCATACAGATAAATAGTGATCTGTTGGTATTATTGAATAAATGAAGTGTTCATGGAAAGTGAAGTTATTATTTTAACTAATTAGAATCAGATTAAAATTCCACTTTACATATGAGAATTATATAAAGACAGTGGAATTGTATTGCAGTGAAGAAAGTGTCACACATCAACATTTTTTTGTATTCATTTAGTGATAAATGTTTACCACATGTACTTACAGTATATATGTACTTGAATACAGTACATGTACTTATATACACTACATGTAAATATACAATGTACTTATATACATTACATGTGCTTTAATAATGTTTGTGTGTTTTATCAAAGGACACACATGGATGAATGTCAAAATTATTATAAGATTCATAGACTGAATTATTTAGTCCCAAACTTGTGGTACACAAAATGTACATAGAATATATCAAATTGATGTCTTCCTGCCGTATTATATGCAAATTATCAATATTTTAACCAGCAATATTAAAAATGATGATGTTCAGTACAGTATTTACTTTTAGGTTTAGAATACTGCAGGCTTATTTACTGCTAAATATTAAACTAATACTTTAAACTATGACAATTTAGAGTTCTTGCATACAGATGAGTATAAAATATACTGCATATGTATTTTGAATAGACTAGCCATCTTTTTATTAAAAGGAATTAAAAGAAATGAAAATAAAAGAGGTTGTAGTACTGTACTTGTTATACAAATGTACCGTTTTTTAGAATATCGTTTCACTTGTGTTTTATCCTATTTTGTACATGCTAGTTCATTGTAAATATCATGGACATTCTATCTAGTTGTGCCCATGTTAATATTCAATGTTGAGTATTTTTCAGTTTCTACTAACATTTGGTTGGGATATGTATAAACCCCACATTTGTTTATCTGTAGGTTTGGCTGTCTGACATTAAGTTTTTGGTAGTATGATGTTGAATGATTTCTGTAAAATTTAGATATTTATTGCCACTAAGAAGGAGTCACATTTTTTGTAACTGATGTTAGGTTCTGTAACAATAGTTACACTTTTCTAGGTAATGACATTAGAGACTGATAAGATTTTTATTTCTGTGACTCTGATTTTAGTTTAAAAGAAGATCACAATTTGGCATTGACTATACAAATCTGTGCAATTTTGGGGATGAATTTTTAATTCAAAATCATAAGGAATCATTTGGTAATGAAAAGTCCATTGTGATTTTAGAAAACAGAGTTCTCATTTTGGAGTTAATATGAACTTGATGCTTGAACGTGTATTGTATTTTCGTTATTAAAACCTTTACTGACTTTATGTTATACCATGATTTCAGGTATTAATGTACTACAGTGGTGATTCACAAAGATTACACTTAAAAATGCATAGTCGCATGAGACTCTTCATGTTTTTGAAGCCTCTGTTGTCAATGAAAATTGTAATATTTGAAAAGTTTTTATATTCAGTTTGCCTGTTGACCTATAAAGAGGTGTACAATTGCTATTATATGAATTTGTTATATTTAAACCTCAAGTGCTCATGTTTATCAGGTGTTTATGTTTAAGTAGTTTAGGTGTTTATGTATGTGTTTGTTATAAATAAGGGTCATCTCAAAGGTTTCACACTGAATTCCTGTCATCCATTTTGTTAATTACACAACCATCCGTGTTAAAAAATAAAAGTGTGAATTCATCTTTCAATAAAAGGCTATTCTAAGTTCTATACTCAAAACGTTCATAAAGGCACCAGTCCATTATCGAAACCATTAGAATTAAGTGTGGGACATAAAAGACAATACCTTATAAGGGCATTGGTGATTTTCAAAGCATTGATGTTCATTTTGAGTCATGTTTATGTTTTTATTAGGGTATGATGCAGTAATGAGGTGCCAAGATAACAATCCAATTGAGAGATTAAGTAGAATTAGATTATTTTGTTGATATATACACGATTGATTATATGCAAACATATTATTAGCATTTTATTTTTTACTAATAAACATGTTTACTTTATATACAATATATTTTTTGTTCTCTTGTTACTTGAAGTACATATTAGCACATTGACAAATAACACAATGAGCATTCATTTAGGTTGTATTCCTGGAATTTCATGCTTATAAAACTCTACATTACTGGTAGGTTGCATCCTCACACCTAAGTTGTTGCTGCTTGCCATGAGATGGAGAGAAATTGGCATCAAAATTGATTACTGCATCTTCATCAAAAATATTGTTGAAAATCATTAAAAATAAGGTTATCCCCACATGAAAATATGGTCTTTTTGGGCCATCCTGCCATTAAGATTTCCAAAACGCTATTGGCAAACTTGTACGTGCCTAAATATCCAAGTATGTAAGACCATATACAGATACGCTTAATGTACAACTTACAATAGTACTATAATGTAACTTTGAAAATGTAGATTTGGATTCTTAGTTAGATTAAATAGCTAAACTTTTTTAACCCCATTTTAAAGTAATAATATCAAGGTTTCTATCATATTGGTCTAACGAATGAGTTCCATTTTACTGCCCATTTGTTCATAATCTCTATATTCAATGAAAACAACAAATAAATATTCAGTAATCAAATAGATTTCTACTTATACAGGACTCAAAATGTCTCAGACACAGAATTCTACCTAGTGGTATTTTCAATTACATGTACTGGACAGTAAAACCTGTCTAAGGTCAATACATTTGGTACTTCTAAAGTGTTCCACTTATAGAGATTCATTTATCATTAAGTCAGTTGGTCCTGGGACTCTGGAAGGTGTTCCAATAACAGATGTATTCCATTTTTAGAGGTGTTCCAATTTACAGGTTTCACTGTACTAATTTTATTTTAATCTGACTTCACAGGAAAAACGTGTGTTTTAAAGGGTGATGTATATCGTTTAGCCAATCGAATGCTCGTTTTTGGTGTTGCTAACAGTTTAGTATAAAAGGCGCGATCCCGGAATAATACTCGATCAAGGTTGAAGTCACTGCCTAAACACCTGCCTTTTTACATAGGAATAGTATAGATCATTACATATTTTTAAAAGGGAGATTTTTATTTTGAAAAATCAATTTCACATTTATGGGAAAAGTTTCGAAATCTTCTATTTGTGTTTAATAGGAAAAATTGACATCTAGATTTATACCCTTCAAGTATTAGCACATAGCATGGTCTTATGAAATGTCCTGTAAATGAAACAGGGCAGTTTGGATTAGAACAAGGGTTTACATTGGCTGACACATGTGAATCTTTTGGATAATTCACCTTCCCGATGTTCACAGAATCATTGTAATGGATTATTTTATCTTCAAGACGATTTCAATAAACTGGAATTTACAAAACTCCCCTAATTTCTTAATAATAGACTCATCCAGTAGACTCACCTGGAGCTGCCATATTGTTTTTATACTGGAAGCTTCTCGTAACCCTTTAAGCTTGATCTCCACAATTACTAAATAACAAACTTCAATTAATTTTTATGATACAATAGATTTATTGACAACAAAAATAAAAGAAACAATATCTTGTAAATAAAATAAGAACAGAAAATCTAGTACTGTAAATTACCTACAATGCCATCAAGAAATTCAACTCAGATCTCTGGATTGATGGCTTGGTGCTTTCCATATCTACTTTACTTGTATTTTTAACTTCCACTAGTTCCAATCTTTTCATTATTTTTATATACGAGAGGTTACTTCAAGGAGAATTGGTTTCCCAGATTCCTTCATAATACATGGGAGTCATTTTCTTCTGTGCATTCAAACTTATAACCATGGGCTCTACTGATAGAGCCCATGTTATAACCAAAGAATGGTTAATGTTTTTGCCTGACAACACAACTGGCTATAAATTCATTAAAGCAATCAAAATGATTTGAACTAATGCTTAGATCACTTCTTGGTTGTTTTGAAATATTCCATTATGTACAAGAACAAATCCTGGGACCCAGGCCTCCTTGAAGCTTGATAACATTATATGTAGATATAAATTCTCAGCTCACTAGCACCCTCTTTCTGTTGACTAAATACCTATAGAGATTACACGGAAGTATGAGTGAAACTTCAATATCAAAGTTACTTCCTGTTAATATTTTCATGATGTCAGATCCTACAGTGTCATGTACAATTTTAAATTTTATTTCGAAAAATGTTTATAACCAATTTAAACATGAAGAACTTTCATGGACAGCTAGGTAATTCTTATTCAACGACGTATCTCATATAGACAAATATTCTTAAAATACACTAATACACTGTTCATTGCACTTTTCCATTCTGATACTCATAGCATCTTTCTGTTTCACCTGAAACATGCTCTGATATTATGAGGCATATTCTGTGATCTGAGCAAATCAGATGGGAAAAGTTATAACTGTCAATAAGTGTGATTGTTATCATGTAATCATCTACCTTAATGTCAATACATTACATAATAGGCATTGTATTTAACAGCAGATATGAGCACAGGCATGTGTACACAAGTTTAATGACCCCAATTAAATGAAATATGAGCTGGGATGAAAGATCTCAAAAATCCTCAATTTTGGGCTCTCCTGGATCGCCAAATCAAGCTCATTATATCATGGCATCTCATGGCTGAGAATATTTGAGATGGCATGGTTTATCATGATGGCACTTTTCAAAATTTAAGGTTTCATTACATTTTTAGCATCAGTGAATTGTAAAATATTTTTTATGAAATTCTTCATTAAACAGAATCATTACATATTTACATTAGTATCCAGAGCAAGATTTTCAAAACAATAAAATGAATACTGCACACTATGATTAAAATGACAATAGAAATACAGTTCCAGTAAACATGCACAACTAGCATACTGTTAAACCAGTCCTTGATAGGATCAAGATACACAACTAGTTCAACTGCTAAAAAGAAATAAAATATTCTACAGTAAATATCATATTATGTATGTTTTTATATCACAATACTGAAAGTGTATAGATAGATTCTTGCTTCTTTTCTGACTAGAATAATACAATAACATTCCAAAGAAGCACATACATATGCTTAATAAAATATGTACACCATGATACAAGCCGCCTTTCAAAGTACCAATAGGTAAGACATATATAAATTGTATAATATTCTATTAGTACTTAGGGACCATGCCTATGCTGTCTCAAAATTTGGTTACAGTATCAGTTACAATTCCTGCTGCTCCCCCACCCCACACCCCAAAAAAGATGTAAGCAATTTTTTCAGTTTGAATGAGATTCCTAGGGAAAAATCAACATTTCCTTACAAATTGAAAAGGATTTCTACTTCTCCCAAATTAGCTAATTTTCAGATTATGTTTGACCTTGTGACTGAATATGCGAAAACTAACTGATTCTTATATCTTAGTAAATTAAACCTATCAGCCATATGCATTTGAGTACTAAACAGGGGGTCATTAACAGAAAGTCTATGAATTCGTAAGTTTACAAAGTTTCCGTTAATGGCCTCCAGAGTATTATACACTACATTATGTATCACAAGAATATAATATTATGCATCATTACATTGAGTAAATGGAGTACTAGTAATTCATCATATGAATATCCTATCATATAAATGAGAATTGCAATTGAGAATATATGACTTATGACAAAAATTTGACCTGAACTTTTATTCTGTCCACTGTCAAATACCAATTGCTAAATAATCATGGTATTTCAATGCAGGACAGAATGAAATCAGGGACAATACATCACATAATATTGGTCTCCATTCATTAAAAGGCCCAATTTCAAAAATACAACAATTTTTATGATTTCTAACAGCATGCAATTTACACCATCAATACATTTCTTACATACTAAGAATCCTTCCTGAATACAGAGGCAAAAAATGCTTACCCATACCAATAGTGTTTTACTTTTTATATAGTTCAAGATCAGAATGGACTCTGAGCACCTTTTCCTTAATTTATCAATTATCACAACCCTCTAGATGATAATTTCAATGATAACATAGTATTTATCTATTGGTCTGAATAAGCCATTGAAAACATCTATGCTATAATACAATATAATATGAAAATGAGAGCATTCATATTGAACATCCCTCATATAAAAATATAAGGATATTTTAAACAATGCAACATCTACAGAAGAGGGAACAATTTATAACATTAACATGCAAAATGTCACTACCTGCCATTTATTACAAATGCAAACCACAAAAAAAGTTGGAGACTAGAACAATACTGTTTCTGGTGGTGACATATATTTGTGATCTTTAATTTAAGCAATGATTTTCAAATATTTCAAAAATAAGTTAACATGTCTGTGTAAACACATGCTTGGTCCAAGGGTATTCCAATTCTTTCAATGGTATGAACGCTAAATACCATGTATTGCACAATCAAGTCTTTAAATACAAATTAGTATTGCACTATAGGTCCATGGTTCACAATGGCAAAGAAATAAATTAACATTCAAAGTTAGGTCTGCTCTAATAGCTGGAGACCTGTAGGTGGTCAATATACAGGGTGTTCAGAAGTCTTCTCTGAAATACTATGGTAATAAAATATTGCATCTCAGATGATTCTTCGATGCAAGTTCCTCTCTCTATGTCAAGGCTATCAAATATAATACCCAAAATATTTTACTCTCGAGTGTTATTGTTGACCATGGGCCTGAGAATGTTCCTCGAATGCCATCTGTTGTTTAGCCAGAGTATCATAGGCGGGAGGGGGTCCATATGGTGGGTTAGTGTAGGCTCCTCCATTCTGGCCATAGGCAGGGGGGCCTGCAGCACCTAAGTGGGTGGGGGCCATGGTGGAATAGTGAGGGGGAGGGACTGGCACTCCTCTGCAGGCTTGGGACATAAACATGTTTGGGTATGCCAGACCTACAACAAAAAATCACAAATATTACCCCGTGTTATGATTGATAAATGTCAGATGCAGTGTTGATTTCATATCTTTGTGTTGATACAGTTTATCAATTACATGTGCTCTCATTATATACTATTTCATTCAATTTATTTCAATCTATTTGCTTGATCTAATCAGAGACAATCAATTATCATTATCAATAATCAACATAATAATATTATCATTTATTTTAAATACAGATTCACAAATTATAACAACAAATTGGTGACTGTATCCATGTGGTGACATATTGCTATGGTAACCATTTTGGAGCCTGAAACATCAGTGCTTCTTTTAAAGGAATTTATGAAAAATGGCACCCTCCCTCAAGAGTTGAAACATGTATATACATGTACATGATTTTGGTTGATTGGATGTAAATGTTCTAGAATATAACTGTCTTACTTGGTTCATTATATGTGGCTTTTTCAAAATGTAATTATCTTACTTGGTCTATTGTATTCAAGTATTTCAAAGTATAACTATATTTGGATGGTTGTTTGAAGGTATTTCAGTTTTGGAATGTTACTATTTTACTTGGTTGATTGTAAGTGAGAGTTTTAGAATGTAACTACAGTATCTTACTTGGTTGATTGCAAGTGAGAGTTTTAGAATTTAACTACAGTATCTTACTTGGTTGATTGCAAGTGAGAGTTTTAGAATGTAACTACAGTATCTTACTTGGTTGATTGCAATTGAGAGTTTTAGAATGTAACTACAGTATCTTACTTGGTTGATTGCAAGTGAGAGCTTTAGAATGTAACTACAGTATCTTACTTGGTTGATTGTAAGTGAGAGTTTTAGAATGTAACTACAGTATCTTACTTGGTTGATTGCAAGTGAGAGCTTTAGAATGTAACTACAGTATCTTACTTGGTTGATTGCAAGTGAGAGTTTTAGAATGTAACTACAGTATCTTACTTGGTTGATTGCAAGTGAGAGTTTTAGAATGTAACTACAGTATCTTACTTGGTTGATTGCAAGTGAGAGTTTTAGAATTTGACTACAGTATCTTACTTGGTTGATTGCAAGTGAGAGTTTTAGAATGTAACTACAGTATCTTACTTGGTTGATTGCAAGTGAGAGTTTTAGAATGTAACTACAGTATCTTACTTGGTTGATTGCAAGTGAGAGCTTTAGAATGTAACAACAGTATCTTACTTGGTTGATTGCAAGTGAGAGTTTTAGAATGTAACTACAGTATCTTACTTGGTTGATTGCAAGTGAGAGTTTTAGAATGTAACTACAGTATCTTACTTGGTTGATTGCAAGTGAGAGTTTTAGAATGTAACTACAGTATCTTACTTGGTTGATTGTAAGTGAGAGTTTTAGAATGTAACTACAGTATCTTACTTGGTTGATTGTAAGTGAGAGTTTTAGAATGTAACTACAGTATCTTACTTGGTTGATTGCAAGTGAGAGTTTTAGAATGTAACTACAGTATCTTACTTGGTTGATTGCAAGTGTGAGTTTTAGAATGTAACTACAGTATCTTACTTGGTTGATTGTAAGTGAGAGTTTTAGAATGTAACTACAGTATCTTACTTGGTTGATTGCAAGTGAGAGTTTTAGAATGTAACTACAGTATCTTACTTGGTTGATTGCAAGTGAGAGTTTTAGAATGTAACTACAGTATCTTACTTGGTTGATTGTAAGTGAGAGTTTTAGAATGTAACTACAGTATCTTACTTGGTTGATTGCAAGTGAGAGTTTTAGAATGTAACTACAGTATCTTACTTGGTTGATTGCAAGTGAGAGTTTTAGAATGTATATACAGTATCTTACTTGGTTGATTGCAAGTGAGAGTTTCAGAATCTAACTATCTTACTTGGTTGATTGTATGTATTGGTGGTGGCTGTGCTGACAGGGCCAGATGGGGGTTGACCATTGGTCACCAACACTCTTTGGTAATAGCGTCTCTTGAACCAGTATCCACTGCCACTACAGAACATCAGCATCAATAGCACACATAACCTGAAAAATATAGCACACATATCAACAGAAATAGCACACATAGCCTGAGATTTAGCACACATATCAGGATCAATGAATCACCTGATATAAAGAATAATTAGACTGAAATATAGCACAATATCAGCATCAATGGCACACGTAACCTGAAATATGGCATACATAGCCTGGAATATAACAACACAAAACAATGGTCAAAATAACCTGAAATAACACACAAAACATCATCACTGACACTCATCACCTGAAATATAGCAAATCAATGGAACATAAGCTTGAAATATGGTACATATATCAGCAATGTTATCAGAAGAAAAATCTTACTTTTAACACACATAACTGAAATTGTTTTGAAAATGAAAGGTGATTGATCTCATGGGAATAATTCTTTAAGGTGTTAACTCACCAGAAATACCAAAGTCTGTAAAATCCTGCAAAGCTCTCACAGCAGTTGTTACCACAACAGTACTGGTAGGCGCTGCATCTGAAATCAAAAAATATAATATTTTACATTATCATTCATATGTTTATGTTACCACAACAGTACTGGTAGGCGCTGCATCTGAAATCATAACCAGAAGAACGGCAACGCCAAAGCGTAGCGAATCCCATCGAACAGAAACGGCTGGCATTTTTACAAACGAAATATGTAGCAAATATCATAAAATAACACACATAAGAAAGGCCACCATTTTCAAAATGGTTGCTCACTAGCCAAGTTGTCATCAGAAGAAGTAATAGGCTTTTTCTTTATAGTATTCACATAACAAATATGAAAACATCGCTCCACTACTTTTCGAGTTATAGTAAAATACTTTAAAATGGTGGAAATTTTTCAAAATGGTCGCCTTCTACCAAAAGTGTCATTAGACAGTGTGCCATGCTTATAGTATTCACATACCAAATATGAACAAAAATCGCTCCACTACTTTTCGAGTTACAGCAAAAATCGTAAAATAACGAGTAAAGGCCGAGTAAAATACATTTAAATGGCGGCCATTTTTCAAAATGGCCATCTTCTACCAAAAGTGTCATTAGACAGTGTGCAATGCTTATGTCATTCACATACCAAATATGAACAAAATCGCTCCACTACTTTTCGAGTTATATAAAATATGTTAAAATGGCGTCCATTTTTAAAAATTGCCGCCTTCGACCAAAAGTGTCATTAGACAGTGTGCCATGCTTATAGTATTCACAAACCAAATATGAACAAAATCGCTCCACTACTTTTTGAGTTATAGTAAAATATGTTAAAATGGCGGCCATTTTTCAAAATGGCGGCAATTTTTCAAAATGGCCACCTCCTACCAAAAATGTCATTAGACAGTGAGCCATGCTTATAGTATTCACATACCAAATATGAACAAAATCGCTCAAATACTTTGTGAGTTACAGCAAAAATCGTAAAATAACGAGTAAAGGCCGCCATTTTTCAAGATGGCTGCCATGTGTTTCTTTAATATCTATATTTCTAGCTTTATCAATGTCCTATATAATATTTTTACATTTAAAACATATTGCTATTACAGTTTTACATATTGACGGACGGACGGACGGTACATACGGACGGACGGACAGAGGCGTTCCTTATATCCCTCCGAACTTCGTTCGATGGGATAAAAATATAATCACAAGACTATGTCTTACATTATCATTCATATGTTACCACAAAAGTGCTGGTAGGCGCTATATCTAAAATCATAAAATATAATATTTTACATTATCATTCATATGTTACCACAAAAGTACTGGTAGGCGCTGCATCTGAAATCATACAATATAATAGCATGACTATGTCTTACATTATCATTCATATGTTACCACAAAAGTACTGGTAGGCGCCATATCTGAAATCATACAATATAATCACATGACTATGTCTTACATTATCATTTATATGTTACCACAAAAGTACTGGTAGGCACTATATCTGAAATCATACAATATAATCACATGACTATGTCTTACATTATCGTTTAAATGTTACCACAACAGTACTGGTAGGCGCTATATCTGAAATCATACAATATAATCACATGACTATGTCTTACATTATCATTTATATGTTACCACAAAAGTACTGGTAGGCGCTATATCTGAAATCATACAATATAATCACATGACTATGTCTTACATTATAATTTATATGTTACCACAACAGTACTGGTAGGTGCTGCATCTGAAATCATACAATATAATCACATGACTATGCCTTACATTATCATTCATATGTTACCATAAAAGTACTGGTAGGCGCTATATCTGACATTATCATTCATATGTTACCACAAAAGTACTGGTAGGCGCTGCATCTGAAATCATAAAAATATAATCACATGACTATGTCTTACATTATCATTAATATGTTACCACAAAAGTACTGGTAGGCGCTACATCTGAAATCATAAAATATAATCACATGACTATGTCTTACTTTATCATTCATATGTTACCACAAAAGTACTGGTAGGCGCTGCATCTGAAATCATACAATATAATCACATGACTATATTTTACATGTTTATGTAAAAACGTATCTTTGAGTTTTCAGGCTTCTGACAAGAATTCTTTTATGTTGTGGTTGAAGACATTCATTTTTACCAAAAGTAAGTTAAAAAGGGCAAAAACAGAGTTTCAAACACTCCTGGTAAACATCCTGTTGTTACCACAAAAATACTGGATATATAAGGAATCCCATATTTCACAATTGATCAATAACACATTCAATCAGCCTTAGTATTTATTCAATGCTAACAGGGCATGAAAGTCATATTCCGGTATGAAAAATATATTTAAAGTTTTTTTATTAATTTTGAATTTTAACAAAAAAGTAAACAGCAAAACTTCAAATATTTTCAATAATTTTTGTGTCTTAATCGCTTATTATGTTCACATCTATAATAAGGCAACTGCCACCAGTAGATAACCTCACATTGACTTGCTTTCATTCACTTACACATAATCACCACAGAATCCTGGCTGGAGTGCACCATGGAACAGGCACATGTTTTATGAATCAGTTATATAATATATCCCTTTCTTAGTATTATCTAAACACTCTTTAGATGAATTTTTGTTGAACTCTCCGTAATAGACACATTTTAAATGGTACATATCCAATTTGATTTGTTTCAGCATCTAACTGGTTTTCTCACATCCTGCCTCAAAATTTATTTTGCAAATGACACATCACAGTTAAGATTGGTCATATTGTGTCTTTGAATGACTGTTATGCCCTCATCAGGTGAAGCCCTGAAGTTGGAGGATCTAGGAATCTAACATGACTTGAAAGCACATATCCTAGAAATGCATAGGACGTCTTTAAATCGTGTACATTGTGAATTTTTGTGTAATCCTGGTAATCATGAAAATACATGGTATTGGTCTAATTTATACTTTCTTTTTCTTTCCAATTTAATTGGTGACACTGAGTCCAGGCCCGTAGCCAGGACTTGCCAAGGGGGGTTCACTCTTTGAAAAATTCCAGGGGGGGTTCACATGTGACAATTTTGGTCCAAAATTGGCCAAAATCACTTAAAAGTGCATATGGTGAAAAAATTGCATGATTTTTAAAGGCCCCATGTAAAGTTTAAACCACTTTGGCTTATATTGTAGTCTTACCCAATGTTATCAAAGTGTGATATTTGAAACTTTTTTTTTAAATTTCAAAAAGTGGTTTTTGATCGACTTTTTGTTCCAAAATTTGTGAATTTATTTAAAACCAACTTTTAGAGGTCACTCATATCTTCTAATTAGCCACAATTCATACCAATGCATAGCATTCATCCTCCCATGTTTTTTGCCGAAAAAATTAAGAAAATCAGTTGATAAACAAGCGAGAAATGAACTTATCAGTGCATGAAAATGGTCCTGAGAAAAATGCATTTCAAAATTATAGTTCTCATAGAAACCAATGGTACAATGATATCTAAAACATAATTTATTCTTCCTTTTAACCTAGTTAGACAATCAACATTGGTTTTTTATGGAAGTCTAGCATATTTAGAAAAGATTGACATCGAAAAAAAAAAAATTTCAAAAAGTTTTTGTTACCTTAGTGACATCACTAATGTTTCAAAATAATTTTGATATGCTAAAACATTGAAGTGGCCCATTAATTATGGCATTTCATTATTGAAATTGTGTGTCCTTTGTTCAATCTTTGCATTGGTGTTAAAAAGATAATCTTTTTTTGAAATTCATTAAGAAATATTTGATGATTAAGAAATTTCAACTTTTGAAAATTGGCGGGAAATTTGAATATTTGAGAAATGAAATGCTCACAACTTTTTTTTCAAAAAATCTTTTTTGTTCAAAAATCTCTAAAATCACTTTTTAAGTCCTGACAAATAGTAAATGAATGATAAAAAAATATTTTCAAACTTTAGACGGGGACTTTAAAGATTTTTTGGCCGGGGGAGGGGGGGATTTCGCTCAAACCCATAGAACCCCCCCCCCCTGGCTATCTGGGTCTGGAGTTATACTAGAATCGTAATAAAGAGAATGTCATTGAATTTACCCCTCTGGATACATCACAGAGAAACCCATCATTTGCTGCATTCATTTGATACACACAGTAGTCTATGTGGTGCAATCAGAGTAGAGTCAACAACAAATCCCTTTCTAGTCTGTAAATTACAAGTGAAAAATGCTTTCCATTCAAAGGCATATTCCTTGTATCCACCCCAAGTAAAGTCTCAATTATAACACCTCAAGTGAAATAATCAAATATTGTGCATGAATGATAAAGAGAAGAATTACAGCACAGTACATTTGATATTAAGACTTTAAAGGTACCTTTAATAAAGCAAACTGCTTTTAAAAGAACTTTTTGCATCATCTTTTGAAGAAAGATTTTATTTTTGAGAGTAAAATCATGAATCTGATATATTCATAAAACACCATTCACACATTGTACATTAATTGTTTGAGTATGAAGCAATCGTGAAATCAAAATTCTGTTTTCCTTGTCTCAATGAGCAAGAAAGAGTTGAACCACTGATTAGATTTTCCACTCATTACCAAAATATAACCGCCATTAAATGAAGAACTCCATCCAAGTGTGATAACTGATTGCAGATTATGACATATTGCAATATGATCAATAAAATTCTTTGTGATTTAATAATATAAGAATTGCTTGAGAGAAGTGGTGTGCTATCAATGTAGAAGCATTTTCGAGTAAGAAACATGGTTAATAACATGAAATCTTAAGGAAAACAAGGAAAAGCAATTTCACAGAGTCACAATTAGTCATTACTTCACAAGATTTCTTGTTATAGTGTAGTTAAATGTAGTGTGATTAGATTTATATTTGTACTATTCTGATATGCAATGACATCAATAGAGTCAATAAAAGATATCTAATTCATAATAAATAAACAGGGAATATAACTGATATTTAACTGAAAATTGAAAAATGGTCTGACACCTGGAAATTGGAGTTTAAACCTGAAAAGAGTTCTGAAATGATATTCCACTCATCCAGATCTAAAGTCGATAATGTTTCTGTCTCAAAGTTAAACAATGTTGAAATTACCAGAGATCACCAGCACAAACATCTGGGATTTACTTTTGACCCAAGCTTATCATATGACAAGCATATTGGAGAAATCACATCAAAAATACGAAAAATGTTGAACCCTTTAAAGAAACTTAAATATAAGTTAGGTAGTAAGCATCTAGAAACCATATTTAAGTCCTTTATTTTACCCCATTTTGACTATGGTGCTATCATGTACAGCACAGCCTCAAAGTTCCTATTACAACGACTCGACAGTCTTTATTATAAAGCTGCACTTTATTGTTCTGGGTGTATCCAAGGGAGCAGTTCAAAAAAGGTTTTAAACCTACTCAATTGGCCAACTCTTGAATCAAGACGCAGTATCCAGATTAACAACTTTATGTTCAAAATTGTAAATGGTACAAGTCCTCCCTATGTAACTGATATTTTTGACAAATTTAGAAACCATGCAAACAGAGTATTGAGATATAATGAAGCATTTAAAATGCCCATTAGATGCTCAAATAGATTCTCCACCTCAGCAATACCAGCTGCAATTTCAAATTGGATCAATCTTCCACCTGCTATTAAATCTAAGAATACTCTTTCGAATTTTAAAAAACACCAAAGAGTACATTTCCAAAAAACGCCCTCGATTTTGTCAACAAGCCAGCTTAATCTAACAAGGGTTCAAGAAATAGTTCTCAATAAAGTGAGAGCTGACCTATACTTCAAAGCCCAGTTCTACGCTCACAACTTTCAGTCTATTGACAGCCCTAATTGCACTTGTGGAAAACCACAAACTCTGAAACATTTTCTCTTTCAATGTGACTTACTTACTATACAAAGACAGCAATTCATGGACAAACTCACTGATCTCGAACCAAACATCTTCAGTCATAATCTCTCTCAAACTGATTTCATAGCTATTTTGAAAACAGGAATTCCCAAATTAAACATAGATGCAAATTCCCAAATACTACTTCTCATTGTTAATTTTATCAAAGACAATAGCTAATTCCCTCCTTCTTATCCATCTCTAGTATCCTCAAGTCCCGTCACACCTGCCCTAGTCCAAGACCCTGCCTGCTCTGCCACTTCTACTTCCACCTGCCCCCTATTCTTATATAATGCCATTGTGGCGACTTAAGAATTTACATGTCTGTATTTACATTTTTTGTATTCTATTGAAATAAATTTAATAATAAAATGTACTGATATTAAAAAATCTTGTATCTGCCAAAATCCTGTATCAGATCCCCTGTCAGAAATACTTCTAGGGATTTCTCTTGATTTTTTCATTTTTTCGTTCTATTTTAAAATATGTCAATCAAAGTTGAAAATTTTACTGTATCATTTCATGTCACCATCATTGAGTGATGACAAATTAAACTTGAAAATGAATAATTTTATGGTATATATAGGTTATTGATGGTCGTGATGGAATATGAATTTTCTCTTTGAGAAAATATGATATTGGCCGGGGAAAATATCATATTGATACATGTTTTCCCTCAGAATAAATTTCCCATTCTATCCCTTCCATTAAATAACCTCTATACATTTATAAGAAAAAAATATCTGATACTTATCATCTGGCTACATAGGCAGACAGTGATTAGTTAAGTTTTAGCTAATATCTCACTGATTATTGAAGTAATATCATAAAGGTAATGGTGATGTAAAGCAATAGATTACAGTGTATCAATGGTGATTGTTGAGGACAACACTGACATCTATATTCAATGAGTAAAGAATCTTCTATCACAGAGCAAAGATTGATTCTACCATTGAAATAAGAATAAAGCAACTTTAATTTCAATAATTTAAAATATATTCCATTAAATTATGGGGGAGTGAGGGAGGTAAATCTGAAATCTAATTATGTTTTGGGATAATATTGGACTATCTCAACTAGCAAACTTACCTAAAATTGAAGTTCTCTTTCCCATTGCTACTCGAATACCAACAGTGCTTTCCTTCCACCTGGAATCAAAATAAAATGTAATGCACATGTAGAGTATAAAGTAAGCCTGTAGAATACCTCTTTAAATCCAAGACCAGATATGAAAAACTGCAACCAATTTCTAAACAAGGCATTACCTGCCACTTGTTACAGATACCAAACACTGACCGATGAAGACCGTTCACAAAAAAGTTGGAGGCTATAATAATATGACACCACTTGTGGTGGTGAAATGATATTATTTCCCAATTTTCTAATTTTATGAATAATGATCTGTAATACAATGCATTATACTGGTTCACAGCAGAATGATACAAACTGGTGTCATTATCACCATGTGCTTTCAAGAGAAAAAGTCATACTATCATCCATGATGTTAGACAAAGTTCTTTCGATATTGATAATTCTTAAATATCATCTAAACCAAATAAAACCTGGATTCCCAATATCATCTAAACCAAATAAAACCTGGATTAAACCAAATAAAACCTGGATTCTCAATATTTTATAATGCAAACTACAAAGTTCTTATTCTAAACAATTATGGGGATCTTCGGGGATATCTAGCTAATCTAAAGTATCTTAAAGTTAATTTGAGCTTCATTCATTTCATGACAAACATATGGAATGCTTGATGGTTGACAGCGCTGACAGAGCAAAATGTTGTCATCAGGGAGGAAATGTACAAGTGAAGTTGTAGTTCTACTGGCTGCACCATATTATAGCCATAAATGTACCATGTGCACAGTCTAGTTATAAACTACTTTCTACAATGTAGCAATCAGCACTCCCCCACCAGCCAAAAACTCATGCAGTTTTTCACCATTGTGTGCACTTTCCAAGTAATTTTGGCCATTTTATACCAAATTTCTCAAAAGTGAACCTCATCTGGAATTTTTGAAAACGTGCACCCGTGAATCCTGGCTATGGGCCTCCCGAATCATTGGCTTTCATGAGAATATATGACTTATCAATTAGCATAGGCCACCGGGAACATGTATAAAAAATCGACATAAGTAATACAGATGTCGACTTGATACAGATGTCGACTCAATTTTTTATACATGTTCCCAGGGCCTGATTAGCTTTCGTCCCCTGTACCCCCGTACTGATGAGTGTATCACTAATCTAGAAGTTTCCGAAGCAACAATGGATTTGTTATTCTAACAATGGGCTTTCAAGAGGTTTCAAGGCTTTCTGATGAAAGCCCATTTCTAATATGAGACAGACACCTGAGTTTCCAATTTTCTCATTCTCAACACAGTCAGAGAGAATGTTTCTGGCGAAATTTTGGGACTTCAAATACTTTTAAGTTGGGAAACCGGAAGTGCTTACCTTTTTTAATTCCCGAATCTCTCCGAAATTAGCTCATCTTGGTGACTGTAAATTGCACAGCTGTATTCAATGGAGTCTTGTCATATTCGATCAGCCTCAATTTTAAAGTGTATATTTTATTTTCAATGTGATTTCATCGTTTTTTGTCGACTGGTAAGAATACGCCGGGCAAATGGCAAGATGGATGACTTTTGACCTGACCTTGACCGATGGTGATCACGTCATCAATATTACCAAGATGGCGGTTTCAAAATTTTCTAAAATCGCTTCAAATAATATTATGTTAATTCCTAGCGAGTAAAGATATCTCTTAGTTTGCTATTTCACAATAAGATAACGAAATGTGTAAGGAATTCGTATTTATCAATTAAAACATCACATCGACATTTGGTATTCGTAAACTAGACGATGAAGATAACGACCTCGAAAAAAAACAAAAGAACGACTACGGGATTCGAACCCGGGCCTCCAGCGTGCTAGGCGAGGATTCTTCCCTTAGACCACCGATATATTACATATGATATTGGGATTTAAACGCTACTTATTTTGAATGCTATGATTCGGAAGTGACGTCACGTTCTTCACGTTTTGTTTGAGAGCGAGAACGAGAAGTGTCAGAAGCCCGGCTTTTTTGTCAGTCGACCTGTTCAAAGTACATTTAGTTATAATTATCGCTTTCCAGAACAATTTAGGAAACAATATTTTCTATCTACGTCGATTACAAAGCATCTAAGGTACGTAAATTTATATGAACAACTGAGTCAATAGGGATAAATAGCCCAACGAGAGTCGGCGGTCTTAAAAAATACTTGGATCTGGATGCCAGTCCTGGTATAAATATAGTTCCAGGGCAATTCGAAGAACGTATTAGATGTCCGTGATTCTCAAGTCAAAATTCCATTAGGATCTGAAACTTACCTGAGTGATTACAAAAACAAAGCCTATCACTAACTGAAACACGTCAAGGCTATTCATTCTTAATTACAATATCAGCGATTTATAACATAATGGTTACCAGGAAATGAACAATTATATCTTGAATTTATTGTCAACAAATTTTTTATTCTTGTTCTCGAAAATTACGGGTTTTAAATATCGAGATCGAGATTTCCTAATTGGAAATTTCATTTTGCAAACATCCTCGTTATTGTAACACATTTCCTTAATAGTGTTTACTTTTGACAATGAGTTACATATTTTTTATTTAATCAATTACTAAATTATTCAATAACTGAGATTTTTGTGTGATTTTTAAATGGTATTTCTCTTTTTACCTTATCAAATACAAAATAATATTTGCAATGATAGGGAGTGTGAGAATTTCGTGGAACAGCCATAATAAAGGTAAAAGGTTACAAAATGGCGATACGATTGTCACATATTGCGATTTTGGTTGGAATAGTTTGTGTTAATTTAGTAAGTATTCACCCCCTATTATTTTTCATTTACAATTTGTATTGTCAATGTATTTTTTCTAACACTTTAAAAATCTGTTCTGCGTGATTACTATGCTAAGTCATGGCATTTTCATATTGGGCCAAGAAATCTCAGAAAAACTTAAAGTTGACTTGGAAAATAAAAAAAAACAAATATTAGAAGTGCCATTTCACAGTCAGTACCACCTATCATATTCTAACTTAGTAACAATTACGTTAGATATGCATGAGTTTTGCCAATATAGGCCAACCTTGAGAGGCTCTATATTTGGCCAAAAATGAATAGACATCACTACACTCTGTTAAGCATGATAAAAGGCAAGAAGTTTAGTTAAAAATAAAAGAGTTATCTCATGAATGGGACCCTTACATGTTATCCTGTTCCCGGACTATAGTCCTGTACGGAGCCAATACATTTGCCTGTACGATTACAACTTGGGAGAATTATCTACGCCCCTTCCACTTAAGAAACCTACCTCAATGCATTCTACAACTCAAAATGTAACTTCTAATATATTGGAACCGCCGATTGTCTGGGTTAGTTGGCAGAACGAGGTCTTTTTGTTTCTTATGGCTCTTTTGGTCGAAGTTCGATTAAGATGGCGGTTATAACGGAATTTCCCGAACTCTTCCGTAATAGCACGAACTTGGTTTTTCGTTACGTCACTTCCGTGTAAAATGGATTTGTTTCGGGTAAGAGGGAATTTCGAAGATTTCGGACAATATTTTCAATATTTACTGCCATGTCGACATCCTATGCTCTTAACTGTATACCGAATGGTTAAACAATGTTTCTTACCTTATATTTCACTGCTTCATTGCGTCAGTAGAACGGCAAAAATAAGAAATTGGGAGACCATTGTGCAATAATATTTGGAAAAGTGTATTCATAATGTACATGAATGACATTTGTATATTTCAGATTTTTTAGTTTTTTGTGCAATCAAAATATAAGAGGACACAGATATGATTAAACCTACTTCGGTCCAAAGCCTTCTCTATATTCCGGCTTTGAGGAGGAAGATTGAGCTGCCTTAGTATTATAAATATTGTAAATCATTGTGTCACACGCACAGTAAATATGGCATAATAATATGAAATATACCTTTATGTATAGATTTGAAGAACATCGGCTCACATCCCCGTCTGAATCTATTGTTATATTTGATTTCTTTAAGCGAGAATAATTTCAAATGTTATTCACGTCCAGAACCGGAAGCCATTTTTAGCTACAGCGAGAAAATTTCACCATGTGTCAAACTCCGAAATTAAATTTTGAAATATCTAAATCCAGACAAGCAACGCTTCATCCTAAATATGATTAATATTCTTAAAAATATTTATAAAATTTATTAAAAATGAGTTCTAGGTGCGTGTAGGTGTGTGTAGCACAGTACATACGAAATCAATGAAGTTTCGTCTAGCTGTAAGCTAGAGACTCGAGTAAGATTAAACAAACTGGTATGAGAATGCCCCCCAAATTATGACTTTTGAGGTATGGCAATGGTTGGATTTTACCCTTTCTGGTATTAGAATGGTCATGGAAAATTGTTATCTCTCACGTGTGGTATGGCATTGGTCTAGTAGTTTTTTGGTGGTTTTCATCAAAGATCTACTTTCTTCTTATGATCTGGAAATTTAGTATGGTGTATTTGTCATATATTTATATATTTGGTATGATATTGGTCTTATGTTTAGACATTTGGTATGGCTTTTGGACATTATTTTGGTTGGTATGGGAACCCATTAAAATTTGAGTTTGGTATGGGAAAATACTGATATCTGAGGGTTCAGTCTAGGACCCCTACCAAATTTTGTATTCAGTGAACCCCCCAGGGAGTAAGAGAGGAAATGTCATTCATTGAGGTAATTTGTTGACAAACAACACACTACATACAACAATAATGGCTACTTTTTTATCAATGATGTCAAACATGTATGTGTGCGAGTAGAATTAAATGGAAATGAAACATAACATGGGCATATAAAGCGGGCAATACCGGTGTAATCGGGCAATAGGTATGTAATACAGAGTACTGTATCTAGAGGTCAAATGATTTGAGATTTCAAGATTCAGTGATTGTATTTTGCAGTTCAGTTCAGTTCTGGTCTCACAGGCTACGTGAAATGAGTGAACAGATATGAAATTTATCCAAAAATCAGAAAACACTGAGTGTTTTATTGTAATGAAATGTTTTTTTACAAATTTAAATATCGTGATTATTTCTTATATTCCAGACTGCAGCATATTACTGTGACAGTGGAAGGTATGTAGTTTTCATTTGATTTATAAATATCATTGTAAGCAACTTTAGCATGGTATACTCATACTATATGTACATTTTAGAGGTGTAACCCTATTTTTCAAGGAAAATCCAAATTGGTGAAGATAATTAAAGGCAGAATAGGATTTGAACCTCTCCAAAAACTTCTGTCACATCTTAGGTTTGTTATTCAACCTGCTTCCATATGCACATGTGATTTGAACTGAAACATTGAAACTTATTTGTATCACAGTCTCATTTGCTCCACCGTACAAATGCCATACAGCGACCGTAGCTTTATAAAATAGATATTCAAAATCTACATTGTACTGTTTATCCCTATATTTTATGCTGCATATGTTTCTCAATTTCGGGAGGCAACAGCCGTCGTACGATTTCTGTAAATCAGATGTGACTGACACATTAAGCTGCTTGGATGTAAAACAATAATTGTAACAACATTCCCTACATTGTAAGATGTAATCCTCCACTTTCAGGTGTTCTGAAGATGAGTACTGTTGTGGAGAAAACAAGTGTTGCGCATCATTTGCAGTGTGGCAGTACTGGTATTTCTGGTAAGTGGTCTCTACTTTAAATCTTATTATCCCATCGAATGAAGTTTGGCGGGATATAGGGAAGCCGCTCATTTAAAAATGGTGGCCATTTTAGTGCGGATAAAGAAGCACATGGCAGCCATCTTTCAAAATGGCGGCCTTTACTCGTTATTTTATGATTTTTGCTGTAACTCGAAAAGTAGTGGAGTGATTTTGTTCATATTTGTTATGTGAATACTATAAGCATGGCACACTGTCTAATGACACTTTTGGTAGAAGGCGGCCATTTTGAAAAATGGCCACCATTTTAACGTATTTTACTATAACTCGAAAAGTAGTGGAGTGATTTTGTTCATATTTGGTATGTGAATACTATAAGCATGGCACACTGTCTAATGACACTTTTGGTAGAAGGTGGCCATTTTGAAAAATGGCTGTCATTTTTGCTATCTACTTTGTTAGTAAAAATGCCAGCCATGGCTGTTCCATGGGATTTGCTACGCTTTGTCATTGCTGTTGTCTAGTTCATACATGTATTTGTGGTTCATGAGGTCGATTAAGCAAGGGGGAGATGCTTGAAATGTGTAACATTATGGTCAAGTGATTGATCCAATTAAGTGGGTTCTAATTTAAAACATGGATACATATGACATATGCAATCGTGGCAAAAATCATGTATTTTAGCAATGGAACCAAATATAACATGATAATTACTGGTGTACTCAAACAAAGCCTTCCAGTTGGTCTTGTATAATCTAAGACAATTATGGCTGTTTCAGTTTCAGGATGTTCATTAATAAGTAAAACCAAACACTAATTGCAGATGTAAGCTAGCCCAAAAATACAGCAGTTTGATTTTAAACTCTGGTTTGCATACATTTTACAATAATAACAATTTATAATCACATTCTAATCTTCATGAAATGTACTTATTTGTACCATTCTACTCTTTGGTTGTAGGTGTGGCTTGGTATTCTTCATTATTATGCTGACTGGCTGTGCAGGTTGTTGCCGTTATCGATACTATCAACAAATAGTTGTTATCCAGCCTGGATCTGGCGGCACTCATCCATACACACGACTAGAACATTCAAACGCCTCAGTATATAGTCCAACAAATGTGAGTACATGTACTTGGAGAGTTTTGTCAAAGTCTAATCTTAAGTCAACCAAAATGTTTTTTGATTTTTAATGGTCTATAACCTGCACTATCATTATTATGCTTTGGTATTTTTGTTGCTTGTCATGAACATAAAAAGCACTGAAACTCCAGTTCATCTAAATCAAACTCAAAAGTAATATTGAATTGACATGATTATGATAAGAAACCCTACCTAACATACTGTAAATAAATTACATTAAGTAAAACTTAAGTTGTGATATATTTTCAGGTGCCTGATAAGTATACCAATAAAAGTAGCCACTTTGGACAGGAATATACCCCACCCCCACCATATAGCCCAAATAAACCAAAGTAGTTGTTGTTGGATCATCGTCAAATTATCATTTAGTTATGTCTGAAATATGACAACAACACCGCATGCTTGGTCAATTTCTTATCTTTCTGATCATTCTAAATGTACATGATCTCTCAAGTTAGTTAAGAGGATGTTGATGCAGGACCCTCGATTTCAGCACCAAGAATTATTGACCAATCAAATATGAGAATGGAACAGTTAAACGATCATGCATTATTTAATGATCAGGGTTCTTGTGACCTTGTTACTACATGTGACGCAAAGATCTTTAAAACTGCAATGCAATCAACCATGACGAATATTTCATTTTTGGATCAGCTGGCCTGTCAGAGTTATGGAATGATTTAGAATAGAACATTAGTTACTGGTAACCAATATAAACTAATTCTTTAGCCATATTTTGAAACTACTGTTAATTCAGTCCATATATAAGGAAAAAGATCACTATATACGAATGTACATCCATGGAAGTAAATGATTACATTTTAGGAAAAGGGGTAAAAGCACATTACTTTATAAATCAATTTAAAATAGCAACAACTCTAAATATGAAAAATCAAAGAAATTTAAGATAACATTAATTGGAGGAAGAAGGGAGGGAGTCAGTCTGATTACATTTTGGGGAAGGATCAAAACACATTTTTTGAACAAATCAATGAATGTTGAATTGTGTTTCTTGAATGAGGAAGGGTTGGGTTCATCTGACTATATTTTGGAGAAATATATAAATTCCTCATGACTTTGTGTAAAAATGTAGTTCTTGCATGATACATTATTCATGCCATATAGGGCCAGGTCAAATGTCAATATGTCATTTTATGTAAAGTTAATTTCATATTGGGGGAACCACTTTTGTAAAAGGATATAGAGATTTTTATTGGCACAAGCTTTAATGGCAAAGGGGGTGTCTAATTCAGTCATTTGGAGTCCCATTTCAATGCTAACAAAACATATTGACATATTTACATGGCCCTAATGAAAAATGAATGTGCAGTCTTTAACTATTTCTAAGTGCAATTTTCTGTTATGTTTAGAGATGCTTCTTATAAATGAGTGGTCTCCTCATACTTTTCCCCAACTGGGTGCTAAATCCATAGTTTATGTTTTTTATATAAATTATTTGTTGATGACAAAATTTCACAATATTTCATTGTTTGGTGGCAAATCATATTTGAATTTCCAGCAGGATTGGCACCAGGTTGCTCAAAGTCTAGGGAGATCACTCCAAATCATTAGAGATTCTAATGAATGTCTATATATTCATGATGCATATATACAGCAAAGATATATATTTTATAGAATTAAACAGGGATTTGAGTCTAATATTCACAAACAGTGTTTTGGACAATATTTATATATATATTCATTGCCATGTCACTGTTTGTGTCTATCAGCATGTTATCAGCACATGATTGTCATCTAATGCTCAAAAGGAATAAACACATTTAGTATGTGTATTGGGACTTGGTTTCCTGAAATTAAGGGGCATTTTTATTTCCATTGATAGCAAGGGTTTATGTTGAGGTCTTGATTGAAAATGTGTACATAATTTAGACTAGATTTGGGTTCACTTATATATAAACTTTGAATCAAAGAGTCTGTGTTTGTCACCAGGTAGTCAAATTTTAGATACTAAGTAACTTGAATACTTGATTCTCCCTTTAACATGTTTAATAGGCCTTTGTTTTTCCACAAAGTTTCATTTTTCTCATTTGTAAAAGTTAAAACATTTTTCTGTTTAAAATTTGTAAATTGTAGAACCACTTTAATACTGTATTGGGTATTGCTAGTATTCTTCGTAATCGAGTTCATCAAAATACAATATGACTCTTCTAATGGGCAATGATGGTTCATAGTTTGAGTTCTACTTTGTAAATATGTTTTTGTATATAAGATAATGTGTTAGCATATATACATGTACCAAAATATATATCTAGATTTTATTATATTATGTACAGTATACATGGTAATTTAATTGTTCTCACCTGAAGTGTACTGTAATTTGGGTTAATTTGGAATCTATAAAATTCTAAAATATTCTGTTCAGGGGTAAAAAGATTATGTCCCCATGGAGATTTATTTTATTATCCACTCATTGTTAGTCAATTTTGAACTTTGTAAATTGTTTATAAAAAGTCAGATGTATATTTCTGTAACAACTGTTCATTTAAGACATATAATTTTCAAGAATGCTGAATTTGTTATTAGTAGTTTGTGCCATAATGGGCAGTGTCTATAACTCTGATTTTGAAAAACAAATGTGTTTGATTTATAGTAGTGTGTAACCAGCAGCATCAACAGACTTTGGTTCTGACCTACTTTATGAAAATCCTCATATGATAAGCAGTATGACACGTTCTAAATTGAAAAACTACTTGCTCCTTTTTCAAAGAAGAGAATACATTGGAATTTGGGGGAAAATAAAATTCTTATTTCCAAATAAAAAATTCCAAAACTCACAAGAAATGATCAACATATTGGTTCGAATCCATTGGACTGTTATTTTGAATTTATAGTTGGTTGTAATTTCAGTGACATTTCAACGGTTTCATTGTTGGAAGCCAATCCTCCTTGAACACTTATTTGTCAAAGTGTTCTAAACTCTTCCTGAAATACTTTTGTATTACTAGTCTCTGTTGATGTAGTTCAGGTTACATTTTATTTTATTTTGAAACGGTACACACATTTAAGTTGATGAAAACATGTAAAAAGTAAGAAATTGATGTGAAGAACTATTTTTGTATGTTGAATCAAAAGTTTATGAGCAGATACTCAATGATTAAATAATATCCAGTGATTAATTATCAAAACTAATTTATATATTTAATTGTTGTTAAAGGTATAAAAGGATGTAATATGTGGATGAATAAAAAAACACAGTTTAGTTCAAGATAGAGAATCATGGTTTATAAAATGTTGCTAGGTAATCTGGGGTGCATTCTTGTAACATTCCTAGCAATGGATATTCTTTAATCCATTGTTACCATGGAAATTGTGAAGTCAGTTAACTTATGAATTCATATACTCTCTGGTCCAAAAAGATCTGTGTTTCGTGTGAATTTTGATAAGGGAAACCATACAATTTCATAGTTTCAGGATTTGATGCCTGTATGTAACAAAAATGTGTGTAAAATTTAGATAACAGGTATGGAATAATGAAAAATCTAGAGATCAGTAACTATAGTGACCCCACAAATCACTGTTGCAATGTTTCCTCATGAGTTTTGCATGACGACGAACACATTTTTGGATCAGAGGGTACTTCAGAATGCTTAGAATAATAACAAACGTAAAAAGAAATTTGGGTACTATTTACTGAGAAAATGCACCCCTGTTAAGAAGTTGTTAAATTACATTTAGCAGATTTTGTAAATAACTGTAAATGTATGGCACCTTGCAGTTTCACTTAGTGTAGTGCATTACGATAATACTACACAATATTGTACAGAGAACTATTTTATATACAATAATAATAAATTGAGAAATGTGTAAATACCAGTAAACATGGTAAATACAGTTTTATGTTGGGTGTTCCACAGATTGTATATCTTAATCAATAACCTTTGGTATTCACAGTATTCCTGAACTTATGTACCATGTTTCTACCTTCCAGGTAGAAAGGGGTAAGAATTTTGACAAAATAAAAATTGGGCTATCAAATCCCTTCCCTGGGAACAACCTGTTGAATTACTTTCCCCACGTTGGAACCAATAATAGTTTGACAAATACATGCATAGTCAAAATTCGTATTACTACAGAGAATATATACTTGTATTTCAAAGGTCCCTATTCCCATCATAGAAACAATGCCACCCCTGAAAAGAATTAAATACTCCATTCAAATTCTACCCATTGGTAGATCAAACACACACATTGGTGGGTCAAACACACACCTTTGAATGGTGCATTACATTGTTGAAATCCAGCTCATAGGATAATATTGCATATCAAATTCCCAACCCACATCGAATTGAGTGGCCTGTCTCAGGCAAATTGCAATGTCACAATCCCACCCCTGTTCCATACCCTCCTTGTATTGGTGGGTCTTGGGATGCAGGGTTCTCACCAAGAAATTTTCAGACCCCGTTTTTTTTGCGGTACAACCACTTCCCTCCCCCATGTGAGATCACAGATATCATTTTAGTATACTTTTCAAAATACTACTTTTAAGATTATCTTCCTATTCTTATCACATATACATTTCTAAAAGGTTTATGACTTCTTATTCCTTGTTTGTATCCAGTTTTATGTATTTTTCCAAGAGTTTTACCACAAATAATGTGACAAAAATGTAAAATTAGACTCTGGAAAAATCACTTTAGACTCCAGAAAAGCTATCAGACTCTAACGACATTAGACTCACCCTCCTTGCATTGGTGGATAATGGGATGATAATACACAACTTCCCTACCCTCGCATTGGTGTGCCCTGGGATGATAATACACAAGTTCCCTACCCTCCTTGCACTGGTTGGTCCAGGGATGATAATACACAACTTCCCTACCCTCCTTGCATTGGTGGATCCTGGGATGATAATGCACAAGTTCCCTACCCTCCTCGCATTGATGGATCCTGGGATGATAATACACAACTTCCCTACCCTCCTTGCATTGGTGGATCCTGGGATGATAATGCACAAGTTCCCTACCCTCCTCGCATTGATGGATCCTGGGATGATAATACACAACTTCCCTACCTTCCTCGCATTGGTGGATCCTGGAATGATAATGCACAAGTTCCCTACCCTCCTCGCATTGATGGATCCTGGGATGATAATACACAACTTCCCTACCCTCCTTGCATTGGTGGGCCCTGGGATGATAATGCACGGGTTCCCTACCTTGCTTGGATTGGTGGGTCCTGGAAGATAATGCAAGTAATCCCTCTACGTAGGACAATCACATGTAATCCTTTAGCATGTTCTAAGGCAGTGAAGGAGAATTCCAAGGAGTTCATTTATATTAACAATGGACAGATACAAAACACAAATTATATGTTACACTTGGAGTGCGCAGAATGTTGTATTCTCGATGAATCTATGGATATCAAGTCATTTATTCCATCAAATAACAGTATTAAATTGGTAACAACAATATACTTTAGAGATAATAGAATAAAAATGACAGTTAAAGTTGACTCAGATGATAAGTTCCATTTAAAACATATTTATACAGATGCTTTTAAGGAAAACAAAGGGAAATAAAAAATATATTGGAATGAGTCCAAGTTGAGGACAAATAAATCGGTAAAATAAATCCTAATAATGATAACAATAATAAAAATTGTGATTGTTATCTTTTGCCAGAAATAAACATATGATGATTTGTATTAGGATCGCCAGGCTGTGTATGAATTTGATGACTTGTTTTATTTGAAAACAATTTCACACTATGATTGTATTTGACCACCGTGACTATAAGTCAAGAAAACAAGATGGTCGCTTTCGAATTGAGGTAGCTATACACATAGACGTAAAATCTATTGAAAATGAAGTGGTGAAGTAGTTTTGATAGCATTTATGGGTCAGATCATCCTCGACTTGTCTTGTATATACGAAGGTATACTTTGACTTAAAGAATTTTACATTTGGCTGTTGTTCCACTTCATTTATTTTTCATTTGCATAGTTGCTGTCTGAACACCAATTCATGGAACACTTCCACCTAATTTATACTATTATTTTATTTACCATGGAGTGATGCTCACTGTGGCACTGCATGGTGTTCGTTGATGATTTAGATATAAAAACAAAAATGGAACTTTCTTATTATTACAACCGCCATTTTGTTTTGTAATTTTAACTACGGAAGCCATGCGGAGTGAGTAGAGTCAAAGCCGATAACTTGAGTATCATTTGTCAAACTGGTGCCTATCAACCTGCTGTTTTGTGGCATAGCTATATTCGTTTTGAACAAGGTAGGTTGGTTCGAAATGATCCTGTATTATTTATATTTATCATCATAATTAATATTCATTTATATATTTCAAATAATAACTTGATTAACAATATTACTCTTTGTAGAATATTTTTGGAAATCTAGTTGCGGTCTGCATGGCATTCACTACCAGACAATATTCGATGTGCGTATTTGTTTTTCTAGGTATGTACAAACTCCTCGAATATTAAGAATGTTAAGTCTCTGTTGTATATAAAGGTTTGCGTTTTCTTGTGAAAATACAAGTACAACCCATTTTACTGTTTTATTTCGTCAGTAGAACCCCAAAAGTAAGAAATCAGGAGACCATTTTGCAATAATATATGGAAAAGTATATTCATATTGTACATGAATGACATTTGTATATTTCAGATTATTAAAATAAATTAAATTATTTTGGGCAATAAGCCTATGTCCTCTTGTAATTTAAAGAATTTCAGCCATGTTAATCTTTTTGAAAATACTATGGCAGAGAAGCATCAAAATATAATTGGCCACATACTTTATTAGCCAAAATAGAAGCAATCAAAGATATACAAATGTCATTTATATACAATAGGAATATATTTTTCCATATATATTGCACAATGATCTTTTGATTTCTTATTTTTTAGGTTTTACTGACGAAATAAAACAATGAAATGGGCTGTAGTTTCAGTAGTAGATAATACTTAGTTCAAATCGTAAACACTGTACGAACTATTATATATCTCTTGGAAATTTTAAGATATTTGGGGAACTAAAGAACTAAAAGAGGATTACGTCTTTTTTTATTGGAATCGAAAGTCGAGTTCTCGAATACACTGGTTTTGAACGTGGTTTCGAAAATTCACCATTTGTTTACCGGGAATAGAAAGTCTCAAATTTTACATTTGAACAAATCGATTTGCAGAATTCGTTTTAATCTGTATTCTATTTTAAAATGAAGATATCTTTAACAAATGTAAGCCTTTGTGTATGAAAGTAAGATGATCTGGTTTGAACAATACTTATCATAATTAACCTTTATATATGTAATATTTAATATAGTCTTATCATATTTTTGTTCTAGTTCTTTTCGGACTTGTTCGCTTCATTGAAACCCAAGGTAAGGAGTAAACTTTTTCTTGCAGACAAAATCCTGAGTATTGACGTAGCTATACAAGACAGTTTCATTCACACGGATTTTGCCTTCCACTGGTGGATCCAGGACCAGCCATGCAGAAATTTTTTGAGGGCCCAAAATATATTGTAGGGCCTCAAAATGGCCCTTTTTGAGCATAACTTGGCCTTTTGGTCCTTTTTAGACCAAATTTTAAAAATGGGCCTTAATTTCCCAAATTTGGACCCAAATTTTGGGTTTAGGGTTCCGAAACTTTTTTCCGCGCAGGCGCGCAACTTTTTTCCTGACTTGAATTGTGCATCCCCCCTGTCAGCTCATGGATCCACCAGTGCCTCTCCTATTTGAATTTGACTCATTTAGACTGTAACCTGGCTGCGCCCGTGTTGGGAAATTATTTCTATTCTGCATTGAAAAGAACTGAAGTTAGCAAGAACAAGATTTTCCAGATCAGCAAATTGCAAAGCTTGATACTTAGATACACATTTGCAAATACTTAAATGCAAATTTAGTACATGGAAAGACATTTCGAGGCACTCTATTATTATTTGAAACAATAAAAAACAAAAAACAGAATTGCACCATTTCAAACCATATTCTTTTCCGAGTTCCTCAACAGCATTGCATAACAACCTATAGTTCATATTGATTTGCCTTAAAATAGATGCAACGAAGATGATTTCCAGAAAAATAAGGTAATACATTCTTGTCTAAGCCTCATTCTGAACCAGAAAATAACATAGCTCGGTTCTGACATTCGCCTTAATGGATGCATGCTCGCCCACCTTTTTGCTAAATCTGAATACCAGAATTTTAAACTTTTGATATAATTCTAAATTCAATTTGTTAAGTCGTTTTGGAAATTCCAATTCCGGAGGCAAAACATTCAGTCAAGGCCAATCAATACATTTTAGTTCTCAAAATTCTAGTAGAGGTCCTATGGCTGTAACTTGTAAGCGAATCAGATATTTGGGTCAGATCAAATACATTTTTACGAAAAACTGTAGCCATTTTGAATGAAGCGGCCCCTTGATACGCCCCTAAAAACAGATAGTAATGATTTCAATGATTAGAAGCTAGGACTTCTGTTTTAGAATGTGGCGATCGTGATCTATTTGGAGCCAGTGGGTCATTCCGCTACCCTCTGGTAAGTGGCACCACTTATCCGAATAATGCCAATTGTGAATGGGTTATAACAGTCCCCAATAACGGGGTAAGTACAGGGTGTTCACTAAGTAATGATACCAGGTCTCTCTTTTTGTAGACTAGATTTTTGAAACTAAATAAATCTTCATTAGCATGTATAATTTACAGTCTCAAAATTCTCGAACACAACAATTAACAAAGGCTGGAACGTGCTATTTTGCATAGAAACACTAGGAAATCCACACAATTTATTTTTTACTCATATGTTTCGCTATATCAAAGAAAATTACTTACTCCATGCAATGGATATATCATTTGCGGGTAACTTTAACTTCTGTTTGAAGTCCAACAACGCTAAGAGTAAAAGCTATTGAAAACGGCGCCGGAGTATCATACTCCAAAATACTCCGTCACAGCGGACAATATATTTAAACATTATTTTTTATAAAAAAAATTTAAAATATCCAATACATTAAAATCTCATTAATACCTTCAAGTTATACTGAAAACATATGAAAATATTATCGTGTCATTATATTATACTTAAGTACCATTAAAAAGAAATAAAAGAAATGTTACATTAAGGAGTATGATATGATACTCCGGCGCCGTTTTCAATAGCTTTTATTCTAGTGTTGTTGGACTTCAAACAGAAGTTAAAGTTACCTGCAAATGATATATCCATTGCATGGAGTAAGTAATTTTCTTTGGTATAGCGAAACATATGAGTACAAAATAAATTGTTTGAGTTTCTTAGTGTTTCTATGCAAAATTGCACGCTCCATCCCAACGGACAAATTTTTCGATACCAGCCTGTGATTAAAGTATACCAATTAATGAAGTAATAACTGGATGGTTTCTATAGGTCATACAATTGGTGTTTAACAGTTTCGCCTTGGAATACCAGTTAACCTGTAATTTTGACGTTCTGGAAATCTATGATGGCCCTTCAGCGTCGTCTCCTTTGATTGGAAGGTTTTGTGGGACAACGTTACCCAGTGACATCAGAAGCACCAATGATCAGCTCTACTTCTCGTTTTCTTCTGATTCTAGTGTAGTTTCACAGGGATTTGAGGTGACTTGGACCGGTAAGTAGAAGGCTAGTTCACTGGGGATGAACTGGAAACAAAGACATGATTCTTTCTTCTTTTCAAGACGAACCTCTATAACTGGAACACCTCCCAAGTGGGGAATGTACTAAAAACCCTTCGACCCTTCGACCCTGCGACCTACGACTTACAGCGTGTCAAGAATTTTTGAAATATATTTTTATAAAAACCCTTCGACCTTCTAGATATTTCTCAGTCCATATGAAGTTGCTGGAAATATTACTTTGTGTATAGAACTTAAGAATCTGTCCCAAGAGAGTTAAAGATATTTAAAGCTGGACTTCGATCGGAGCCGGCGATATGATTTTGGAAAGGTTTCTAAATGAAGAACGTGACGTCACTTCCGAATCATAGCATTCAAAATGAGTAGCGTTTAATTACTCCCACCATTCATAAAATCACGGTGGTCTAGCGGAAGAATGCTCGCTAATGCCAACTAAATAAGTAGATTCTTTGTTTTGCATCCTACAAAATCCAAAGCATGCGAGGTTCTAAGGCTAGACTCTGATGTGGTGGCACGCTAGAGGACCGACAAATAAATTGTCTGTACGGGAGATATGCTGTGTTTACACGCTAGAGGACCGACAAATATTGATTTTCGAATTTTCTGGCGCATGCGCAATGCGCGGGGGGGGGATATTTCAGATATCATACGGATATTTTGGGAACAAGTGCAAAACCCGGGGAGGGCATTAGCCCCGGTTACCCGGGGATTACCAAAACCAGTCAAAAAATGGTAGCCCGGGAACGGGGAATGGTAGTAAACGTTGAAAACCCATAAAAACATGAACAAGTAAGACGTTAGAGAGCTATTAATGCAGAGTAAACGGCTATATATATTCTAAACAGACAGGATATTTCTCCTGAGCCGATCAGGCGTAGAAAGGGGCGTTTGCTACCCATTAGATAGAAGAAAATAGCCATAGAATGTTTTTTATTTGAAGCTTATGGTATGAGGTTCCATATCCATCCGCCAAAAGGTATGACCCCTATATAGTCCATTTAAAAACCTGTGGTATCATTCTAAATAACCCATAGTTGGCTTCTAGGGTACCTAGTATGCCACTATTTGGTATCAAAATAAAGAGGAGTTCAACTTTCATTTGAATTACGAAAATAGCGATGTAGGTGAAAATAGTTCCGAACGTGAGCATGTTTACTACGCGTTTGCCCGTCATATCAGAATTGAGGAAGTGGTAGCAAACGCAAGTTACAATAAACGGACGCTGATATCTCAAAAAGTAACCAGACTCCCTATAATTTGATGTAGGTCAATCGAACCCCTATATGGACAGGTGCATTTTGATATATTACACTATGGGGGGTAAGCTTCAATTTTTGTCGAAATAAATTATGGCTCACTACAAGTTAATGCCTGTACGATTCAATACTGCAAAAGAAGCACTATGCCCCCTCAAAAGAAAAAAGTAGGTCCTGCCGGGATTCGAACTCGGGACCGAGTGTGTTCGAGTCGTGCTCCCTAACCACTAGGCTACCAGTGATGAGGTTATTTCGAAATGTAAACGTAGTGGATTTATTTATGAAATTGTCGGCTCTCTAGCAAAAACACGCAGCAGCCACTTGCGTACCGACAATTGTCGGTTCTCTATCTGGCACTACTAGGTGACGATAGAGTGCCGACAATTGTCGGTACCCCAGCAAATACCCCTGGACAGTCTTCAGTACCGACAAAATTGTCGGTCCTGGAGCCACTCCGATATGAAACATTTCAGAACTAGATAACAGCAACGCGAGGTGGAGCAAATCCCATCGAATTTTTGATCTCAAAATCGTTCAACTACTTTTCAAGTTTTAGTAAAAAAGTAAAATAACGCAATGCGTGACATATACGTAATTCGCGTGAAAATCCCGAACGAAATGCGTACGTTTTTTTTCGGCGTTCGCATTTTTGCTGTGTAGACGAACTTTTTTAGAAATTTTTCTACTGAAACATTTTTGCTTGACAATTACCAGGTAAAATGCGTATTTGCGTGCACAGGGAGCTCAAGTTGGAACTATACGTAATCATTTAGTAAACTGGACTGGGAAATCAGAGGTCGAAGGGTTTTTCAATAAAATTTATTCCAAAAATTCTTGACACCCAGTAAGTCGTAGGGTCGAAGGGTCGTAGGTCGAAGGGTTTTTAGTACATTCCCCCAAGTGGAGCACATTTAAGAGGTATCTAAAAGGTGTTCCGCTTAGACAGGTTTTACTGTATCTTAAATCCTCATCAAGTCATTAAACCTTTTGAATGCCTATTTTTAGGTTGCCATTCAGTATGATATACCCGGTGGTAGAGTAGCTAGGATGAGACAGACGAGGCGCTTGCCTCAGAGCTTTTTAAGATCTATTTAAGAAATATTCTTCAATTCTGTATCGCAATCATCGAAAAAAGTTCACATTTTAATGGTGTTTATCAAGGCTAACTTAAAGGGGCAACAAGGACTGTATTGAGAAAATTCGAATTTTTTTATTTTTTCATAGCTATTAGGTCAATATTTGGCTTAACATCTTCTTTGACATACCCATTTTCTTAAAACGTATAGATAACTATAAATTTCAGCATTAAGCCGTGTAAATACATTTCAAAGCTTCTATAAATGGAGTCCCACATATAGATTTTTAAGATTCACCTAGTTTCAAGAGGAATATCAGCTGAAATAATGTTCATCCAGGGGGTTTCTTTATAGATAATAAGAATATATGTTAGTCTTGATGAAATAACCAAACTTAAATATATTTTGACACTGGTCGATGATCGTTGAATGCCCCCCCCCCCCTGCACTAATTGTTGCACCTTTAACGTTCGTATTTCCGAAGAATAAATTACGGATTTTTGACTGAAAACTGAAATTACAATGATAGTCCTCCAAAACGATGTTGATTTTATTAAAGATGTCCATATTATGTTTTAGTCCTTAAATACAGAAGTGAGATTGGTTTGCTATTCTATTCAGATTGATTGACTTTGTTGCTGCTGACTCAGCAATGCAATCTCGCATTAGATTGTATACATTGGTGTCACTGGCGGATCCAGGGGGAGGGGCTTTAAGGCCAATTTTTTAATTTACAGGGGGTAGAAATGCGTCCAGTATTTTCGTCTGGTACAAACCGAGATACTGGACGCAGACCTCCATTTTTGATCCAGAGAGAGGTAGGTGTGATTTTCCTCGGTAGCCTGTGATCGTTTTACAGTGTTTCTTTATCTAGAAATACTTTTTTCCCAGGAAATACACGAATCGAGTCAGACTTCTTTTTATTTACCATTTCATTGACAAGATATGCAACTTTATTGTGTATGGAATAAGAATACACAAATACAGCTACCAGTCGGCAAATTTTAGCTTTGAAATGATCGAAAATAGAAAAATGACAAAATTTAAAGAAATACCTGACGAAATGAAAATGTACTGGACGCAAGCCATCCAGTATTGAGAGGCTTGCGTCCAGTATATTTCTAAAATTTCGTCATTTTTCTTTTATTAATCACTTTTAATTGCAGATTGGAGGCTGTATTGTTAGTTCATACATAAGAAAATCGCATATCTTGCCAATGAAATGGTAAAAAAGATCAAAATATTCCTTTGCTTAATCTCACATTACAGAAAAACTAGATGAATAGCTGTCATTTTATAATAAATGGATGTTCCCCGGGAATCTGATGAGCCTGTTTTTAGGTAAGGACACACTGTAAAATGATCATAGGCTACCGAGTAAAATTACACCTACCTCTCTCTGGATCAAAATGGAGCTCCGCGTCCAGTATTTCCAGTTTTACCAGACGAAAATACTGGACGCGTTTCTATTTTGGGGTTTCCCGATTTTAAATTTGCCCCCCCCCCCCTTGTTAGCTTCTGGATCTGTTAGGAAATGAGTTTATGAATATATCCTGGATCTTCCAGAATGACTATCTTTAGAACTGTGTTTTGATTGGACATCCCCAGTCACATGATTTAATATTGTGAAATATTTACAGCTTTTAGGAACTTTCTCTTTCTCTTGTAGAATATAGGTATCATCAGTGCTGTAAAAAATAATAACAGTATTTCGCTTTTCTGCCTTTTCTTTCTGGCTACGCCACTCACTGTATACCCATCAGAATGTGTCTTGGAAATTTAGGCTTAGTTCCCATAAGTTACATATATAGAACAACTTGGTCGTCATTTGAAGCGTAAGCGAAAACCTGTTGATGAACGTTTATGTAATATTTGTGGTATTTTAGAAGATGAAGAACATTTCATCATAAATTGTAAGAAAAACACAACAGAAAGAAACTTTTGTTTGGCACCCTTACACAATTTTATTTTGGAGGCAGTCCTGACTTTATTTTTAAAGCATTTAGCATAGTTCTCTACCATTCACTCAAATAATTTCAAATTATTTTTGTATTCAGTAGTTAGTTTAGTAGTTAGTTCAATTTTGTATATTGTAGTTTTTAGTGACTAATATGTCATTGTAATGACATCAGAGAGTCAATTATATATATTTAAATTCCGATGTAATATCTCCATTTTGTAAATCTCGATAAAGTGGAGAATGAGTGTGGCGATAGTGATCTATTTGGAGCCAGTGGGTCATTCCGCTACCCCCTGGTAAGTGGCACCACTTATCCGAATAATGCCAACTGTGAATGGGTTATAACAGTCCCCAATAACGGGGTAAGCACAGGGTGTTCACCAAGTAATGAGACCAGAGGCCTCTTCACCCGCTCGTCGCAACACAGATTCGCTAGCGCACCGCAACGGAACGCAAGTTTTTGCGAATCGCAATCATGATTTGTATCATCCGCTCAGCGCAATGCAACGCAATTGCAAATTGAAAGATGTTTCAATCGCAACTGACCAAAACGTTGCGATAGCTCTTCAGGGCCGTCAGATGGTGGGGGGTGCGATGGGTCCCCCTTTGTCACCCCCCAAAATAAATGTGAAAAAAAAAATTGAAATTTTTTTTTTTGAAAAATATTCTTTTTGTAATTTTTTTTTCATTGACTCATTCACTTTGAAAGTACCCAGAAAGCACCAAATAGCATCTTAAAATTGTAAAATTTTCTAGGGGTATTGGCCACCCCTCACACCCCCCACAAAACAATGGAAAAGTTCTAAATTTATTTTAGTGTTTTGTCTCAGACACTTTTAAAGTGCCCAGACATCATCAACTAGCTCCTTGATATAGTTAGTGTTTCTTGCACTTGCATAGACCCCCCCCCTCTGGCGCCCCCCCCCCTTGACCCCCCCCCCCAAAAAAAAAAATTGTGATTTTCTCAAATTCTTTAATTGACTCATACACTTTGAAAGTGCCCAGAAAGCACCAAAACAATGGAAAAGTTCTAAATTTATTTTAGTGTTTTGTCTCAGACACTTTTAAAGTGCCCAGACATCATCAACTAGCTCCTTGATATAGTTAGTGTTTCTTGCACTTGCATAGACCCCCCCCCTCTGGCGCCCCCCCCTTGACCCCCCCCCCCCAAAAAAAAAAAAATTGTGATTTTCTCAAATTCTTTAATTGACTCATACACTTTGAAAGTGCCCAGAAAGCACCAAATAGCGTTGTAAAATTGTAAAATTTTCTAGGGGGAGTGGGCCACCCCTCACACCCCAAACAAAACAATGGAAAAGTTCTGAATTTGTTTTATGTACTGTCTCAGACACTTTTAAATTGCACAGACATCATCATCATCCTTGATAAAGTTAATGATTCTGGAAGACTAACACTTACTCGCCCTCTGGCATCCCCACTCCACCTCCCCCTCTGGCAGCCCCCCCCCCCTTAACACCCCCCCCCCAAAAAAAAAATTTGAAATTTTTTTTATTGACTTTATTGACTAAAGTGCCCAGAAAGCACCAAATAGCATCTTAAAATTGTAAAATTTTCTTGGGAAATAGCTTCTTGTAGGCACAGACACTTTTAAAGTGCCCAAACTTCATCGAATAGCACCTTGATATTGTAAATTTTGATATGGGGGACAAACACTTGCCCCCCCTCTGGCACCCCAGCCCCACCTCCCCCTCTGGCACCCCCCCCCCCTTTGACACCCCCAAAATTTGAAAAAAATTGTGATTGTTTTTCAATGTTTTTATTGACTAATACACTTTAAAAGTGCCCAGAAGCACCAAATATCATCTTTAAATTGTAAAATTTTCTAGGAGAGTTAGCCACCCCTCACATCCCCCACAAAACAAAAGAAAATATTCTGAATTTCATGTATTGTCTCAGACATTTTTTAAGTGCCCAGACATCATCAAATAGCACCTTGATATGGTCAATGTTTCTGGGGGACAACCCCTTGCTCCCCTACTGGCACCACACCCCACTTCACCCTCTCATCCACTTACACCCCCAAAAGAATTTGAAAAAAATACACATTTTTCTTATTGACTCATAATGCACAGGCGTACCAGATGGTTGCAAATTCGCTCCAAATACAACCAAATTTCAAAATTTTCCCCAGACCCCCCTGAATGCTCAGTTTTTATTCACTCAACTCTTATTCCTGCGGTGGTGGCGTACTACTTGGAAACTTACACTTTGAAAGTGCCCAGAAAGCACCAAATAGCATCTCAAAACTGTAAAATTTTCTAGGGAGAGTGTACCACTCCTCACACCCCCCCCCCACCCACAATTCAATTGGAACTTTTGGAAGTTGCATTTGTTAATTCCAAACCAATATAGGGAGTAACTGAGCCCCCCCCCCCTCTGACTTACGCGATTTGATTTACGCGGCAAAAAAATTGACAATTTTATATTTTCTTTAGTAAGCTAAAAACCGCACCCCCCTTGGAGAAAAATGTCTTACGGGCCTGCTCTTACCCTGCCGCAAATCAATCGCAAATATTACCCATCTTTAAGACAATTGTTATCTATTTTAAATGTGTCAATCTAGGAGTTTCTTTATCGATTGCGTAAGTATGTTCTTTTATCAAGGCGGCGGTGTAATAAAAAAATAGTTTATGTTATTCGAAAGTGCTTTAAATCGAAGGAGTCGTTAATGGTATGAGGGGTGTTTTAAAGCCTTCGAATTTTATGATTTTGATCGCAAATTCAAGAAAACGAAACGCAACATTCATCCCGGTGTAAAAGGGTTGGTGGTCCTATCAAATTTTGGTCCTACTCTCTATTGATTTATATGGTGACCTAATTACAATTATTTTCCTTATTATTTATACACAGTCAGGGCCAGTAAGGGCCATAAGGAAAGGGGACCATAATCCCTAGGGGACCATAATTTCTTTTACACCGGCATCGCTAAAAATGGGCGTAACTTTGAGGTTCTTTGCAACAGGCAACTTACAAATTACAATTAGGGACTTTTTGGAATAACCTAAGCATCTGTCTCGAGGTGGTGGGAGAGGTGTCAACTATTATGTCAAGGTACAGAATATTCACTGTGATATTGTAATTTTCGATATACACTCATGTCGTCAGTCAATGCACGCTCTCATCCGAGTGCACCTTTGTCATTACATGTTCTCAACCGAGTAAAGTTTCGTCTGTACAGACTTTCATCAGAGTACATCCTTCTCAGTACACTCGCTCACCCGTGTGAAACCACGTCATACATCCCGCGACCCGGGTGCACCCTCGACATTTTTGCGATCGCATGTGGTAAACTACCACTTACGTTGCGATCTGCGTTGCAACAACCCCGTGATAAGACGCAAAGCAGGAGTTGCGCGAGCGCAAATTGGAGATTCCCAAACGCAACGCAGGCGCAAACGCAAATCTTGTGACGAGCGCGTAAAGGCCTCTCATTTTGTAGACTAGATTTTGAAACATGAGGACCCTATTTTGATCTCATTAGCATGTATCGTTGTTAACAGATAAGAGTCTATCAAAATCATCGATGTCAAACTTGAAGAATGTATAGTCGTATAATAAATGAGAAAACTAATATTAAAATATATCAATTAATGAAATTACAACTGGATGCTTTCTATAGGTCATACAATTGATGTTCAACAGTTTCGACTTGGAATACCAGTTAACCTGTAATTTTGACGTTCTGGAAATCTATGATGGCCCTTCAGCGTCGTCTCCTTTAATTGGAAGGTTCTGTGGGACAACGTTACCCAGTGACATCAGAAGCACCAATAATCAGCTCTACTTCTCGTTTTCTTCTGATTCTAGTGTAGTTTTAGAGGGATTTGAGGTGACTTGGACCGGTAAGTAGAAGTTAAAATGCCAAGACTAAAAAAGGATTATTTGTCTTTGATCAATTTTGATGCATCCTATTTTTCATTTCAACTGCGCTGCCATTTAATAAATTGATACCCGATAGAAAGTGTCTTGAATTTAAACATACGATATCTTCGTTTTGTATTTACAAGTGTACTTTGATTAAAAGTAACACTATTTTGCTATGTGTACTATTTCCATCTTTGTAAGCAATTCACTTATTATTAAATCAGTATTACTATAAAGCAATAGCGGTGTTATTAATTAAGACATTTAAAAATGACATTGTCACTTATTTCTAGATCTAGCGCCATGTGGTCAAACAATGAAGACCAACTTTCGATATACCACTCAAGGATTCTTAACCAATGCGCACAACCGTATGGATGTCTTGGCTTACAGCGCATTGTCCATTGTAAGTTTTGTGTGGATTTATTTTTTTAGTTTGAATGGGAGCTTTCGAACACTCTAAGGCATCATAGATCTCAAAAGACAACCGGCTTGGCAAAAGAGCATGAATATATTCAGACCACAAATACAACCCACATTTTAAGTCAGAAAAAATATGTTTTGGGACCCTAAAACCCAAAATTGGGCTCAAATTTGGAAAAAGGCCCATTTTTGATAATTTGGCCTTAAAAGGACCAAAATAAAAGGCCAAGTGATACTATGACATTGACTTAAAATGCTATGAGGTGAAAAAATAACATATCCCAAGTTACCTTTATATGGGGATAACTCTATCTATTGTCTTTAGCCTAGTTTGGTCACCAAATATCGTCTTAACTAGCTAATGCATAGATTTTTGTATGGTTTAATCTATGTATGCAAGTATAGAAATGGGAAAAACAAGGTCTTCTTCATCGAGAATAAATCCAGCATTTTGAAAAATGTGCTAAGATGGTGTCTTAATTCATAGTTTTCGGAAAGTTTAGATAGATAAAAGTTTTATATCATCTTAGGAACCCATTTGAAGGAAAACATATTATTTTAATGAGAAATGGATCTGAAAGTTATCGTGAACACCGTTCAAATTCAATTCTCAGTCTAAATATGGCTTTTCAAGGTTCAATAGACGTGTTACAATGTGCCTTTTCAAGATATGGATATACAGGGTGGTTAAAAACGGAAACCCTGCATTTTCCTCATATCTTTGTCATTTTAAAAAATTACTCCCTAATATTTCACACATTTGTAAATCATTCAATTTCCTACTACCCTAATTTCATATTTCATGACCGTATTTGATAGTCACAATTTTACAGCACTTTGAACAACATGCTTCAGGTTTGACCATCAACGCGCTGTAGGGAAACCTGCCTAGTTGTCAATGATCCAAATGCATTCCTCAGCAGGTATGGTCTGAATGATACAGATGATCTCACTTTTGAGGTCATTGTCATGAGGTCATTCTTATACGTCAAGTGTCCAATCTTGACGATGACACTGGCAAACAATTTATAAAAACGCATGATGTTTATTCAAATGCGCAAAGTTACTTCTTTAAATGACAAAGATATTAGGAGAATGGTATAAGAGTTTCCAGTTTTCTTGACCACCCTGTATATACAACAGTTGACCCCGCCCCGGTCATGCCTTTACTCCCACTCGGTTCATTTTGGTAGCTGCCATATCAATGCTGTACATATAATAGTGTGCAGATGACACATTTGTAACAGCCAGGTCATCGGTTTTTTGGGATCTGCAGATAAGAGTCTTGTCATGTTTTGGATATCGGGAACAAGACAATTAATTCTACGTCGATTTAACTTTAGGAGAAAGGATAAATGTACTCTCTCTCTCTCTCTTGATATGTTTTACCTATGTAAATGTAATCCATTTCAGGCATTTTATTTCAAGCGTGATGAGGTAGCTTTCTTTCACGTTGCTGACTTTTTTGTTTTCTTTTCCAACTTCATGTGGAGAGAAGCCGACACAGTAAAAAGTTACCTCACAAATCGCGGAGGATGTGTCCACATTGATTTGATAGCGGTATGTCCTTTAGTCATGAAACAACATTTTAATTGTCCTTAATTAAACACAAATGTTCCTTTTATAAATGATTGCTCTCCATCCGGGTAGAAATTTACTTTGGAATCATCCTACCCATTTCACTGTTCCACAACTAGTTACTTTGACGGAACGTCAATGTAACAAATTGGATGAACTTCCTGGTTACGAGTTGTTTGTTTTCTCGATTTAAACCTACTTATAAATCAAGTTGCAGATTGTAATTTGGCACAAAGCTAGAAAATATAGTCTAGGTCAAATAAATTTCTACGATTTGGATTTTGTTTCGTAAATGAAGTTGCAATTCATATATTTAGTCCCTCGCTTTTGTTACATTGACGAAAGTCCGTTAAATTACCAATGTATGTTGCTTTGAGGACTTACGTCAATGTAACAAAAGCGATGGTCTAAATGCATGAATTACAGTTTTATTTAAGAATCAAATTCCAAACCGAGAGCATTTCTTAATACTATATTGTTTAGTGCATTTGAACGATAAGTGCACTCGTACAACGATACGCATGAGATAAAGTAGTGGCTTTGGGACTCACAATGACCAAGGCCTATTAAACTATTTGAGTTTTGTATACATTAATTTTTAATTTGATCATTCAGGCTTCTCATACTAACGATTGGTGTCTCTACGATGCTTTTGAGAAGACCATGGAAGCCGTCAAAGACTACCTTGCCCAATTAAAACTTGCGGGCGAAGAGGCAAAAACATTTGCAGACCAGCCGGTGAGTAAAAACCGGAATATCTAAAATTCATATACAAGATGAAACAAAAATACAAACCATCATGGAGGGAACAATGTTCATAAATGTTATGGAAGCTTTTTGGCACTCTGACATTTTAATGACACCCTCGCAGACGGTGCTATGTTGAAAACAATCGGTGCGGATGCGCGCGCGTTGCGGATTTAACGGTCATTTTTTAATTTGAGTTAACATGTAAGTGGTATTTAGTAAACTTACTCGTTTCGTGTACTTATATACGTGTATGTAGAAGATACCTAATAAAAATGGTGTAAATAGTTGTGTTCTTCATTCTACAGTGACGCTGTGATATCATCAACGTGTGTAGTGTGTAGTCTCTTCTCTTTCATAGCGCTTAGATATTCATAGTTTATAAAGATTATCCGCACGAGTAGCACATGTTCGATTTAAACGTTTTCCAATTTTTATAAATCTCATGTCAGACATGCATTGCGCTATGTACAAATCAGTTTCCTCGCTTTGGAAACGAAGACAGTTTACGAAGACATGAAACGGTGACAGCATGTATTATTATTTGTATATATACAGTTTTGTTGCCAGGCATTTTAAGAGCATAGAGCAATCAACAAAATGAAGTGACGCTGTTCAAATGCTACTTCTGCAATACAGGGAACTGCTACAAATGAGTAGTATTGAAAGATGATAATTAAACAAATATATAAAAAAATCTGGAAATAGTTTCGTTATTTTCTTTAGCCATGTTTCCTCATTGCTATTATAAGCTCATTATAGGTTTTTTATTAAAGTCGGTTTATGTCTGGTCATGTCTCCACCGAACAGCCGAATGCTCGGTCGAATTATCCGCACCGAATCTGCACTGTTTAGTCTGTATAGGGTAAAATAATATAATTACATTATTCAATGGAAATTCAATAAATATCTAACTATGTCTTTCAGACTGTTGAATTCGTCAAGAAGATGACGTCCCGCCATGAAGATATTTTGAAACAATTCAGTGTTTACATGGACAACTCCCGTCGTGCTGAAAGAACAGAGTCTGAAGCGTGGCTTTTTAACAAACTAAACGAATGGTTGAACTTTGCAGAATTTGTAGATGATGACAGGGATTAGGTGGAGGCCTGTATTGTGTAAAAAGGGTGAAGGGGCGGCAGTGTGATGTTCTAGTCTCTGGGATACGTATCGAGTATCTACTCTGACTTCATGTTAAAAATGTTTCATCTGATGTTCAGTGGTATCTATATTAAAAATAAAAGTTGGTGCATTGAATAGTAATAGATTATTGTTTCAAGTTTGTCGTATTGAAGGAGCATTATAACTATATTTTGTATCCACGGGTTTGCATCATGTCATATCATATCTTATCACAAAATTTCAAGATGCTTTTATTTGTCATTTACAGTGGATGACAGTTCACAATTCCGTGATCTTTGCCAGATGTTGTCGTGTTTAGGTCTTTCAATATTGTTATTTTTAAAAAACGTATCTGATAATAATGAAACAAAGGGTTTACTTTAATTTTTATCTATTTGAGGGGTTGGGATGTTCACAAAAACAATAATATAAATTATACATAAATATTTTTCGCATTTAATTGTTGTCAATTAGTGACAAGTACATGAAGGGCAATGTTTTTGTTCAGAATGTTTCAATAATTGGTTTGAGAGAAAAACAATGTTGAATTCAGTTCGCCATATCGATACCAATCCTTTTTGGCGTTTTCTCCGTATTTCAGAACTTTTATACTTCCCTAGCTAGGAGTGTGTATCGACATGAATATACTTTATCCGCTAAAAGTCTACAATCTCCAGGGAATACTAAAGGTCCTCTGGGCCCAATATGTGCCATATAACCAAATGTTTGTTGTGCATCATTCATATGGCCCAACAAGCCACTATGGGGATAACGAAGGTCATCGTCAATATCTACTTTTACTTGCCTCAATTTCCAGAGTAAAAAGTGCTTGGGGGTCATTTCCTGGCCTGTTAATTTCATGGGATGTTCCATTCCAATTATTCCTCATTTTGTTCCATTCTTCAAAAGATGGCCAGCGCACACTGAGTGCATATAGTTCCCATAGTATCGGCCAAACTTCATTTATGAAACAGTTGCAATGTCAACATCGAGCATCATGGAGAGTAGAGGGTAGTAAGGGTAAGATATCAGCCAGATCAATGTGAGGAGAAGTCTAATATTGTGAGATAATAGGATATATAGAAAAGAAAATGCCTGAAGGAAATGCCTAAAATATTACATCAATTAGGAACTGAATTATCTTCCTCTGATATTGACTAATAACCAAGACTGGAGGATAATATATGAAAATACAGCAATATACATGTATAGTTCTCAATATACTGTACACGCAGATAGAATTCTGAAACAAAATTTTGATTTGAATTGATTTTCTAAACTCTCACTTTCAGATTCCAAATAGCTTCAAGATCCCTATTTAATTACACCGAGTAATTTAATTTGCAAAACAATCTGATCTGACTAAATGGCAAAATCAACCCATGTACGATGAATAGATGGCAGCACGGTACAGTTTATCAGAAGACAACGTTGTGTACCGTATCATCACTATTCCGCCCTGGGTGACTCAAGGGAAAGATCAATACCCGGTGATTTCAGCGGGAAGTGGCGTTTCGTTCATTGGATGAGCTGCGCGCGCACGCATAAATGTGATTATCCAATATAATTAGGGGAGGGCTATTTGAAGTAGTTTTTGGTCTCAGGCGCGACCCAGGGCTGTTGTCTTAAGGACATTTCGTTGAAAATGAGCCATTCGGCTGATAATTGGTAAGAGTTTGCGATCTTATAATGTATAACTGTTACTCAGACACATATTTTGACACGATTCTGTTGGAAATAAGCTTTGAACCGAGAGATATTCACGATTGATATGCACATTTTTGATTGTGCCATTGCTTTTCTATTGCACAACCCATGTATTGATAGAAGAAACATTAATAATACAGATTGGTTTACCTTCAATACATGGCAGACACTACATATCGGTCTATTAATACCAGTTTGTGCCTTAAATAGTTTTATATTTCCATCCACGGCCTGGAGCCCGGGTGTGTTTGTCTCTTATGTGTATGCTTGTGCATGGACTTCTAATCACTAGCAGAATTTAACATGATGCAAACTCGACATTATAACTCATGCTGTAACATTTTGACTTCGCTGGAAAACAATAGGAATTATTTTTCTTGCCAATCAATCATGAATCACAATCTAAATTTCAGAATGATCAATCAGGCAATGATCCAAATCAAGTTATAACATTATATGATATTCAGCAAGAAGTCCGGTAGAAATACAGAATATTTAAACATCAAAGCTGAAAGTTAAAAGCTAATTTGTCAATTTTCTGTCTGCAAAAGAGCGTCCCAAGAGCGTTTACATTTGACACAATAACAGACTGAGGCCTTGAAATCTAGGATTCCCCAGGAAAATATGACGTCATACTAATTAGCATAAGGATTTCCCTATTGGGGTGGGTCGAGCCTTGTTCGAAAACACAATCCATAAATACATGCTAATTTCTAAGGAGATAGGAAGTGTATAACGTGTTTATCGATTTTGTTTAAAGATTTAATCAATTATCAAATTGTTTAAGTGGATAAAGTGGTCACACTTGCTTCAATTCATAGCGAAATCGACGGATAGAAACTGACCGAATTCCCGATATCCTACCCCGTATTACTGTAGGCTATAAGCACAGTGACCTACAGAGGGCGCTATCACAAACAAGTACTGGACGAACCGATAAATTCCCGGGTATTGTAACGCCCTTGGGTGACTCTAACTGCAGTTAGTATCATTTAAAATGGTGACCAAAATTCTTTCGTTTGATAAATCAACGATTTCAGTTAAACTAAGTTGACTCTAGATTCCAAATGTCGCCATGCAAACTCATAAATTAACAATTGTAAACGGCCAAGAAAAAATGCTCAGACATTAAAGAGAATCGGAAAGTTCACTTAGAATGACTTTACCTGAAGTTTGATAGTACACTAACTCAAACATGATATTCACCATTGATGACACTAACTCAGATGGCATGCCCGTAGCCAGCTTTTGGTAAGGGAGGGGGGGGGCTCGAACACATCCACACATATTTTTTTACCATGCTTAACCATCATGACGTTATGAAGAACAAGAACAAGATCCAAAACCGCCCGTGAATAACACATGTTTCGATACCTACTGAGGTTCTTGGTATGATTCTACCTTCTAAGATTCCAAAATGTTCAAAGATGGAATTTTGTGATATTAATTTCAATTTTTTTTAATGTAATAAAGAATTCAAGTGAGATTTTAAAACTTCAGAAAATATGATATGATTTTTTTAAATTGTGGAACCATGGGCATTTAATAGATTGAAAGTCCATGGTGAAACGGGGACCGGAATGATTGCAGCCTATATTTTCATCTCGCTAAATACATACAGGGTGTGCCAAAAATGTAACCCAAACAAATGTGAATAACTCAGTCATCCAGCATGGATTTAAAATCATATTAAGCACAATTGAACCTTGAACCTTGTTCAATGTTCTTTGATTCTAGTAAGTTTCATTGGTCTCAAATGGCCACCATTTTACAAAACATCAATGGGATGGGGGGGGGGGTCAAGTCGATGGGGTGGGCGGTTTCGCAAGACGGAAACGGTTTCAACAAAAATCAAATAACAGAATATAGTATGCAGTTAGCAAATAGCTAGTGTAGATGTTTAATTCATTGTTCCCACGAAAATTGTCATCCTTCTGAGAGGGGGGTTCGTTCCCGGCCTTTGGTCATCGGGTTGGTTTGTTAATCTTTCAGAAAAGCGGTTGTTATCGGCCGGGTGTTTGTTTTATTAAGAAAGGGTATTTAAGGCGGACGGGGAGTTCGCACAAAACCCACAAACCCTCTCTCACTATGCCCATGCATCTAGAGTTGTAAATGTGAACAATATCTTTGAAATGACTCCAAAGATAAAAGTTTGGAGATTCATATTGAGTGATTTTTCCGCATTTGGAGCGTGCTTTTTAAAATGGCCATAAAATCATGACCATAAAAAATAGACCAACTTAATTGAATGAAAGAACATAGAACAAGGTTTAATTGTGTCAAATATGAGTTCAAACCCATGTTGGAAGACAGAGTTATGGCTCACTCTGTATATTCTCACACGTTATGTACCTAGAGCCTCAGTGGTGTATGGACTCTGGTATGGAACACATAGGGGTTATGTTATGGAAAGTTTTGAATATACAGAGGGTCCGAGGGAAGATATCATATTTCCCGAAGGATATATCCCATATTCAAAACCACATATTCAGAATCAGATAACTTATTTATCGGATGACAGGTGATAACTATCCCCCGTGTGCAATTTTGTGTCTATGTTAGGAACACTTGTCAACTGGAGAGCAAGGAGCAGAGTTGTAGAGCAAGTTCTGATTGACCTGTCCGCAAGAAACATATAACATTGTATTTCATACCTGCGGTGCCTCGGGAAATACACATATTTTCCTTAGGATAAACCCTGTATTCAAAACTTCCCAGTTGGTTACTTTTTACGTTCCATTGATTTTAGGGGTGTAAAAATTTGATTGGCTTGATTGGCTTCGATTAATATAGATGATATTAGACAATTGTAAACAGGATGCGAGTGACATTCCACCTATTGTTAATTACCCCAATAATTTGGAAATCGTAATGGTTTGTTATAATTGAAATGACACTAATGCTTTCTTTATACAAAACTTGAGTGAATCAATTGGCCTAATCTGATTTTTTAGATAAAAGCGGAAATCCTTCCAGTTTGAATATTCAAACGTCTCCCCTCCATAAGTTTGGCAACCTTTTTTCCTCATTGAACTACGTGTTAAAGCCTCTTTACCTTTGAATTTTTATTTACTTAACCTGCGATGGAAATACTTATACTATCGATGGAAACGTAATTTGACTTTAATTCCAATACCTTCAAATTTTCTCAATTTTTGTATCTCAATTACAATAGGTCGAAAATTGATGATAAATTTGATGAATTTTTGAAAATCGACATTCCCATGTTAACCAATGGGAAATGGTAGGTTTGCCGCAAGTCATATGACAGAATATCCATCCATCCGAGTCCTTGCAAAAAATACGAGTTAGGCAGGCAATTGAATTTGCTAACTTTATTTAACAAAAAATTGATATGTTTCTTCAGGTTCAACAAAGTTATAGGGCTTTAAAGTCAAAGTTGTTTTTCAAAAAAACTCTCCCATTGAAATAACACAGGAGGCGAAAAATTATTTTCAAAAATGACTTTGAAGCGCTGTAACTTTTATATTCATCAAATAAACTAAACACTTAGTGTTTTAAAAAGTTAGACAAAGTTAGATTTTTTGCTGAATCTTTTACTGAAAAGATATCCTGATTTCTGATTTGCCCCGAACCCTCCATTTCCCACTGGATTACATGGGAATGACGATTTTCAAAAGTTCATCAAATTTATCATCAATTTTTGACCTATTGTAATTGAGGAAAAAAAATTGAGAAAATTTGGAGGTATTGGAAATAAGGTCAAGTTACGTTTCTATCAATATTATAAGTTATTTCATCGCCGGTTAAGTAAATAAAAATTCAAAGGTAAGGAGGCTTTAACACATAGTTCAATGGGGAAAAAAGGTTGCCAAACTTATGGAGGGGAGGTACATATTATAAATGCTATAAAATAGGTTTGAAAAATCATGGATATTTGTTGTTAGAAATAGAGGTGTTACATATATCTTAACAGAATCATACTCAGAACGAACCATTCAGACTGTTATTTCGATGTATACCTGGTATATACTCAGCTCTACAAAACAAATTCCGCCCCTAAAACCCCTAAATTGATTTTTTGATAACAAGGCCTTAAAATGCCCAAAAAGGCCAAGTTTTGCTTATAAAGGTCCATTTCTTGAGGCCCAACGAAATTTTTCGGGACCCTTAAAATCTTTTCTGGGCCCATCCAAGAAGGGGCATGGATCCGCCAGTGCGCAATCATAGCCAAGGCTACCGCTATCAATTGGCCCTGGGTTCGATTCCCGCTTCATACTATTTTCTGTGCGTTGCGTAATTCAGGATGTTTCCCATAAATCGTATCACATAAGTCTGAGTAATTCAATTCAAAGCCGGGCTTGAACTCTAGACTAGCCCATGATCTATCCAGATGTCTCTGATCCACTGGTGATCCACTCGATTACGCTGGAACCGTTTTGGTAACAAAATGTCGGAACGTCGAAGGTACGATTTTTCTTTTTTCCTTATTTCACACGTTGTAGGCAGAATTTCCACGACATTTTTATCACAAGCATCTAAAACATATGATACTGATACACGTTTGTGTCAAAAAATGTCGTGGGCATTCTGCCTACGACGCGTGAAATAAGGAAAAAAGAAAAATCGTACCTTCGATGTTCCGACATTTTGTTACCGAAACGAACCAGCGGAATCGAAGGCCGAGCAAAACTAGGGGGACCGGAGCCGGCCATGCCCCTCGGAAATATTTTGATTTTAGTTCTGAGTTTTTAGTGCGTTCTGAGCGATGTCAGACTGTGTAATGGGGCATGTCTCAGGGGCGGATCTGGGAACCAACAAGGGGGAGGGGGGCCCAAATTTCCGGTCAGAGAAAAAAATTTGGGGCCCCTAAAACCAAAAGTGGGCCCAACTTTTGAAGCTCATTTTCTTTAAATTTAGCCTGAAATTAAAAATCAAGGCCTTCAAGGCCCAGTTATGACCAAAAAGCCTAAGGCCGGTCCAAATTTTGTTTGGGCCCAATTTTTTTCTGGGCCTTATCCCGTGCCAGGACTATAGTCCTGAGGACATCTCAATCTTTTGCCTTTACGATTACATGATGGGAGAATTTTCTACGCTTCTTACACCTGAGACACCTAGGCCTACTTCAATAGATTCCTTGGTATTTTAGCATTCTTTTATTCTAGTTGAATCCACAATTGTCTGGGTTTATCGGCAGAACGAAGACTATAGTCCTGGCACGGGATAATCTGGGCCCAGTGCGTCTTCATCATTTAGGGTACGCAGTTGCGTACCCTCGCGTAGGCCTATGCTTAAAGCCTATGCCTGGTTACGCGCCTGATCCTTGCCCAAAACTGGCCATATGGTCAACATAACCTATTGTATTCTCAAATTCTAATCTCATGAATTCTAATCCTAATCCAATAAAATACATCTTATTTGCCACACCTCATTTCATTAGGTTTGGATTAAGTTTATTGAAATTCCCGGGATCAAACTCCTTGGCACTTGACCGCCCTCTGTACAAAACATTGAGCCTAGTAACACAACGAGTACCTGTATACCGATGCGCGTACAGAATATACTTCTTGTAATTTACTAATTGATTGCTTTCAAATTCGCCACATCATAGGAATGGAAATGTATAGAAATAACATATTTTATCAAATCTTATGTCAAATGTATTATTTGAATGTCAACTGTACAGTTATTTGATTTAAATTCCTTGTATAGTTTGACCCGGATACGCGGATTAATTCTAAGGTCAAAGTAGTAACTGTGAACTCCACAAAGAAAGGAACATGGTCGTTTTCAAATAAAAAGTTTGAAGTTTGAGCGTGATATTTTCCATTCTGGAGCATTTTGGTGGATTATTCAATACACTGGATTGTGTTCCAAGGAGTTATGCGTCATAGCTGATAAATCTAAAGGATCATCAATTTACTACTGCAGATAAATCTCTTTGGTAAGGAACACATGTATTTTACAAATCCTCAAGTCGCCATTTTGTCTATGATTCTATTGTTGACCGCAACATTCATCGATATGGTGTACATGACTCAGTTCTGATATAATTTAATGTTCAGATACAACTGTTCTTACATATACTTCCTCAAACAATATGAGAAAAATCTACTCGTTGGTAAGGATCGCAAAAATCGTCGTTGTTATCTGTCCTTGTTTTCATTCACATTTCAATTTTTTCAAAATCTGTTAGAATTTTTTGAAAGGTTGTACCCTAGATATTTGATTGCGTTGGCCTTTCTTGTTGTCATTTGCATCATGCTTTCTCTAGTGTTGTCTCTTACCTGCAAATAGTGTGCACATGAATGTTTGTACAGTTGGGGACATAAATAAATGACAGGTGGATTTGCTGAAGTGAGGATTTCCCATGTTAAAAATAAGAGAATTTACAAGAGGCCATACATCAGTGGATGAGATTATACAAAATGTAAAATATACAAATTTTAAGGGATATATATCTAGACAATATTGGAAATTATGGGCTTTCAGACCACCATAATTAGGAAATGGTGATCGAAAATCGACCTGTCATTTATTTTTGTCCCCAACTGTATATCAGTTTACTAGGTTAGATAGATTTTATCACAAAATAAGCAATCACAGATCAATGGACCGTGCAAATATAAAATGGAAATGGGACATTCATATTCAGGCTTAAGATTTAAACTTTTGTGTATTTCAGGATAACTAGTATGATGTGCATTTATTTGAAAGCTGTGACCGCTTTTATTGATTTTATTATCAGTAATGTTATTTTGATTCTATGCAGAAAAGAAAAAAACAAGAGGTCAAATATTTGTTAGAAAATCATAGACACTCCAAAATATGCAAAGCTACAAGCTAGTCTTTAACGTACGACTCTATGTATTTTTGGATATAATATGGTACTGTGTATATTGCATTTGATGTGAATTTGATTGTAATCGGGAATGGAATGACCCATGGTTTGAGATTATATAAGGAAATCTTGATGTAGAGGTTATCCGAAGTTTGTAGGTGTTTCACAAACAGTCTTTGGATGAGGGAATGTATTTAATTATGCTTGTTCAATGTTGTTGTTTAATGTTTATATCTGCCCTCATGTATACTGATCAGATATCAGAGATATTCTAAATCGGAACTGACAGCAATAATTTTATTAACTGTCCTCGCAAGTCCTTAAATCATATGCAATTTATACATTTGCTACACATGTTCCGATCAGGCATGAAAGAGGAAGGGAAAAATGTCAATCTGGAGCAACAGGAGTACTAGCATTTGTTTTGTATACATAGAATATACAGAGGATTTCTACTCCGAAACTGAAATCGGACTGAATGAAATTTTAAATGCTAAATCAACACTTTTTTGTTTCTTATTTCACTAAAGTTAATCATTAATATTGATAAGCGTGCCAAGCTCATTTATTTTAAAATTATGACAGGTCATATATGAGTTGTCTTAATAAAGCACACCGTTTTTGGGAGTGGAACTTTCTTTACAGTTTTCAAGTCGCATTAAACAGAGAAATAAACTTCACATATGCTACCGTTAATGCTGGTGTTTTGATATTCTCTAGCCCAAAATGGATTATGACTCATCATTTGAAACATGGAACATGGAAGGTATCATATTAATGTATTATGGATTTAAAAGCTGAATGGAGTTAACTAAAGCCTCGGACACCTTTGCTCTACGTCGGGTGTACAGCGATTGTAGCTTCACAAAATTGATATCGAAAATCTACATCATACTGCTTATCTTTATATTTTGCATATTTATCAAGATTTTGGGAAGCTACTGTCATCGTACATTTGCAATAGATCAAATATGACTGGGCTTTAATATAGAACCTTTACATGTGCGACACTGCTCCATTCTAGATCATTCTTGTTTTTATTATTCAAAGCAGAGCGATTAGCAATTGATTGTCATTCTTTTTCAAAAGACCAAGGTAGTGCTTTGTTTTAATGTTCTGCAAAATGAGAATAGATATTTAGAATTCAGAATATTTTTACCATAAATATGCAAAACTTAGTAGACATGTTTCGTAAATACTGTTTGTTAAATCTAATTTATTCAATTAATTTGCAAATCAATCTTATATTCAATTCACTTTCCATATAACGCACATAACTGCTGAAGAATATAGTGCCTGAAGCTAAGCAGGAAAATTAACTTCGGTTTATAGTTTTTTTTCTTTGTTTTGATGATCAAGTCTTTTATATAGGCTCTAAGGCATCATGAATAAAACAGATATTATATTCAACAGTTTATTGGAAATTGACAGACTACATTTCCTAGAGCTCTATTATACTAAAATCTAAAAGGTTAGTTTTCTAGTCGAGTAATTTTACAACGGTAAAGTGAAGCGTTTACAGTGCCAAAGTTATTCAATTTAAAACTCTATGATCACAATAGTTTTAAAATCTGAATTGGAACTTTTTAAAAATCAGTTATATAGATTGTCACCCTCGTATATTTAAATTGTTATAAAAGGGGCCAGTCATGCTCTCAAGTCTGGCCATTGTGTTTAATATGAAATATTCTTCATATGAATAGAAAGTCTGATATACACATTTATGCATGTCATGTATTTAATTAAAATAAAAAAGTTGGACAATGTATTAAAATTGTACTTTCTGTTATAGGTTGGATGCTGTCAAGTACAACTACAATGGAAGGAGTGCCAGATAAAGAACTCAATGACTTGTTAGATTTTAGCGCAGTAAGTATCAAAAACTGATAACAAAAGTAATATTCTAATACTAAGTACAAGAACTAGGTCATTTACACTAATTGGTTATATATTCATCAGCCTGTAGTCACTTAACATTTATACGGATTCTAAAATTTAGTTTTCTGTGTCTAAAATCGGACTAATATGTCTACCAATAAAAATACTACTAGATTGTTTATGGACGTAAATATTTTGGACAGTATTGGAATGTTATGTTTACCATAAGAATTCATCCTGAAGCTCTAAATAAAGGGGATTCCCCTGTATACAATCTGTGCCCCAACAACACGAGCAGCTGATATCTCCCATAGTGCACAGCAGACAGTGCTGTGCATTTGATCAGCTGTGGGGGCCTTGACAAATATAAGTCTGTGCTAAATACATCTGTTCACATGCAAAAATAACAAGTGATATAAGCTTGGGAAAATATCCAGAAAATATTCATCATTTCTTACTTTTTGTTACTTAACTTAGACAGTTTATTGAAGAAAAATTCTCTCTTTTCTTAATACAGTGTATATCATGAGAAATGATTATTAAGGGAAGTGTTAGGTGCAGCTGTTCATCTCTATACTACTATAGTAGAACAGGCAGACCACCAGATGCGCATTTTGAATTTATCAATGAGGTCAGACCCTTTGATAAACCATCCAGCAACTACATTTTTACAAGTGGTCCCAATCCCATATATATTTAGTTCACCATAAGATTTAAGTTTGGTACTCAAGAACTTTTTTCAATAATTTGTCATATGTTAGACGAGTCACTCTATATCTGTCTATGTTGTATTTGACTTGTTATCTTAGATGTTTTTCACAAGGGAGAGAGAGAGTCATATGTTATTGTTGTGATATACCAGATTCATATGTTCTCAATCTAGAGTTCATTAATTCACTACTTTTACTCTGATCTCTTTAGGTCAATGTCATGTATTTAGTACAGTATGTATGCCATATGATACACTTCCATATGAACGCTTACACATGGTGCATAGCTCAGTTATGTTAAGTTGTAACTTGCTTCCTGCAAGTCATATTTTTGGTTATAACCAGGAAGTCTTTAATTCTGTTTTCATATTTTATAAAGGAGCAATATTATTTTCTATCCCATTTCTTTTTCTGGTAGGTCCTAATGTCAGTGCATTTTAAACTAGCTATGTTTCCACAATAATAATTAATTGTAACTTTAGCATTTTTGTAGCTGACAATTAAATGGAACATGTTATGTTATATTTATTTCCACATAATTAGAATTAAATAACAAAGTAGAGGCATGTGCAGGAAATACCATTTCTACATTCTTACATTGTAGTATCTACATAGTTGAAGTATGCATGTATTATTGTTTATCAAGGATCTTTTGATGTCTAATGTAATATGTACAAAATTTAACAAAGACAATATTTGGGGAGATTAGATGGGTATGTGGAAAGGAGAAGTAAGTCTATTAAATGTATACAGCATCCAAACCTTTGATAAACATGTATTCTTTACTCTTGATGTTACTAATTTAAATACAAAATTCTAATATATGAAATGAATGAATGAATGCCACGAAACATAACTTCAAGTTATAAGAGATCCACCCACATAATGCAACTCTGGACTATAACTTAACAACACTTAAATACTTCTCTTTTTGTCTAGCTGATATAAAAAGTTTGCTCTAGTGAAATTTAATACCAATTCTCTCAAATCATATTGCTCTCTGACCTGTCTCATTCTCAATATGGCTCTGATACAAAAACACCTGCTCCTTATTTCCAACATTCATGTTAAATATCTTGAAAATTAAAGCTTGTTTTAAACATTATAAAACCGCAAAACCAGGGATAGGTTTTATGTATAAACAGTTATGTAAATCGGTTTAGGAAATCGACTTGGCTTTATCTCAGATAATTGAATCGTGTAAAGTTAAATTTATGTAAAAAATGGCTTGATTATTGGTTGTTATATATGCTATATATCAAATATATAGGTAGGGCCTGTCAATATATGAGCTGATAAGTTGGCTCAGTCGCGTGCCATGGAGCCTACTAGACTTTGATCCTCTACTTGAAGTGTGCCAATCAAACTTCAACTGCATCTTTACATGTGATTCAATTTGCTTTACTTAGCCATATTAATATTGAAACAATGTTAAATTTAACCCTATGTCTCTGAAGATAAGTTCAGTACATTTTAAAAATATTCTCAAGGCTTACTATTCATTTAGGGGTTTGAAAAAATTGTTTCTTAAAAAATCGGTTCGATTATTTATGTTCCTGTTTAAAGATCTCATATCTTATTATGTTTCTCAGATATATGTCTGATTTGACCCACAGGTACCATTATGGTAGACATGTTATATCTTTCGGGGAATGGTTTGTTCATTATAATGTTTTTATCTTCGATCGTGATTGCCATTGGTCTGACTCTATCTTGTCCAGTGTTGCTTAGATATCCTCAAGGGTCATAAACTACCTGATAGTTCAGAAGTCCGGAAAACAATTTCTTTTGGGGATATTGTTTTATTGATAATGTTGGAAATGTCTGATGGTTATAAATACCCTGTCATATAATGGAAAGTCATACCTGACCCACTTGTTGTCAGGCAATATCCTTTTACTTTTTTATAAATAATATCATTAAGCCTTGAATTGAACATGCTTTTTACTTTAAATCAAAAACGATGTGTCGAGTATTCAAACCAGGCATCTAAGATTACAGAAAACACTGAAAACACTAGTAAATGCTAATCTGACCAGTGTAAGAAAACAGTATGAGATAAATTTTAGTGTAATGACAGATGAAAAGCAACCAATTTATATAATTAGGTCTCATTTTCTAGACTCTGTATTTAATATTGATGGTATTGTTGTCGCCGCCATATTACGCTAATTCTATAATCGTCGTTTAAATTCATCCAATTTAACATATTATCGAATAGACGGCTTGGCATACTAATAGTGCTGTGCAGTTAATTTAATGTTAGAGTATTGATAGGTTTAATATAGGCAATGATAAAGAGGGGTCAGAATTCTGTCAGGGAATTACAACATAGCAGTCAAGTTTGCAAAAAACTGCTAAATAAGACCTACTTCAGTCAGCTCTAGTCTCTGGTTTAAAGAAATAATGAGTTCTTCTTTCTTTTAATTTCTGTATTTGGAATTCAGTTGGAAGCCAAAATGATAAAAAACGATCATAGTCTACCTGAAAAGGGTAGCTACATGTAATTTATAAATAAATGTACATATGTATCTTTAATTTCCATGTATTCACAAAGTATGGTTTCTATTCTACCACATTTCTGTGCTATTCTTTTTTCAATATTTTGATTAACTATTAAATTTGAAATGTAATTCCAGTTTTAGAAAAATATGTTGAATTTGCATCACATTTTAAATTTTTTGTTATATTTCTTCCAGATGTTTTCCCCACCCAATGCCATGGGTAAAGGACCTATGCCTGTTCCTCCTAATCCGACCAATGGAAATATGGACCCTTTATATTACAACAAGCAAGGTATGTTTTTCATAACGAGGTCTACCTTCTTCTTAGGAATCTCAGTGTCTCAGCACCTCCAATACGTTAATTTGTAACTTCATGATTTCGCCTTAGTATGCAATACACCTCATCTAAAATTTCAAGAAATAGAATCTTAAAACTGCAAGCTTGAGTGGAAGATAATTTGGATGGGTGGGGGTTACAAAACTAGTACTAAGTGCAAAATATACAAGTCTAACATACCGTCATATCCACGGTCTGATTTCTTGATATCCACGACTTGAATATGAAATGTCTAATAACAATAGATACAATCGTGATGATTTGTTGATTGTTTACTAATAGCAGGTGATTTCTAGAAATATGAAATATTGATGCATTTAGAATGTATTTATTATCTGGAAGATTATGTTCCATGATATGAGAGAATTTCATTTACTATTGCCCTTCTGAAGTGAATTGTCACAGTTAGCAGTGTAAATAGTAACATATAAAGTGGTCTCCCTTGTTTGAGACCTATGTGTAAATAATGTATGGTTGAAGCAATAGACTCTTGGACGGCGGAATAATTCCCGAATGCAAACAGATATAATTATTTTGATTAATTATTAACTGTGATAATAGTTGATAAACGGTAGCGTCATTGTAGAGAAGACCTCTCTAAGGGGCCTGGTTGCATTAATCAATGATCCACAGATCAATTCGGCTTTATTAAATAAAACTAAGTTAAAATAATTCTGTTTGTTCATGTTAAACATGCATTTTCCAAAAACGGGTGTTTCTTCACCTGGCTGATGCAAAAGTAAAGATTTGCTTTTAACAGATGAATAAATTGTGGCTCAATTACAGCATAATTTAGTTTTCTTTCTAGAGTAAACCAAGAAATATTTTAAGTTAAGGTCCAGTTTCTGAAACCAAATGTATTTGATTGCACAAGGCTCGGTTCTTCAAATCAAGTTTGATATGTTATTTTTGATTGCATGTTGGTGTCAATAAACATTATATGGCTGTTCAGTTAATTTAGGTTTAATAACCCTACATGTATTTCATGGATCCCATGACCTTCTTTGGTGCCATGTGGAGAAATGATTAAACTTAAAACATTAACCAAGTATAGAGTTAATTGTCTTAAAGTTCAAGAATTCTGATCTTAAGCATGTAAATAATGTTTCATAACAAACAGAATAATGATGATAGTTTGTTAATGATGCTGTCGTTTCTATAGCAAGCTGTCGTAACCATAGCAACATTGTTTCCATGATCTGTGTTAAATTTGAGCTCTGCTTTTAAAGATCTGGCAGTTGATTTCTTTCCAGTTACATATTCAGTTGCCATTAGTTTCTGACTGTAATAATAGTGCAATGTTAAACAGTTGCTCAATGAAGCAGCCTTATGTATGACTGAGATGAAATCAAGAGTAGGAATTTGTATAGTTTGTCTAACTTGAGAACGGGTCCTTTACATTAAAAGTGAAAGTTAATATGCATCAAGTATATTTTATCATATCGTGTATCACAATGTCTAGTATTGATATTAAACAGTTTGTCTCCAAGCTTGGTTATAATGTTTTATGGCAGAGTAGATATGAATTGAGAAACACCTGCCGTACATGTACACTCATGTACTCAGAGGACATTTCTGAACCCCTGGTTGGCCATGTTTAACCCTTCACTACCCAAGCTTACTTGATAAAATATGACTTATTGGCTTTTACTCCAATTGGATTTTAAGCTTTTACTAAAGTCATTCGGCAATTTTTGATCATGTTTAGTCAGTTGGCATAATGTTAACTTTGAATTTGTTAATATCAACTTTATATGCGAAGCTTCTTATAGTGTTGCGTCAGATTTTCAACATTGGTTTGGTAATTTCAGCAGTGTGTTTTGTTGGATTATCTGAAGCATATGTAATCGTTGTAACTAGCTTAGGAGAAACCTTCTCGCTGAATTGAGCAAGGTTTTGTGCACAAATTATTGGGCTTTATATTTGCTCGACTGATCTGATTCGGTCGTGACTAAAATCACAACATTTGGTGTTTTCATTTTAAAAAATCATAATGGAAAAGATGGTTGAATGTGTCATGTTTTGTATGTTTGTGATGAATTATACATATCAAAAAAGATACCAATGTTGTTAATTTGGCATGGGGTTACTTAAATAATATAATTGAATGTTCACTCAATAGGAGGTAAAATTAGGCCACACTTACTGGCACACTTATGCTAATTTAATCATGACATTTCAATCCAAAAAAATAAAGTTATGGAAATGAATATTTGTTATAAAGAAACCTAATTTTATGAGTTAATGTAGATATGAATCCTTTTATTGCTATAGATACTTAAACATATCTATAATATAATATGCTTTTTCATTACTAATTTTAATTCTGAATTTTCTGTGTGTATTTACTACTTGTTTTTGTGGCATTAATGCAAATTTAATTACTTTTGCTATATGTAAATGAATTGAATGAAATCAGATGGGAGATTTCCATTAGCTAAAAATAGGAGTTTCAATATCAATATTAGAAAATAAATATTAAATACTTTTTAACATACATATTTTTGGCAGCATTATTTTAACACTGGCCCTGGTCTGTGGATAGCGCTGAGTGTAAGGTGACAAAATTGAGTGTGGGGGTCTATTGTGCGGGTATGGTTGTGTTTTATATACAAGCTAGAATATACATCCATGTCGCGTGGCACCATTCAATAGGAAAACACTACACAAGCAAGGACAATTTAACCTTTTCTAAATTCTAGCAATAATTGAGGGTGGTGCTGAATATAAAGAATATATACATAAAAAGTATGTTTCGTTTTTCAATGAATAATATTAAATTATTGATTTGTTATTTAAGTTAGAATTTTTTACATGAATCTATAATAGCTCTTTTGTCACTATTTTTAAAACGATTTTTTTCACTCTATATTTGTGGCATTAAATGTTATGTTGTTTGAATCGTCCAGTAAATTAATCCAGTTATTCCACAAGTTCCAGGGATGTTATACATAATTAATAATGTTCTATTGTTTCCCAGTTTTATCTTCAGAATAAACATTAGAAGCCACTTAAACAGCCAATCTTGATAGTTATAAAATTTTGTTCTCTACTGTTTTGAAGATTCAAAAGTCTGTGTTACAAAGGGATATTGTTTGGGATAGCTTTATTTCATAGATTTTAAGGTCATATCAGTACAGTTCCAATTTTCACATCTGATATTAAATATCGTATTTATGATATAGAAATTATAATATTATATATTTCTTATTATAATATATATATAATAAGAAATCTTAAAATACCAAGGTCCACAAAATGACATTTGACTGATGTTTCTTTTTATCCTATATATGGTCCAAGATATCTGATTCTCTACAAATCTTATAAACTTCCTAAATATTAAAAATGAAAAATAATGTAAAAATATTCTTATGATTATTTTTCTGCTTCTTGGATGACTCAGGATTAAAAACATGTTTATGAAAAATCAAAGAACATGTTGTTCATGACATAATGTTTTTCTTATCCGGTATATCTATCTGATTTCCATCACAATATAATTTCATCTCAAAGTTTTCAACTTGAGCCATTGAACAAGTATTTTTCTTTCCTCTTGGAAATATTACAACTTGTGATAGATAGAAGCTAAAGTGAAATATTTTTATTATATTTTTCCTTTACTTTTAAGAATGAATCTACTGCAGTTTAAAATATGTGAATTCCATGTTTTTGCCGCTTTGTGTATATATTTGAGCTGAGAAAAAGTTTATTATTTCATGTCCTGATTTTCTATTTTTAAAGGATTCTAGGTGCTTGAAACCTGTAGCATGTGAGCAGAAAAATCTGTGGCTATTGGAATATCGCTTTTTGGTGCAAGAATCCAATACTTCACAGCTGACGGTCTATGTCAATACATACTATATTTCCAACTTTGATATTACTATTGAATTTCTACAATTCTTTTTTATGACACTTTTGTTCGTTTGTTCCTCAGAAACTTTATTCAAATGCAGATTTTAGTTTACTGATTATTCAAATTGATTGAGTTTGCTTTTTCATTCTAATGCCTGCCATTGTTTGAAATATCCCTGGTACAAAGAGCCTATTGAAATATCACCACTTTAATGCAGTCTTTTTTGTTTAATATCACATCCATGATGAGCCAGGAATGATGAATTAATGCAAATCTACTAAGGATATGCATTTGTTGTGTAAAATGCCTGCTATTTTGACTTTAATGAATCATTTCTGGTAGAATACAATGCCTGCTCATTGAGAGCAGATTAGAGTTTCCTGGTTTAGATGACGTGCATCAGTCGCCTCTTGATATGCCTCGCGTCTTCTGGTCATGTTGGTAACTGAGCTTTATTAGATAAAGTTAAAACAAGAACATTGTGGTAAAACAATCAAGACAAACATACTGAACTGGTAAAACAAACCTAAAATGTGCGTCATAGTTCAAAAAGTTAATTTATTCCCAGAGATCAGTGCTAATACCATTTCATTTGAATGATATATTTTTGAGTTGATGTTTTCGCTACGAAGAATAACATACAAAAAATTAGAAATTGGAAATATGAACATTTTGAATGAGCTAATGCTGTGATTTATTTGGTCTTGAATCAGTGTAGATACACAATACTTAAAGCCCAGAATGTGTCAGTCCCAGGAAAGACCAGAATATTGACCTAAAGATTCAACACAGTCAGTCAGATAACCCCGAACTCTCCTCTGAAAAACCCATTAACTTTATCTAGCTATGTTTAGATATTTAGTTACGATCTGTCACCAAGCCTTTACTTGTGAATTATGGACAGTTTGAAACTCTGCTGTAATGAAACTAGATACATGTATTTCTGCTAGCTCACTGCTGACTGCTTGCCTCTAATTTGGCCAGTGTATACCGGTATGTGTATTACACTTACTAGTAACTATACTGGCTTTTAATCTGCAAGAACTTTAGACTACAGGATTTCAAGATTTAAAGGTTGTTAGTTCAATCTTTCTTTCTT